CTTTAGTTCATGTCCACTGTGTCATAAGTTCTTTCGCTTCTACATTTCCCACACCATTCCTGCCCTCCCCCTATTTTCTACCTATTGTCTATGCTACTTATTCTCTATATCTTTTCCCCCTCTCTTCTCCTCCCACTTCCCTGTTGCTAACCCTCCATGTGATCTCCATTTCTGTGGTTCTGCTCCTGTTCTCTTTGTTTGCTTAGTTTGCTTTTGTTTTAGGTGTGCTTGTTACTGTGAGTTTGATGTCTTTTTTTTACTGTTCATATTTTTTTATCTTCTTTTTTCTTAGATAAGGCCCTTTAACATTTCATATAATAAGGGCTTGGTGATGATGAACTCCTTTAACTTGGCCTTATCTGAGAAGCACTTTATTTCCCCTTCCATTCTAAATGAAAGCTTTGCTGGATAGAGTATTCTTGGATGTAGACCCTTGCCTTTCATGACTTGGAATACTTCTTTCCAGCCCCTTCTTGCCTGCAAGGTCTCTTTTGAGAAATCAGCTGACATTCTGATGGGAACTCCTTTGTAAGTAACTGTCCCCTTATCTCTTGCTGCTTCTAGAATTCTCTCCTTCATTTTTATGTTGGGTAATGTAATTATGAGGTGCCTTAGCATGTTCCTCCTTGGGCCCAACCTCTTTGGGACTCTCTGAGCTTCCTGGACTTCCTGGAAGTCTACTTCCCTCACCAGATTGGGGAAGTTCTCCTTTATTATTTGTTCAAATAACTTTTCCACATGTTGTGTTTCCTCTTCCCCTTCTGGTACCCCTATAATTTGGATATTGGAACGTTTAAAGGTGTCCTGGAGGTCCCTAAGCCTCTTTTTTTTGAATTCTTGTTTCTTCATTCTTTTCTGTTTGGTTGTTCCTTTTCTCCTTCTGGTCCCTTCCATTGATTTGAAACCCAGTTTTCTTTCCATCACTATTGGTTCCATGTGCATTTTTCTTCATTTTACTTAGTGTAATCTGCATTTTTTTCATCTAATTTATGACCAAAGTCCACCAATTCTGTGAGCATCCTGATCACCAGTGCTTTGAACTGTGCATCTGATAGGTTGGCTATTTCTTGGTCACTTAAAAAAATTGGCTCTGGGGCTTTTAACTCTGTTTGAACCATCTTTTTTATTTTATTTTATGTTTTTCCTTGGTCTGGTTGCGCCTGTTACGTATGAGGGGTGGAGCCTTAGGTGTTCACCAGGGCAGGGCACCTGTCACTGGGTTGTGACGTTATACGTGGGGCAGGGTCTGAGAGGGAACAATGGTGCCCGCTCCGCTCTCAGCAGGACTCCCGTCCCCCTTGCCGCTTCCCACAAGCAAATTGGTCCCCTCTGGTGCTGGCTCCCGGGCGGGTGGGCTTGTGCACTCTCTCGGACTCGGTGGGTTTCTCCAAGGAGCCTCCTGTGAGGCTGAGAGAATCTCCCAGCCTCAACTTCCATGGGTGTTTTCAATCAGTGCCTTCAGGCTTTGTTTCCCCGGCGCTGGGTCCCTGGGATGCACAGTCTGTGCCGAGCTGCCGGTTTTCTCTTAGTCCTGTGCATGAATGTGTGGCTGCAGACAGCCAGCTGCCTTGCGTGCCTCACTGGGTCTGCCTGCGCCCAGGGTTTGCCACCGGTCCGTCGGCTGCAGTCTGTGGTCTGCGCAGTCTGTGCCCTGCGCGTGCGTCTGCTAGCCACCGATTTTTCCTGCTGGTACCCTTTGACCCCTCTCCGTAGGCCTCCGATTCCACCCCTTCTTACCAGACTGGATGTATAGTATTCAGACTTCCGTTCGGTTCATTTCTCTCTGTTCTGGTTGTTTTTTGTTTGTAAATTCTTGTTGTCCTTAGTTTTGGTTGCACGAGGAGGTACAGTGCGACCACCTATGCCTCCATCTTGGATCCTCTCTGACATTTTTAATGAAGGTTATCAGGCAACACTGAGTTTCTAGATTGACTTTCTTAAGTCCCTTTAAAGGTGATAAACTTGAAGGGAAAGGGAATTCTAAATTCCAAAATCCCTTTACTAATAAGAGCAAAGCCTAAAGGAGTAAACATTAAATTTTGTATAGAAAAAGCAATCTCTAGAAATGGTCTAAAGTAAGTTTCCATTAGAGAGGAAAAAGAAATACAGAGTCTTCAATAGAAAAGACAGACAAAAATAAAGAAGAAAATGAAAAGTCAAAAATCAGGTCTATGGTTATTACCTCAGCCTACCTTCAGCATTGAAGATGGTGAACTAGAAAAACTATGAGTGTGGAGTTTGGAGGTAAGTTGTAAATTTGAGTAACATCAATATATACATTCATTGAAAGAAGTAGGAATGGATACTAGACTGCCAAAACTTAACAAATAAACAGTACGAAGAAACTGGAACCTGTTTGTGTGCTGCTGAAATTGCTAATAAGAGATTGATGAGCCAAAAGAGAGAAGATACTTGAAAGAACCACTGTTGGAGCAGGAGATAAGGTCAGCACCAAGAGTCTTTGACAGGAGGAGACATACTCTGGCCAGCAACAGGAGGACAGGAGAAAGTGTGTGCCAGTACCCAAAGGGGTGCAGGTTTGATGGTGAGTTCCCATCTGGTAGCTGCCATTTTCTCAACTGAGAGGACAGCACGTGCCAGTTACCAGTTCACTGTCTTTCTTCTCCAGATCTACTCCTCATTACCTGCTCTGTGATGAGGGAGCTAAACAGTATAAACATTTCTCCTTTGCCAAGGGCCCAGTGTTAAGGTTTGTCAGTAGAAGGTGCTGGAGGGAGATGGCAGGAGGAAGGGGCTTCTCTTTCTGCTTGGGGTTTTCTCCTCCCAACAGGCTCCAGCAGTTCACTGTGCCCAGCCTCACATAGCAACCCAGGTGGCAGCTTACTTTATCATTCAGTGAGTCACCAAGTCTGCAGGGGCCACTACTAAATCCATTCCTTGCTAGCTCTGCCTCAGCCTGGAGGGAGTGGCGGCTCCCTATATCTGCTACTTCAATATGACATTCTTTATAATTTTATTTCTCTTAATAGATAATCCCTTGTTATAATGAATAACTATTGACATTAAAGTTTTCCTGTTTAAATTACCACGTGATTTCTGTCTCTTACGGAATCTCGACTCATATAATAAGTTATCAGCTAAGAATGAGGAGAAAGGGAAAGAGGAAGTTCGAGGAGAGAGAGATGGGCTAAAACAGTCTGGAAGAGGGGGTTACATATATTTACCAGGCCAGAGTAGGATTTCCATCCCATTGTATGGGGGTATTATAATTAATTTTACCAATTTATGGACATCTATGTTGCTTAAAACACATACACACACACACACACACACACACACACACTGTGGATGTACACTCTTCTAATCTGTCTACCTATTTCCTATGCTTTTGAAGACCTTTTTCCTTCCTTTGTTCCTTCCTTTCTCTCCCCTCCTCTTTTTCTTTAATTGTTGTGGCTGCTGACTCCCTGAAAAGACCAACAAAATAATATGTTGATAAAGCAAAACCAAGTTTATTGCTTATCACAAATACTTGTAATGAAAGGAAGGATAGCAGAAGTAAGGGATAGCACTGCCTTGACAGTCTTAATAGTGTCTCGGAATGGAGAGGGCAAAGGCAGGATATTTATGAGGTTTTTAAGGGCCTGGTTTAGGATAAGTCTTTTGATGTTGAGGGGACTTACTCGATTTGGACAAAATTCATGTCATGGTCCACCAAGACATAGCTAGTGAGGGATTTAAAGTGGTTCTTGGATAGAAATGACCATTTGAATTGACAAAATGAATTTCATCAAAATGAAGAACCCATCTCTTTGAATGCCACTATTAAAAGAATGAAGACAAGATGCAGACTGGGAGAAAGTATTTGCAAATGCAATCTGATAAAGAACTTGCATCCTACATATCTAAAGAACCCTTAAAACTCAATGATAAAAAACAAACAACTCAATTTTTTAAGTGGGCAAAACATTTAAACAGACATTTCCTCAAAGAAAATATTCAGATAACAAATAAGCATGTAAAAGGATGCTCTTTATTCTTTAGAGAAAGGCAAATTAAAAGTACAATGAAATATCACCACACACCTAGTTGAATGTCTAAAATAAAAAGACTGACCACACCAAATGTTGGCAAGAATGAGAAACAACTGGAACACTCAAGCCCCGCTGATGGGAAGGTAAAATGGAATAACCACTATGGAAAACAGTTGGGCAGTTTCTTACAAAGTTAGACACACACCTCCCATGCCATTCCATTTCTGGGTGTTTACCAAGAGAATTAAAAGCACATTTCATACAAAGACTTTATGTATGAATATGTATAGCACCTTTATTTATAATAGCCAAACACTGGAAACAACCCAAATGCCCATCAGTGGAGCAATGGAGATACAAATTGTGGAATCTCCATATATGGAAATGTACTACTCAGCAGTAAAAAGGAATTAACTGTTGTTACAACAGCATGAATGAATCTCAAAATAATTATGCTGAGTGAAAGAAGCCAGACAAAAAAATTAGAATTATTTTTCACATCCTCCTCTACACCTTTAGGTAATGATGGTGCCCACAGCTGCCCACCCAGGCAAAGGCCTGGTAGAGGTGGCTGCCTAAGTTGCAAAATTAGGTTATAGAAATAATATTCACCCAGGAGTCTGTAATGGCAAGCTGATGCCCAAGACAGTCCTTGACAGAAGAAACAAGTGTCCACTTGGGCCCCAATTTCAATCCCCTGTAGTGTTCAGCAAAAATTTACATGGGAGGGAATACTCTAGTAAAGTGAGTACAATCATAATTTGTATTGCTAGGTTTAGTTTTTCAAACCATGTTTCTTTGAGGCAAATTTATTTTGTAATGGTTTCTAAAGGAGAAATGATGTGTCTTTTACTCATGCAATTGTTTAAGTATATGCTTGTATGTGTATTCTTTCTGGCAATAAGATCATCATCAGTTTGTCTTCTCCAGCACTAAGCCCACTGTTTTGCAGTCAGGGCTCAATATACACAATAACTGAGAGAAACAAGAGTAATACAGGCATACCTCAGAGATATTGCAGATTGGGTTCCAGACTACCGGCAATAAAGCCAGTTGCAATCTTTTTGCTGGTGGAGAGTCTTGCTTTCAACTTGTAAAAAGTGCAACATCGGTGGCCTGCAATAAATCTAGTATACCTATAAAACACAAAGCAGGAAAATCGAAAGCAAATTACACGTTCATAAACAAAGGAGTTGACTACTTTATGAATGTTTTTTAACCTATTACTATTATAAATAAAAATAGTGAGAGTAGCTATTGCTATAATATAGGGAAAATACAAAAGCTTCCTTTTTTTCTGGTAACTGGTTCATCTGTGGGTGTGTGTGAAAGGATCAATACACATACTCTAAATTGGGATGTCCAAAACCACCAGCTCCAAGCAAACATAAAGCACTAGGAAACGGGAACCCCGTTTTAGGGCATTGTCTGCTCGCTCAGATACAAAACTGGTAGTTAATCATTTACATACTCAGGGAACGAGCGCGAGGTGAGGTCCTCATGAGCCTCTAAAGCCTCTATGGTAGTTTCCAAAGCCCTCTCAATAAGACTTGAGGTGTGTGAAATACGCCACCTAAAGCTAAAAACTAGCGGATTGTCTAGGCCGTACCCACCACCTCTCCTCTCGCTGAGCCCCGGGGCGGGTCCAAGGCCGGAAGGGGCGGGGCTACCCCTGTGCCTTAGAGGCTGCGTCGGCTCCAAACTTTCTTTTCCGCTTTGCGGTGGACGAAGTCGAGTCGTTTATGGGGTCCTCGTGGGGTCGGCGGCAGCGCCCGCGTACCCGTCGCCTCACTTTTCCAGGTAGTAGTAGTCTCCGCGATCTCAGTTCGTCTTCTCTTTCTGCTGGGAACCTGAGTCTGTGCGGAAGCCCATGTCCGCCTTGGGGCCTCCACCCTTTGGGCCCCGCGCCTGGGGCCCTGGTCCTTTACCCTTGTTCCTCCGCTGCCCTCACGCCCAATTGGCATGGCCATGAGCTTTCCTGCACGCCATTTGCTCAGTCGCATTTTGTGAGTAACCGCCTGCGAGTCTTAACTCACCCTTTTTTTAGTCAACAACGGTTTCAACTTAGCTCAGAGATTAAGGGCCAGCCTTTGTGATCCAGTTGGATCCGAAGCGGCGGGAGTGTGAGATTGATGTCTTTTCTGTTCAGCCCGGCCTTCTTCAGAGTCTTTTTGTTTTTATTCCTGGTAAAGCTTTGAGGGCGGCCTAGACAATGTCAAGTCCGTTATGGTCTCTTGACAGAGTGGAGCTACTTGTCGGGATTTGTTCTGGGTCTTACTTTTGTTTATAAGGAAGAGAGGACGATACGGAGAGAAATACCTAGAGGATGGGTTGCCTCTCGGGCGTCCCCAGTTGGGGCCCTGACCCCGCCCGCCCCAACCCAGACATGGGCCTTAACTGGGATTCGAGGCAGTGACTTTGATTTATAGGCCGGTTCTCAATCCACTGAGCCACACCAGCCAGGACTGGATCTTCTTTGCTAAGAAGACTAAAAATTGGCACTGAGGTTATAGAATATGTACTGTGTATAGAAGGCCCTTAGGCTGTAAATGCCTGATATACCTTTAGAGGCTTGAGTTAATGTAAAGATGTCTATTTCTGCACATAATACAGAAGAAACTGGGCAACAGATGGGAGACCGGAAGATTACGTTGCCTATTCAAAAACAAGGTGTAAATGAATATTTCAGTGGCTTATTTTTTCCTCCCCTGGGTTGCTTCATCCAGAGCACTCTAACAGGGCAAATGTGATGGCTTAAACTAGTTTATAATTGGTGTTACAGTGGCTTGAGCCCTATTTTCATGACTAAGTGTTGGAATTTGAAAAACGTTTTTACAGACTAAATGTTTTGATGAAAAAACTGAGAATGCACTTAAATTCTGCAGCATAATAAATAACACGACAGACAGCCTACCAAGCCATTTAAGAACTGGAATTTGACCAATACAATAGTATCTATTTGCTTTCTGTCCCATTCCCCTTGCCTTCAATGCTCTGTATTTTGTGTCCAGTTTCTTGATGTTATGAGGGGGGAGGGTAGGATGAGTAGCACTTTTCTACATAGATCTGTAACCCTAAACATTTTTTCATTTCAGGCTTTATGCAAATAAGACTGCATGCAGTTGTCAGAAGTTCCCATGAAATCATATTGAACTGAAATTTTCCAAGTTTTAATTTTTCATAACTGTTAATCTGTTCCTAATACTGATTATGTGAAATACTTAGATTTGCCATTGTAAACTTTCAGTTGGAGGTTTGTACACCTGATTTTATACATCTAACCTTTAACCTGGCTTGTGTCTCATCTTTGTCAAGCTCTGAGACAAAGCAATGGCTGGGTACTCATTAGGACCATTCTATCTTAAAATCAACATTGTCACAATAAAGCACATAAATATATCCACCATTTTTTTTACCCATGCTAACTAACCCACTTCCGGCTTGGAAAGATCGTGTATGGAATTATTAGGGCCTAATGAGTCAAAAGGACTAACACATTGTCAAATCATTGTACAATAGAAATTAAATTTTAGATTTATCAGTTTTGACTACCAAAAATATAGAATTAAGTAGCAGGTATGTTTCTGTGTTCCATTAAAGATATATTAAACAAATAGAAAATCCACTGCATGGTCTCAATGTTTTTAAAAATTGGTCAGTTGGGAAGATCACAAGTATATTTATATTTATGGTTTCTGATAAGGAAAAGGCTCAACCATTCTTGCATATAAGATGGCAAACATGCAAATACAAATAAAAATTTACAATGAAATACTAATTTCCAGGTGCAACAGAGCCTATGGGCTGAAGATGAGTGGCGGTTGTCATAATGAATGTTTTCCAAAAACTTAACTGCAGAGGATGACTAAGCCCCTAGGATATACAGCTGCATGTAACAAGGTACCAAAGGTTAATGTTAAATTGTTTGCTTTAATATATTTATGGTGTTGTTCCTGAAGAATACATTTTTGACATAAAAGTTTACTAACTGGCACAATGATGACTTAAAATTACTTTTTGCCGTTTACCCAGCTGAGGGTTTCTTTGAAGAAATAATTTTAAGACTGAGATGCCAGTAATCTATATTGAGATCATGTGAATTCAACTAGGATGCAACTTTTTTTTTTTTAACTAAAATCAGTGAAATGTTCTTTCAGCATATAGGTAGCCGCAGATGAATGAATGTTCAAGTTCTTAGCTGTGGTATATAAGAATTCTTCATTGCCTCAGGTAAGTAATTATGATTTATCAAGCATCTACTGAAAATTCAAAAGGGCTGGGGTCATTTCCTGTTAGTTGCCTTTGTGTTTGAGTACAGAATGATTTTCACTGTTGATTTCTGGTTCCCCTCAAGGTATAGCATGCAACATTTTGGAGAGAAAAACAAAGCATTGGTCAAGAAGACATGAATTGAAGCAAATGGTGAAAATATTTTATTTCACATTGGTCACCTTATAATAAATTATATAGAAAATACATGTTTGAATACTTTTAATTGCTGGGTAATAAAATCTGTTTTCTTTACAACATTAAGTCTTTAAACAACTTCATTATCATATTCACTAGTCAGACTCGTTTTTAAATTTAGGGATAGTATGTTGTGGATAGTGACTTTACTTGAGGTGGTTGGCAGCTGGGGAGACATTTCTAGGACTTCCATCTAGTTCTTAAACCCTTTCTTGCCTTAGGGGATTTCTGGATAGGCCCTAATTACTGCATACTAGGTAACTCTGTGGGCCTCCCTTCAGAACCTGCTGTACCTGAAACACAGTACAGTAGTCCTCATTTATTCATGGTTTCAGTTACCCGCAGTCCAAAAATAAATGGAAAAAATCCAGAAATAATTCCTAAGTTTTAAGTTGCACATGATTCTCAGTGAATCATTCTTTTATCCAGTGTACCCACATTATACATTGCCTGCCTGTTACTTAGTAGCTGTCTTATGGCATGAGTACTTGTTCAGAAACCCTTATAGCTTATTAATTTTATTAAATGTCTTACTGTGCCTAGTTTATAAATGAAGCTTTATCAAAGGTATATATGTATAGGAAAAAAGTATGCTACTATTCATGCTTTCCGGTATCCACTTGGGAGTTTTGAAGTATGACCCATGGGAAAGGCGGGGGACAACTGCAGGTTTCATCTGTGACCTACAAATTTTGTTAATTTGCTTTTGCCCTTGTGAACAAAAAAGTAATATGGTCCTAGTACAAGTAATTACTATGGTAAGGAAAATAATGACTGGATAGTCCAGCCCGTCCAGGACTTAAGAATTTACAAAAGTTCTAAAACTGAACTGAATTCTACCTGGGTAAAGATTTAACTAAATCTCATTTTCCCCCTGCTGAGTCCCATAATAATTTGTTTTAATTGGGGATATAATTTCAATATGGAAAGGCAAAAAATGTCTTCTGCAACATCTTAATCACTGCATCACAGGTAACATTTGAAAACCATTGCCCCGCCAATGTTATCATTCACAAAGTAAGGTCTTACATACAGAGTTTGTATACTTTTTAAAGCAACTACTTTCTGAAAACTGGTACCTGTGGATATTGAATATTGTCAAATGACTAGGAAATATACTCCTATATACAGTATTAGCTGAAGCATTACTTCAAAATCATATTGTTTCCATGGCTGAAGTAGAAATGAAAATTTTTCTCGGATTGTCTATTCATCACTAGCAAAAAAAGCTGTCCCAGGTCCATATGTGGTAATAAACTGTAGGAGCTGTTGTTGGCACTGAGCCAGATAGATGTCCCTTTGTTCTAAATATTCTTCATTATATATTTCAAATGGAAATACTGCATTTGGAGCAACACAAAATACAGTGGCCCCTAAGTGAAGAAGGAAAAAAATGTAAAAAATAAACAATGCTAAATAAGAAATCACATTTTCAACAAAATAGTGAAAGTTTTAAAATTAAATTCTGACCTACTTAACAGTTTCAGTAATCAGGATTTAAATCTGAACTCTTTTTTTATATTTGAGGCCAAATAAACAGTTTGAGTAAATACATAACACTGGTACCAGGGCCAGTAGAAGACATGTTGACGTTTTAAAGTTTGGAAGCTAGAAATTTGCTTTATACTGAAATAGTCACTACAGTTTTGAAGCTGAGTAGTTATGTAAGGAGATAGGAAAAGAAGATGGGTGTTGGAAGGTAGGGAAACACTAATATTTATTTGATAGAGGTTAAGTTGATTGGGGATAAAGACATTGTACATTTGACAATTAGAAACCACTGACATAAAGACAGACATACAAACCTATGCAATAGAGTAAGAGCCTGGGAGTAACTTCAAATACACAGTTAACTGATTTTTGTCAAGGATTCCAAGACCATTAGGAAAAAGACAGGCATTCCAACATGTGATGCTGGGAAAAGGATACCCACATGCAAAAGAATGAAGGTGGTCCCTTCCCTTACATTGTATACAAAAATTAACTCAATAGATCCAAGATCCTAAATGTAAGAACTAAAACTAAAACCCTTAGGAAAAACATTGGGGAAATGCTTCATGACATTTGACTCAGCAATGAGTTTTAGAGCGGAACAGCAAAAGGCACAGGCAACAAAAGAAAAATGAGAAAGTAGACATCAAAATAAAAATGTGCATCAAAAGGTATAATCAATCATGGAAAAGCCAAACAAAGATACACAAATGGCCAACAAAGACCAAAAGATGCTCAACATCACTAAGAAAAATGTAAAGCCACGAGGATATAACTGCATCACCCATAACAATGACTATCAACAACTAAAGAAATTAGAACCCTTATACACTGTTGGGAATGTAAAATTGTACAACCCTTATGGAAAATAGTATGGTGGTTTATAAAAATATTAAACAATTGCCATATAACAGCAATTTTCTTCTGGGTACACACCCAAAAGAATTGAAAGCAAGACCTCAAAGAGACATTTGTATACTTAAGTTTATAGTAGCCAAAGGTAGAAAACAACTAGTGTCCACTGATGGATAAACAAAATGTCACATATATACATATATATGGGCATTACTGAGTCAAACAGGAAGGAAATTCTAATGCATGCTACAACATGGATGAACCTTGAAGATACCTAGAGAAACCAAATTCATAGGGGCTGCAGGAAGGAGAGAATGGGGAGTTACTGTTTAACAGGTATGATGTTTCAGTTTGGGAAAATGGAAAGGCTATGGAAGTGGTTGGTGACAGCAATGTGAGTATACTTAACATCACTGAACTGTACATTTAAAAATGGTTAAGATGATAAATTTTGTATATGAGGGGAGGAACCCCCACCCCCCGCTAAAAAAAAAAAAAAATTCTAGAGGGTGGGCTTCCCCCACTAGGAAAGTGTTCTAGGAGCCCATCTGTATCATTGTACCAGCTGGTGTTACTAAAAGCTGCGTTAGGTTTCCGTTAATGTTTTTTGAAGACTGGATGCATTTGCCTATGTCATGATGGGTGACTTATGAGCACATCTGCCCACATTGCATGGGAATATTCAGTTTTTTACCAAAAATGGCATGATCCTTGGCATGATCCTTGTGCTCCACCCTCCCTATTAACCCCATCTCACCCGAAGTGATTTTTTGTTTGTTTGTTTCTCCAGATGAAAAAGTCCTCAAAGGGAAACATTTTGCCGATGTGGAAGAGGTGAAACAAAAAAACAGAAGCACTAAGAGGCACCAAAATCGATGAGTTTAAAAACCGTTTTGAGCAGTGGAAAAAACGTTTGAGTAGGTGTATTGCGTCAAACAGAGAGTACTTTGAAAGTGACTGAAGTTTAAACGTAAAAATAAATACACAATTGTTTATAAATTCCGTTTTTGGGGGTATACCTTTGTAATGTCTATTTCATCACAATTAAAACTTTTGACTATTACTGTAGGAGTAAAGCTCTTAAATTCTGTTTCATTGACTGATTCATTGTATGAGTAAGTGTGCCTGGACAGGGGTACACTGCTAGCCAAACCAACAGTGCCTACCTTCCTGGAACTGTCTGTCACCAATAAACACAGCCTCAGACTTTGGAGACTGCTCCTTTTACTGCTTTACCTTACCTTAAACCTGCTATCTCAGAGAACAGTCTTTTTCCTTAGTGGCTCTCTAAAGGTGAAGCTTATTTCCAAACACCCTGCATATCTTAGTATGATAAGACAGAGGCATTGCCTAACTTGCTACCCCTTTGCCACTCCCAGACGTTTCTTGCCCCTGCTTTCCTCTTGATAAAAATTTTTCTTTAATGCCCAGTGCCACCTGGGCTTTATCAACCCTTCACCTTCCACAGTCAGGTCAACAGCCCTTGGCTCACAATTTTCCCCTTTCCCAATTCCTGCCATTCTGTGATTTCCATGTGAATGACCCATTTAACTCCTAACCTCCCTATGTCCTAACCATTTTCCCTCTACCTCCACCACACATTCTCAAGGTCACAGGAAACTGGTATGATCAGAAACTTAACTTTAAAGTCATAAATGCCCTGCTCCCCTACACCACCTCCTAAGCTTCTATCTCAGAGACCTCCATCTACTTCTTTCAATTTACTTCACGCAACCAGTTTGAGTCCCTCCCTTGCCATGGTCCTCATTACCTTGCCCCTCTGCAATACTCTGCCACACTGACCTATAAAAACCTCAACCAAACCATTCATTTTTTGCCTGCACTCAGGCTGCTAGACAGAAAATCGTATTGGCATTTCTGGGTTTAATTTCAATGAATCACAGAAACCTCAAATGTACTGCCTGACAACTCTGCTGAGTTTCTCAAACACACCTGCTCTTCTGTCTCCCACAATGACTATTATAGTCCATTCTTCTCACATACCTTTTGTTTTTAGCTGATGACCTTATGAAGAATATATCACAAAATCTGCAGACATACCCGATTCTGTACCCATTGTCTTCCCTGCTATAAAATTAAGCGACTCTCCTGTCACAGGCCAATACTTCATGTGTTCTTTGGATTCCATCTCCTCTTACCTTTTTAAGGACATCACTCCTTTAATCTTCCCCTCTGTCATTAGTATCAATAGTAGTATTAGTTTACTCTCTATGGACATCATAATATCTATTATCATCTTTCTTTAAAAAAACCCCATCCTGGGCCACATCTCCAGAAAATACCCTATTTCTTTCCTCATCTTCACAGTCAAATGTCTCAAAGTTGTCTATGTGTGCTATCTTCATATCTTCACTTCCTATCCCACTCAGATCCCCACTCCATTAGTTCTGATCATAGCCACCTACAACCTCCAGACTGCTAAATCTAATCATAACTAATCTCTTAGCACATGATACAGTTGACCACCCTGCTCCCTTCTTGAAACACTCTTGGTTTCTATAATACCACCCTTGATTTTCTTTCTATATTATACCTGCTGTTTCCCAGTCTCCTTTGTTAGTTGCATCTTCTCAAGCCCATACCTAAATATTGGAATCTTCAAGGGTAGTCATGGAGTTCTCTGTGGTCTCTCTAGGTGATTTCACCCATTCCACAGTTTTGACTACCATCTCTGCTGATGATTTCTAAATTATATTTCTAGGTTAGAACTCTCTTTTAAACTCCATATTCTTATATCTGTCTATTAATATTTCTGTACAATGTCTCAAACATAATTTGATTTTTCTCCCAATCTTGTTCACTTTCTTCTCAGTCTTGGTAAATGGCACCGTAATCCACTTAGTTTCTCAAGGCAGAAACCTGATGCTTTTCCTAATTCCTACATCTCCCTGCTGTCTCAACTCCTAAATCCAGTTCTTGAGCACAATCTATTGGTTTTTACATCCAAGAAAAATATCTTAGTACAGATGATTTTCCTGCTATATTTAACATTTAAGTTCTTAATATTGTTTTGCTTAAGACTTAAAAATCAATATACCTAACTCAAATTTATTATAAAAACAAAAAGTAATTAAAGGGAAAGAAATCTTCACCTAGTTTTATTTCTCTCAACAAAGGTTTTCTTAGATGCTTTTAAAAAGTCTTGACAAGGTAGTTACCAGGTGAAAATAACCATATACTACTATAGGAGTACTTATAATACTATAAACTTTAAATTCAAAGACACATTTTTGTCTTCTTACTGAAATCTAGTTGTGTCTTAGATATCTTTGATGGCGTGTCAGTAAAATTGGCAGCATTTTTTCTTTATGGCATATAAAATAAAGTCTTAGATTTTAAGATATGTTTTAAATGTATATTAAGAGAAGAATGGAAAAAAGAAGCAAATTAAAAAAAAAAATGTAGCCTTGGCTGCTGTGGCACAGTGGATTGAGCACTGGCCTGCAAACCAGAGGGTCGCAGGTTCGATTTCCAGTCAGGGTACATGCCTGGGTTGCAGGCCAGGTCCCAGGTAGGGGGTGCTCAAAAGGCAACTACACATTGATATTTCTCTCCCTCTCTCCCTCCCTTCCCCTTGCTCTAGAAAGAAATAAGTATTAAAAAAATAAAAATACATATTCTTCCTCTTGTTTAGTATTGGTTGAGAACCAGGTTTTTCTCTTGGTAAATAAAACTAATTCAGGATGATAATTAACCTTTTTTTTAGGGGTCATGATTTATCTCCCTAAGCAAAAAGGAATAAAGCAAATGCATATACAAATTTACATATAATTTAGAGATTCACAAACCCCTAGGCCTCTCAAGTATCCATAGATCCTAGGTTAGGAATGCTTGATTTAGATATTTACAGAACAAAGTTCTAATGTTCTAAAGGATATTTGCAAAAAGTTATAAATTCAATAATTTAAACACTAAACATATACACACAGAAAAGTCAGTGTTAAAACATCCCTTTAAATCCCAGGATTGGAATTAAAATTTGGTTTGAAGCAAGGTTTATCTCATCAAAATTAATGTCTCATCTAATCAAGAAAAAATTAATTTTATTTACTCTTACATTAATAGTCCTTTTAGGCTTTTATTAGCAAAACCATAATAAGCTCCAACCATTTTAAATAATTAAATGCTGTAGTCCTAGTATTATAACTAGCCATTCAGAGAAGGTTGGTGATGCAAGATGATCACATTTTCTTTGGCTATGTGCCTAATTCCACTGTTGGGGACTGACTGCATGACTATTGGAGGTTACACATTATTTTAAAAGGAAGATAAATTTAAAATCATTTGATGTGTAGTGTGAAGTACATTTTTTCTAGAATTATTTAAACAATGCAATGTTCAAGTATAGAAACAATCATACACAATATGGAACTTAATATCAGAAAGTGATACTGCCTATAAGCAATCAGTAATTGTTTAAATTAAAACAGGCCTTACCTGATAGAAATGTATTATTCCTTAAAACGTACTATATATATAACAGTTTAACAGTAAAAATATTTAAGTAACATAATTATTTGTAGTCATCATTAATAATTTTTAAGATTACCATATTTCAATGTGAGAGATGTTTCAAATAATAAGGCTGCAATTAGTACATCTTCTTTAAGCACTTTATTTCTTAAATTTAGTCGAGCATGGGCTTCAGATAGGGAAACTCTAAAAAAGAAAATTGATACCAATCAAAATATGTTGATAGTATAAAAACTATATATTTTATCAGGAACAAACCAAGACATGTGTGACCATAAGCAACACCTTAAGGATGAGCATATTCTTTCTTTTGAAAAATTTATTTTCAAAGCACTTTTCTCACCAAGTTAAACAGACTCTTCCAGAATAAGCAAGTATTTTGACTTATCAAAGAGTTGGTTTCCACCCTCGCTTATCTTTGTTATTTTATATACAATCTCTCCACATTCTTTTCGGATAAATACAGAGTTGGGAAAATTAAGCTAACTAAATGTCTCTTAAAAACACATCGTTGGGATTTTCTAACAGTTCTTCGTCTATTTGAAGTCCTCATAGACTCCTGAAATTTCAGTGTTGGAAGACATCTTTGAGGTTAAAGTTCAAACTCCCATCAGATAACTGAATTTTCTCTATAACATTTAATGTATAGTCTCTTGAACTTTTCCTAGGATTCACTAGAAATCATGAAGTAATCCATTTCTTTACTTTTAAACTATATTTGATTACTTGAAGATACCTCCCTTAAGCTCTCATTAGGCATTTGTAATGTACTTGAATGATTGCTGGCCTTGGGAATCAGAAAAACTGGGCTAAGTCTCCAGAATTCACTAGCTGTGTGACATTGTATAAATTATTTAATTTCTGACATTATTTTGAAATTCAGCTATAAAATGGGGATAATAATTCATAGTGATTTTGTGATTTCAAATAAGGTCATCTTGGGACTTACTTACAAAGATTATATAAATGTAAGCTGAAATTGGTTTCACGGCAATTTCCACCTAGTGGTGGCTGGTTCTGTCTTCTGGGATTACAGAACAAGCCTAATACTTACATGTGACAGCTCTTCAAATACACAACACAGCTTTTCTAGTTGCCCCATGTTTTCATTTCTCAAGATAAATATTTCTAGTCCTTTTAAGATGTCATAAGACATCTTAAAGTTAAGGCCCCTCACCATTCTGGCTAGTGGGCAGATGTTAATATTCCTTTTCTGTATACTATTATTACACTTGTGATTTAATGTTAATACTCCTTTTCAGTATTACAGTTGTAATTACAGCAGAATAGAAGAGAATAGAAATAACATTTTCTTACTCATGATACCATATTCTATTAATGCAACCCCAAATCACAGTATTGTTAACAGCCATGTATATTGTTGACTCATATTAACCATCAAAAGAATGAAATCTCATCTTTTTCATATTAAGTCATATCACTCTTTCCCATCCATTTATACTTGTACTAGGGAGGTTGAGACCTAATTGAGAACATTACATTTATCCTATTAATTTTCTTTTTAGACTAAGACCATCATTCAAACTTATAAAGATCTCTCCAGAGTTGTTTATTTACAGATTTACAGATTATCATGTTTCTGATGTCTTACCCAAGCTCCTTGTAGTAGAGGGGGGAGGTCAGGGGATGGAGGGATCAAGCAAAAAGGAAAAAGGACTCATGGGCATGGACCACAGTGTGATGATTGCTGGGGGAAGGAGTATAAGGGGACTAAATGGTAGTGGGAAAAAAATGCAATAAATACTAAGACACAAACACCAAAAAAAAAAAAAAAGAAAAAAAGAAAATGACCAGGACAGAATAGGTATACAGCCTTTTAAGAAAAAAAGAATACAGTATTGTTCAGCTCTACTTTAGAAAAGCAAGCATGGTATATTAGGTACCTGTCTATCTAAGTAGGAGAAAAATTCAAGATTTATGATTCCTTTGACTAGTGGTTCATTGACTTTTCTATTTCATAACCCTCATCTCCTCCTCCTCTAAGGTTTATTTCTACAATGGGAAAATGTACAGTTATATTAAAATTGACTGCTTTATTTTTGAATTAATATAATCAAATGTAAACAGGTTATTTAAATAAATTATTTTTACAACAAAAAATATGAGAAAATAGGATTTTCAAAGCTTTGAAGCTTTGAGTATTGAATATTGATTTGAGTATCTTAAATATTACTTCAGAAAATAGAAAGTATTATATAATTTTGTTTACCATTTTAAAGCATCACCATTGATTTCTACCTTGTCTTATCTTCAGCATTTTTTTCATCTTTTTAAAGATAAATATACCATTGGGAGAAATTAGCTAAACATATTTATTTCATATAGGCCCATACTTGATCTTTCTTACTGGTCCCTCACTTGTCTTATTTTCTATTTCAGTTATAACAAGATACTTATTTAATGGATTGCTTTATTCCTAGTCCTACTTTATAATTTTTTAGATTATATATTAATCTATATCAAATGAAATAATGGTCTATCAATAGGGGACTATTTAAATCACAGTACAGCCACATCACAACACAGCAAAACTGTAATGCAGCTATTAAAATAGAATGAGGTAAATCTTCATGTGCTGATAGTGTGAGAGTATAATACATACGAGGTCTGTCTGAAAAAAGTACAACTGTTGTCAATATAATGAGAATGGTTTGTGTGACATCAATGTAACCTGGCAGCCAATGAGAGTGGACTAGAATGTACATGCATGAACAATGACTTTGTTGTACCACTCAGTGGGGGACACCATTGAGTGACCATGTGTACTGTGTGGCTGTCATATTGAAAATGACTGAGTAGTAGAGCAATGAATCTGCATCAAATTTTGTGTTAAGCTTGAACATTCCTCTGTGGAAACTGTTTGGATGATTCAGAAGGCCACAGCTATCGGCAACTGGTGACTGGCAGCTTCATCACAACAACACACCTGCTCATGTATCACTTCCCATGCAGAGTTTTTTTTGGCAAAACATCAAATCAAATCACTCAGGTGACTCAGCCCTACTATAGCCCAGATTTGACACCCTGTGACTTATGGCTTTTCCCAAAACTAAAATCACCTTTGAAAGGGAAGAGATTTCATAATGTTTATGGGATTTAAGAAAATACTTCGGGGCAGCTGATGGTGATTGGGAGAACTGTGTGAGGTCTTAGAGTGCCTACTTGCCTACTTTGAAGGGGACCAAGGTATCATTGTCCTATGCACAATATTTTTTGTATCTTGTATCTTCTTCGATAAAATGTCTCTATTTTTCATATTACATGGCTGGATACCTTCTGGAAAGACCTCCCATATACCATGCAAGATTCCATCTGGGCAAAAAGAATATCCATATTTGTATATTTATATTTATATATCATAATATACAGGAATATATATTCCTATATTTAATATGTATGTATATGTAATGTTTAAATAACATTTCATCTAAAATATATAACATTCAAATAAATATGTATTATTATACATCATATATTTAAACTACATATTTGTACATGCTAGAATTTAAATGGATAATTTCTGGAAGGATACACAACTTTTTTTTAAAAAAGATTTTATTTATTTATTTTTAGGCAGAGGGGAAGGGAGGGAGAAAGAGAGGGCGAGGAACAAAATGTGGTTGCTTCTCATGCACCCCCAACTGGGGACCTGGCCTGCAACCCAGGCATGTGCCCTGACTGGGAATTGAACCAGTGACCCTTTGGTTCACAGGCCAGGGCTCAACCCACTGAGCCACACCAGCCAGGGTCACAAAAACTCTTTACAGTGACTAAAGAATTCAAATTTGGGGCCTTGCCCAAAATGAGTTATTACCAGAGATAACTTTTTACAACCTCTCTATAGGACAAGGCAAATATCTAATTACTGCTGATCTGATCTTATTGTCCTGGGAATGACCTTCCTCCCCTCTGAAGCCCAAGGAACCTTACTCATCCTTAGCTCAAAATGTCACATGTACTCATTTAACTTTCCACCCCTGAATATCTCATGTATGTTGGGTTCCCATATATACTATGTAATTAAACTTGGTTGATTTTCTCTTGTTAATCTGTTTTATGTTGATTTAATTATTAGATCAGCCTGAAAAACCAAGAAAGGTAAAGGAAAATTTCTTCCTCCCTACAAATGTGAACAGCCACATTTAAAAAAATCATTTTCATTTGAAATCAGTATACTTCTCTCAGACACATCTTATATGGAGGGTCCAATAAAGATTAATTTAGTCAAAACAAATTATTGGAGGTTCAAATGATATAGTATTGTATATAACAAAAGGAACTGAGTCACTTTAAATTCTTTTGGAACAAAGCAAATTATAAACTGACAAACTAGCAATCAAACAAAGAAAACAAATGAAACAGATAAATAAGTTAATTAAACACATCATTTAAAAGTCAATACTGGCTTTAAAATTTTACATTGAATACCTACAAATATTTTAATGCAGATGCTGACAGTTTTGATCCACATATAGAATCAGTTCTGATTCTGCGACTTGCTAGATAATAGCCATGAATCATTCTTTCTGCCTCCAAGTTGAATTCTACATTCAAATTCTTTGCAAACGCCAGCAGCTAAATTAAAAAATGTGAAAAATTTAAGAAACTCATACTTTATTGTAGAATCTATATTGCAAAAATGCAAAGTATATTGTCACTGTATTTTTAAACATTTGCAAATTTTTTTACATTGAAATTGATTAAATAGAGCCATTTCAAAATAATTGAACATTTTAATCATAGTCTTATACTTGTAAGAATATTTAAGTTTACCCCAAATAACCTCTTCTTCCCTCTTAGTGCAGAAATATTCTGTGGAATGTATTGGAATGACTTTCAAGTCTTTGCTTCCAGTGAAATAAAGGCTCACTCAGATCCTTTCATTGGGAAAGAGACTTCCATCAGAAGCTCATTTCCCTTTGAATAGCTTTAATTCTTTGACAGTTTATTTCCTTGTAACTTTCCCTCATTGGCCTTAGATGCCCTTCTTACTTCCCTTTCTTCCCTTTAAAGAACACAACTGAACATTAGCAGTATGGGAGAAATTGTGTTAAATACTATGAATGTGGGCCTTGGAGATTCAGTAAGATTTTGGGTAGAGAATAAGTTTTCAACATAATGATTATCAATATTTTCCCTGAGTTTGCGCTTTTCTTTCTTTCTGATTGATTTCCAGTTTCTTAAGTCCTCACTCAATGACATAGTTTTCATGATCTTCAACAATTCCAGTTGTTTTTGCTTTTAAAACACACAGAAAAAAAAACAATAAAAATCTTGCTGTTAACTATAATATTTATATTTTTAAAATAACTTTTCTAAAGGATCTGGATATGTTTGTCCTGGGTTGGATATAGCCTGTCTTCTTTATTCTTCTTATACTCTACAGTTCCCTTCAGGCCTTCAGAGCTGGATAATAATAATTACATAAGTAGCCCTCTCTGCTGTTACCCTATGGAGGCCCAGTGATGTTCCCCCTGTATCCCCACTTCGAAAAAGGACTGTGGCCTGAGGTTCTGGGAGTCTGCTTAGTATTTGACCTCCAGCTGTCAACTTTTTCAGGGTTTGCCTCAGGACAGCCCATAACAAATGAGTGATTGAGGTGGAAGCGGGGAGGGTATTATAAAGCCCCTCTATATAGAGCAGGACCACTTTGATAAGTCTCCAGACTCATTATGAGGCCAACAAAAGCTATCTTTGGGCTTATACCACAGCTTGACTCCTTCCTCTGTCCAATTCTGCTTTCTTCTCCTTTCTGATGGGGGAACTCAAAAGTTAAACATTTTTAGCTTTAGTTATGTAGTCAATAGGCTTGGTGATTAATGCATGTACAAAGCTAACGTTCCAGGAACTGGAATGTATGACTAGACCTACTCTGACTCCAGGGGACCCACAAGCAATTCAACCTTTGCACCACAGCAGGACTGCAGGAGAATAAGATGGTATCTGAACCATTGTGCTCCAGGGAGGAAATGTCTGCCCACAATAAAGAGCCTGACACAGATAAAGAATCACCATGGGTCAGCAGATGAAAGGATACTAGGAAAATTGCTGTACTACAGCTTTTATCTGATTAACATTTTTCCTTGAATTCCAAACCCCTTATCTAAGTTTTTCCTGAGTTCCAAACTCCTTACCTACCTTCTTCTCCTTATGAAAAAGGTCAGCTCTAGATGAAATTGTAAGACAGACTTTTAGGGCATGTAACCCGCCATCTTCTCAGATTGCTGGCCATCTGAATAAAGCACCCATAAAAAGTCAATCTTTGTTTCTACTTATTAGTTCTGGCAGTGACAGGCAGCACGAATGCCGACTTTTCCGATTTCACTTCTACAGGTATTGCCAAGAAGAGCACTCCCCAATAATCAATGGCACACTAAGCTCCATCTCAGTTCACCTCCTGGAGAACCTAGGCTGCAACATATTCCATTCAATCTGTTTTGTGTGATGCACAGATTTATCTTTTGGGGAAATCATTTTCACTATGTCTCTAGCCTAGTAAAGTCTATGTCTATAATTGTTCTCTCCAGTCTGACAAATCAACAATAAAATGCCTGAGCTTTTTAAGGCTTATTGTAAATTTGCCAAATCCCAACCCCAATGACTCAATAATGAAATTTTTGTTCCAGTCAGGCAAGTCTTTTCATAGTTTTCCATGTATACTCTTTACTACTTTTATGTCTCTGCTCCTATTCTTATTTCTGTTTAGCATTCCCATCCTTCCTGTCATCTAAATCTTACCTTTCCTTAAGGCTAACTAAAGTCTCACCTCTTCTTTGAAATATTCCCAACTCTTCTCTTGTACTTAATATCCTCCTTGCTAATAGCTTAAAATACTTTTAGTCCATGCCACCCTCTTTAGCAATTGTTTTGGGTATCATATTTTTATCTCAACTAAATGATTAACTATTTAAAGAGAATTTATATTTCCATGAGAATATAAAAAAAAAAACAATAGGCTCATACATATATTCAGTAAGCACCTAATTAACAAATCCATGAATTTTTTTGTTTCTGTTTTTCAGGGAAAAAATGGGTGAAAATTTCTGCAGATCACAAGTGTGTCTACATATTCAGTATATTAATTCCTAGAGACAAACTACTTTTTTCTTATATGCTAAAAATAAACAAAAAGACCTTTTCCGTATTATCAATATTGTTATTTTTCTGTTCTATGTGAATAAACAATGCTTACAATTTATTTTTAAGTTTACTTCACCTTTCAACCTTTTACCCATGCAATATGTCTACATATTGCAGGAGGGCAAGTGTGAAAACAAATTTTAATGATCCATGGATTTCTCTACTTCCCAATATTCCCTGCCTTTTATCTATCCTACTCAGATACTTTAACTCTACTGTGGACAGATTCCTAAATAGTTAATATTAAAAGGGTTTCACAGGAACAAATTTAAAGGACACACGGACAAAAACTAGAGGGAGGGTGGTAATGGGAGGAAAGTGGGGAGGGATGGGTGGGTGGGCTGGAATGGGAGTAAAAGGGAGAAAACTGTACTTGAACAATGATTAAAATAAAAAAATAAAAATAAATTTTAAAAGGATAGGGAAAAATAAAAAAATAAAAGGGTTTCACTTGTAAATACTTGAGTACCTTTAGTAATTATGAAAATCATTACCAAATTTTTATCATCTATGTTCAGGTTCTCTGAATATGACACACATGTTTTCACATCAGGACATTAAAATGATTTAGTGAGTCATGACAGGTATTCCCTAAAGTGAGAATGCTGAAAACATTCATATAAACAAAATCTCTTTGAATAGCCTGTAAAATGTAAATAACTGTATATCTATACAGCCTCTCATCATATTTTCCATGGAAATAATCTATTTTTATTTCTTTCATTAAGATTCTTTATGGTATGGTGATTTAGAGAGTGGTACAAAGAATAAACTCAGCATTTTAATATCTATGTTCTTATATAGTTATTTATTTATAATCCTAAATATTTTCTATACAATATCCTCAAAATGTTTAAAAGCTAGAAGCGAGCTGGAATAAAAGTCCTAAATGCAGGAAACTGAATGCTCAATGAAAGTTGTATTTAAATTGAGAACCATTACCACAGGTATTCTTGGCAGTCATTTTTTCTACCTTTACCTTTTCAAAATCTTCTGTTGTAAACTGTTTAGAAGCTAAATAAAGCAGCCCTTCAGGATCAATGGCTTTCTTTAAAGTATGTTGCACAGTAGGAAGAAATGGGTGGCAAGGAGATGATTCATTACAGTTAATCAATAATCCAAATGCCTCTACAAGATTAGCTGGAATTAAACTGCAATCCTACATCAAACAAAAATGTAAAAAGCAAACATTAAGTTCAGGCATTTTCACAAAAACTTTGGAAATAATTATAAATTATTGAAATAATCATATATTTATAATACTTGATTATATTAAATTATGTACACATAACTAATAATTATGATTTGTTACTACTAATTATTATTTAAAGTGATTCCTGAATATTATGGGAACTTTGTGGTAACTGATTTTTTAAAATGCTCTTAATTATTTTTTTAAATATTTTATTTATTTATTTTTAGAGAGGGAAGGGAGGGAGAAAGAGAGAGAGAAACATCAATGTGCGGTTGCTGGGGGTCATGGCCTGCAACCCAGGCATGTGCCCTGACTGACAATAGAACCTGCGACACTTTGGCTCGCAGCCCACGCTCAATCCACTGAGCTACGCCAGACAGGGCTATTTTCTTATATATTATTCTTTAAATCCTCTCCCAAATTCAAATAACAATTTCTACTGAGCAGATATCTGCTTGGAATGATTTTTAAAACATTCAAATTTTTAAACTGTGTCATTATTTAGTTCTAGTACCCAATTAAGTATAGAAATGGGTAATAACAAAACACTAAGAACAACAAGAGCACTAAGATTAAAATCTGTTGCTAAATTTTAACATTAAAATAAAATATAACATTTTAACAATAAAATATACAAATACCTTACCATCTGACCAATTAGAGTGTTGGTTTTCTGCATATTTTTCCTTGATGATGAATCCATATCAATGAAAGACCAGAAACTGCACTGAATTGGAAAAGTCATTTGTTGATCGATATCATCCCCAGACTTCTTTCCAGGGATATATACTGTGATGTTTCTGCTTTCCATAACTAAGTTAAAGACATTACCCATTTGTTATTTAAGTTCATTTTGGTCTATATAACTATAAATCAATAATACATATTTTATAGAATCTTACCATCTAAATTTTAGATAATATAGACACAAGTAAATTTGTTCTGCAAGATATAACTGTCTAAATTAGAAAATATGCCATAAAAATAACAAGATGAGAAAATATTTGAATGTTTATATGTCCTGTGACTTGATGAGAACCAGCCATCCAAAGCTTGTAGCTAGTACTGTGGTCAGTGTCTGGGTGGAATACACAGAAGGTTAGGAGATTGGTCATTCAGTGCAAGCTTACAAGGGAGGTTGAAATAAAGCCACGTTCTTTTATGTGGAAAAATAATGATGGAAAGTGGGCTATTTTTGTGTGAGTGAAAGAGGAAAAGGCTGAGAGAGAATATGAACTACAATGATTAGGGGGAATAAATCTCAAATTCAATATGTTCAAAACCAAATCATTTCTCCTTAAATGGCTCTGTGTGCATTATTCATGTTTGGGGTATCACCATCTAAGCACTTAAAACCCAAACAAAAAGGTGTGAAAACATTCAATTCTTTTTTCTATCTGTCCCTCAACCCACTCAGTCTATGAATTCAATACTATTTCTAGGATTCTATCTCCCAACCATTTCTCAAATTAGTCTTCTCTCCACTCATAATAACAGACTTTTTTATACATGTTTTTCTTTCTCTTGGGTCATAAGGTAAATATATACATTTAACTCAATAGAAACTGCCAGACCAGTTTGTAAGATGGTGTACTATTTTACATTTTCATCAATAATATGTGAGAATTTCTGTTTCTCCACATCCTTAGCAACTTTGCTTGTTGTCAACCTTTTTAAATTTTTGTCATTCTAGTAACCAGGACCCAGCTACATAATTTGTGTGTCTTAGTGTAAAATGAAAATCTGTGCCTCTTACTCAAAAATACTAATATTCAATATATAAAGCTTTTTCCTTAAAAAATGTTATTACTTATGTAATGGGGTGATATGGAGAAATTAGAACACTCATACATTATTGTTGGGACTGTAAGAGGGTATGACTACTGTAGAAAAGTTTGGTGGTTCCTCAAAGTTAAACATAGAATTACCCTATGATCCAGCAATTCCACTTCCAGGTATAATACCCAAAAGAGTTAAAAGCAAGGACTCAAACAGATATTTGTATAACAATGTTCATTAGCAGCAGCATTATTCACAATAGCCAAAAGGCAGAAACAGCCCAAGTGTCCATCAAAAGATGAATGAAATTTTTTTTAAAAATTGGCATATATATAGTTAAATATTATCCAGCCATAAAAGGGAATCAGATTCTATGAATAGGCAAATTCATAGAGAAAGAAAGTAGAATAGAGGTTACCAAGGACTGGAGGTAGCAGGGAACAGGGAGTTACTTTTTAATTGGTACAGAGTTCTGTTTGGGATAATTTAAAAATTTCTGGAAATGGATAATGGCATGTTTACACAACATTATAAATGTACTTAATGTTAGTGAATTATACACTTAAAAGGGGTTAAAATGCTAAATCTTATGCTATATGTATTTTATCAGAATTTTTAATAAAAGGAATGTAGTACTGACACATGCTACAACATGGATGAACCTCAAAAACATTATGTTGACTGAAAGAAACCAGTCACAAAAGACCACATTATCATAGAATTCCATGTACAAGCAATGTCCAGAACAGGCTAATCTGTAGAGACAGAAAGCAAATTAGGTTGCCAGGGACTGTGAGAAGAAGGGGTTTGAAGAGATGACTGATAATGAGTATGGGGTTTCCTTTTTGGGTGTTGAAAATATTCTGAAAGACAGTGATGATGGCTTTACAACTCTGTAAATATTCTAAAAACCAGTAAACTGTACATTTTCAGTGGTAAATTGTATGGTATGCAAATTATATCTCAATAAATCTGTTACCAAAAAAATGTATAAATGTAATTACCATTCTAAAACTATTTTTTTTAAATATTGATTTTTAGAGAGAGAGATGAAGGGAGAGAGATAGATGAGAGAGAGAGAGAGAGAGATATCAAATTGTATGTTCGACCTGAATAAGAATCAACTTATTCATCGGCTGATTATTGTATGTGCCCTGACCCAGTATCGAACCTGTAATCTTGGTGAATCAGGATGATGTTCTAGCCAACTGAGCTACCTGGCCAGGACCTAAAACTAAAATTTTTAATTATTGGCAGGAATATTGCCATTTATCTTTATATGGTACAATACCAATCTTAAATACAAATAAATGATCTTTTAACTCACATGTGAAATTACTAATATAAGTAGCTTATATTGTAGCTAGTATATCACAATACAGGTAATACATATTACATACTATACAGCATATAACATATATTATATATTCCACACAATATGCAATATATAATATATTCTGTATATCATTACACAGAACATACAATATATTCTATATATGCTATATTCTATGTAACATACCACATACTCTGTTATGTTATATAATATGCTTAGATGTTTGTGTATGTGTATTACATAATATATATGATGTCCTATAATATATTATAATATAATACTGTATATTGTATTATATATTAGGCATAATATATAATATAATGTGCTATATTATTATATATAATATATAATAAAATAATAATGTAATATAAATTATATATAATATATATTATGATATATTATATACTAGCTATAATATTCTCTCTCTATATATTTCTTTGAGAACACTGGAAATGCTGCACAAACCTGTTTTTTATTTTGCTTCTTGATATACATCACTAATGCATGGTGAATTAGCTTATTGATGAATAAGGAAGGACTGAAAGGAAAAGAAACTAAGTGTGGCCTTGTATTTCTCTTTCCTCCTATATCATCATTTTCAGTGTAAGTAGTTGGCAAATACAGAAAATAACCAAGTACGAAAAGATATGATGGGGTTCCTTGGTCATTTGTATTTCTTAGATTACCACTGCCTGCCTTCTATAGAAAAAGCAAGTCTGGTTGGAAGGGAAAGTGTGACCTCTTGGGAGCTATTGACTCCCTTACTTAGTTGAAAATGTCTTGATATGGGACATTAGCACAGCCTTGTAGTGTACTTGCAATACATAGGAGTCCAGAGAGAACAAAACTGGTTACAAATTGTGCAGCTGCATAGTGATTGCAAATGCTATGTGAAATAAGGGCAACAAGGCATGGTAAACACATGTGTGAATGTATCTCCACTGCTTACACACATGCTTGTCTGTCTTAATGGACTTCCTTAAAACACAAGTTTGACGATAAAAATCATTAAAAATTTGAAAATGGTGGCAGTACAGTTTTAACCAAGTCCCAGCCTGTTCTAGGAGGAGGAGGGCCTTTGTGAAACTATACTTGTTCCATGTCCATGAAGCAGGCCCTCCTAGTGCGTGAGTGTTGGTATCTCATTGCAGTTTTATTTTCATTTCCCTGGTATCCAATGGATGATAATGAGTACTCTTTCATGTGCTTATTAGTCATTTTGTATATCTTTGTGAAGTCACTATTCAAGTCTTTTGCCCATTTTAGGCTGGGTTCTTTGTTTTTTAAATTATTGACTTATAGGAATTGTTTCTATGTGCTAGGTGTATGTCTGATATCAGATATATGTATTTGCAATTATTTTCTTTTTATTCACTTGTCTACTCACTTTTTAAATGGGACCTTTGATGTGTATAACTTTTTAGTTTTGATGAAGTCCACTTTATCAATTATTTTCTGTTTATGACTTTCTAAGTCCTAAGAAATATTTGCTTATGTTAAGATCATGAAGATATTCTATGTTTTCTTTCTTCTAGAGCCTTATAGTATTAGTTTTTATGTTTAAGTATACGATCCCTCTTTACTTAATTATTGTTTATAGTTGAGGTGAGCCAATGCTAATTTGGTTACATATATATAACCGAATTGTCCATCATCATTTGTTGAAAAATATTTTCTTTCTCCATTTACTTGCTTTGGTGCCATAGTCAAAAATAATTCACCATAAATTCACCATATTAGTGTGGGTCTCTTTCTGCATTCTCTTCTAGGGAGAGGGAACATACTATGTGCCCTGAGCATTGCTGCACATTCTTGTTGTTATTCCAAGAATACAAGGCCCTGACTGCTTTTTGCTCAGTCCATACCTGTCCATATCCTTGTTAATTATAAATCTACCCCAAACTGTGTAATACACTAATACCAAAATCAGAACAAAAACATGGTAAGAAAAATACAGACCAATATTTCTTGTGATATGGATTTAAAAATCCACAAAAAATATAAGCACATTGAGTCCAACAATGTATAAAAAGAATTTCATACTACAGCCAGGTGGGCTTTATTCTAGGTAAGCAAAAATGGTTCAACATTTGAAAATCAGTTAATGTAATCCATAATATCAACAGGCTATAGAAGAAAAATCACATTATTATATCAATATATTCAGAAAAAGCATTTGATAAAATCCAACACCCATTTATTAAAAAAAATCTCAGTAGATTAGGAATAGAGGACTATGCCTTCAACTTGAAAGAGAAGACTCAAAGCTTTCCTGCTAAGATCATGAACAAGACAAGGATGTCCCTTCTCACTATTGCTTTTCAATATCATATTGGAAGTCTTACTTAACGCAATAAGACAAGAAAGGAAATAAATCTAGTTCAACAAAAACTCATGTGTTAGCACAACTGAGAGCAAAGACTAAAACAGTACATTTGCACATTAAAGTCCTTTGTTTTTACTTATAAAGATAAAATGAGACATGACATTTAGTATAATTTCTCAATTTCTAAAACAAGTCCAATACAATCCTAACTGTTAAATAACGCCTTGTCACTGGTGAAACTATAAATTAAACAGGTAAAAATTAATTTGATACTCTGGCTGGGTAGCTCAGTTGGTTAGACCATCACCCAGATACGCCAAGGCTGTGGCTTTGATTTCTAGTCAGGGCACATACAAGAAGAAACGAATGAATGCATCAATAAGGGGAACAACAAATCCATGTTTCTGTCTCTCTAAAAATCAATCAATAAAAAATATTTAAAAAGAAAATTAATTTGAAAAATATAGTGTGTACCTGATTGAAGTTGTTCAAGTTTATCTTTTTTGTGTGAAGCCAAGTCTCCTATAAAGCAGATACCACCTTTAGCCAGCAAAGCACTGCCAGCTTGAATGCTAACCGCTCCAGTTCCATAATTATTCCTGGACAGAGTAGGAAAAATTTCAGTAGAGACTGGATGACGTATACCACGGGGCACAAGGTTTATACTAAAATTCAAAAGCCTAGGGAAAAATAAATTATTCATTACTATTATTTAATATTTGGTTTTGAGAAATCATAATATGTAACAGCTACATAATCAAATTTAATTTGATTCAATTTTTACTGAGCTAAGTATAAAAAACATATGTAAAACTTAATCCTTTACTTGGAAAACTCACAGCCAAGAAAGAGACATAAACAAAAAACTAAAATACAATGTGAAAAATGCTGAAATAATGTTTTGAGAACATCCATAAGAGAGTATTATTTCTTCCTGGAAGTAAGTCACAGAAAGGTACAGAGAGATAACATTTGAACTGGGCCTTCCTCATTTTATGAATTGTTTTCTTTTGTTTACTTGGAGTTTTTGCATTTAGGTTTGCCAATAGCTCATCATGACTATTCCTGCTGCCGATGCTCTGTATCATGGTAACTCTCGGGAGTTTTTGCTTTCTAATCTCTTTGCCAACTGCCTCAGCCTCTTTATTTCTCAAATTTAAATTCTAAGAAAAGAATATGATTATTTTAGCTTAGCTTTCAAATCCTTGCCACAGAAATCATAGGCTGTTGGTGCAATCAACTATGACGACTAAACATAGACATGCAGAGCAAATATAGAAGCAGCAGCATCCCCTAAATGTGGATAAGTAGATGTTATAAAATGTCTACTGTATGTGCCATTCCAAAGAATTTGGATGTTAGTTTGAAGACTATAAAATGGGGCAGTGAAATTTAGAAAGACACTTGCAAACCTTTAGAGCAGTGGTTCTCAAACCTAACTCACATTAAAATCACCTGTGGAGTTTTAAAAAATTCCAATACCAAGCTCCACCCCAAAGCAGGGAAATTAGAACTGTGGGCCACACGCATATATTTTCTCTCAGGTGAGTCTAATGTGCAGTCAGTCTGAGAACCCAGTTATATAGAACAATGGGCCTCAAACTTGGCTGCACATTGAAGTCAGCTGAGGAATTAAAAAAAAAAAAACAACAGATACAAGGTCACAGAATACAAGGTCAAAATAAAGAAAACAATTGTATTTCTTGTTTTTAATTTGTTTAAAGATTTTATTTATTTACTTATTTTAGAGAGGGAAGGGAGGGAGAAAGAGAGAGAGAGAGAAACATCAATGTGCGGTTGCTGGGGGCCGTGGCCTGCAACCCAGGCATGTGCCCTGACTGGGAATTGAACTTGCGACACTTTGGTTCACAGCCCACTCTCAATCCACTGAGCTACGCCAGCCAGGGCACAATTGTATTTCTATATATTCACAGAAACTATTTGAAAAATGAAAATAACAAAATACTGCCTTTTTTAAAAAAATCCTTACCTGAGGATATGTTTACTGATGAGAAAGAGAGTGAGAGGAAGGTAGGGGAGAGAAACATCAATCTGAGAGAGAACCATCCATCCATCCATCATCCACCTCCCACATGCACCTCTACTGGGGATCAAACCTGAAACCTTTTCAGTATATGAGACAATGCTGCAACCAACCAAGCCACTCATCCACTGCAAACACTACCATTTTTAATAGCATCAAAAATATCAACTACTTAGAAATCAACTTAAAATATGTTCATGACCTTTATAAAACATTGCTGAGTGAAATTACAAAAGATTTAAATAAATGGAGATGCACACCATATACATAGATTGAAAGACTCAGCATTGTTAAATGGTAAATTCTCCCCCAAACTGATTTATAAGTTAACTGCAATTCCAATGAAAATCCTTAAAGTCTTCTTTGAGGGGGAGTAGTGGGTGAAGTTGGTGTTAACATATGAATTCCAAACTTTATAAGAAAGTGCAAAGGACCTAAAACAGTGGGGAAAAAATGAATATGAAGAATTAAGTTGTACTACCTGATTCAAAACTTAACAGAGCTACAATAATGAAGAGTGTGTGGTATTGGCATAATTATAGACAAATGGGTCAAAATAACAGAAAAGAGAGTTCAGATGATTTATACCCAGTTCAATTTTATAAGTAATTTACATCCAGTTCTATTACTTTTCAGTGATGGCACCAAAACAATTCAATGGGGGAAAGGAAAGTCTCTTCAACAAATGGTATACAAAAATTAAATAAGTGCATAGCAAAAACATAGCAAAAATCTTGACTTCTACCTCAAACCACATACAAAAATTAGCTTGTGATAGATAAGAGACCTAATATTAAAGTGAAAATTATAATGCTTCTGGAAGAACACACAAAATAATATATTTATGACCTTGGGGTTGGCAAAGATTTCATCACCAGAAGAATGTATAAACAAATTCTGCTATATTCATATAATGGAATTCTACTAATCAATAAAAGCAATAAAATAATGATACATACAACTGGGTCAGTCTCAAAAACATGTTGAGTGAAAGAGACTAGATCCAAGAGTATGCACTGTATGCCCCTGCCGGGTAGCTCAGTTGGTTAGAGTGTCATCCTGATATGTGGAGGTGTGGGTTCCATCCCTGGTCAGTATGCATACAAGAAGGAACCAATGGATGCATAAATAAGAGGAACAACAAATCTCTCTCTATCTTTCCCCCCTCCACATCTAAAATTAATTTAAAAAAAGAGTATGCACTGTATGATTCTACTTATATAAAATTTAAGAACAGGAAATTAATCTATGGTGACAGAAATCACCTGTGGAGATAGGAACTGTTTGGAAGGGCGAATGGAAGAACTTTCTGAGGTGATGAAAATGTTCCATATTGTTGTGATGGCTACAGGAGTATATGCATTTATCAGTCATCAAATTGTATATTTAAGATCTTATTATTTCACTATATATAAACTTTACCTAAAAACAAAACACCACACAGCCTCAAATACCACAGGAAAAGTCAAAGGTTAATGACAAACAGGAAAAGAGACAATGGTCTTAATTTATAAGAGGTATCATAAATCAATAAGAAATAAACAACTTAATAGAAAGTGAACAATTGTCAAGGAGTTTCATAGGAAGATAACAGAAGTGTTTAACAAACTATAAATGATGTCAAAATGTATTCCCAATTAAAGAAATGTAAATTAAATAAATATAATTTTCCATCAATCAGATGAAAAAATTTTAAAGTTTAATAATATCCAGCACTGGTGAGGTAGTAAGGAAGCAAATACTTTTATGCTCATATGTGAAAATTCAATTGGTGCAATCTATAGCAGTTAGCATCATACTTACATTGCAATTTAATTTTAGCAAAAACATTTGAATTTTGGAGTTTTATTCTTTTAATTTTAAATTCATTCTATATATTTGTTTTTCTTTATAATTGCACATAAGATTTTATTATAAAAAGCACATTCTTAGCTTTTTGAATATTTATGTAACTTTTTTAAATGGGTACTTGCTAGTGAGGAGCCCCAAAAGCTGAGTTAAGGCTTATTTTAACATTAGGGTGGTGCTCCCAAAACAGTAATTTGGGCACTTTTGACAGCATTATTTGGGTACAGTGAGTCAGCATTACTGAATGGAATCTTAAAGAAAAGTAAGGAAATGGCTTGTTGCCTCTTAGAGGGGGAGATTATTTAAAAATGAACATAAAGTACAAAAGCAGAACTCTAAGGTAGGGGAGGGGGGAAAAGGTAGCCTGTATGATGCATTTATTTGTAAAGGTCAGAGTGGAAAATAGGTGGAAACTTTAAATAGTTAAAATAGATTCTCAAAATATTGAAAGCAAACATCCCATTTCTCAATCCATGTTTTAAAACTTTTGGACTTTATTGATAAATGTTTATTTAAATAAATTTTTGCCCAGATAAATCCTAAATATTTGTCTTGTAATAATGCTCATGGAAAGGATTAAATAATTAAATCTGTGACCAATTTATAATTTGAAAAATTTCATGTCACATATTTTACCTGTCTACAAGTAGAGAATCACTTGTTACAATTAAAATATCCAGGCAATCTTCCACTTCCTTGTTAAAGTCCCTTGTCTGTACTAGACTCATCAGCAAACAGAGCTTGAGCAAATTGTAAGTCCCAGGAGGAACAATGTGTGACGCAAAGGCACTGGTAAGTATTGCTGTAAACTTCCAGCATGAGCTGGCAGTCAAAGAGAGGAGACACCTGAAATTGTCGCTAATTCCTGAAGGAACTGAAAGTAAATAATAACACATACATTAAAAGGGGTTTGAAAACAAAGAAAAAAGACATTATAGATACCTAATTCTATTTATCTAAAATATTATCAAAATACAGTTCTTTTAATGATGCTATATTCAAATTATAATGATACTAGATTATGACTGGAGGTCACTCAGGTCTGTCATTTGCATTCCAGGAAACATGATAAAAGGAAGCAGTCACCCCAAGTGTCCATGTAGACTGACTGCAAACAAGTCCCTCTTTTAAGACCTATGTGAGCAAAGCCACATCATAGAGCTCCTATTGTAGTGTTTGCTTTTTTATTTCTGTGTTTGAAATAATATTACCTGGAGGGCTAAAAAGCAGAATGGGAAATATTTGACTGTTGCTGTTAAAGGGAAAGATTACTTTATTACTTTGAAAGCATTATACTGTACTGTATGGTAACAGTCTAGAACTCCACTCCCTCTGTCCAACTCCTGAAAGCAATGAGTGATTTAATCAAATTGGTCAGTTTGGGAGGAACAGCTATGCATGTATAACCCAGTCCCTTTCTCCTTCCTCTTGGGCTCCCATCATAGAGCATTGATTTCTTCTACTCACACATGCCCATGGACCAAGGAAGGCCTACCGTAGTGTAGCTCTTGCCACATCTGTGTGGTTAAATCTGCCTAATTCTGGAGTTCAGCATGAGAAAGCAGTTTTCCACCTACATATAAGCTATGTTCTGCTACCAAACTAATACATCTTGAAACACCTCACAACAGAAAATATTTAAAATATCACTAAAATGTCTATTGTTCATTAGTGCCTTTCTTTCTTCAATATTTTTATTGTTAAGAAGCATTCTCTTCAAGATAAGCAGAGGTATCTATAATCTAAAGTTGAATTTAAATACTTGCATTTAAATTCAACTTGGACCTCTATTATTGCAGATGGTTATGTAAAAATTCTTTAAAAAATCTAACTCTATTCAAGATTTAACTAGCTTTTCTTACATTTAGATATTTGTGTGCCCAGTTAAAAGAGTAGGTCTGCTCTCCACTTTTGTTTACATAATGCTTAATTATGTTTGAGTTGTTAAAGAAATAATAAATTGTCAGAAATAAAGGTGATATTTTGCCTTTCTATTTTGCCTTATGTCTCAGTTGGTCCAGAACTCAGATGAGGAGAAAGATGCTATTTTACTGGGCTCTCTTTCTCAGTTCACAAGCTAAGATCCAGCTAAGCCTAGAAAATAAAGGTTAGGGTAGAAAAGCCTTTTGACTAGTCTTTAACTCTTGGGACCCTGAAATATTTTTCTCATTGCTAATTATTATAACGATAATGTTTAGCAAAAAAAAAAAAAGATTTCCTGTGGACAAGGCTCTACATTATCCCATTTTTTTCTTCATAGAATTTATTATCTGAAATTGTCTTACTGATTAGTTTACTATCACCTGATTTCAGAGTAGAAACCTTAACTGTCCTGAGCACTGTATCCCTAGCACTCAGAAGAGTGCCCAGCACATAGGCAGCCAATACTTATTTCCTAAGCAAATGGATTTAAATGTAAGTACTTGTTAATATATATACTATATATTTTCCTTACCTTTTGGACTGCAAAAAGTGATGCTGTTTGCCTCTATACAGACAGAAGTTTGTAAAGTTTTTACACAGGTTGGAATTCCGATAATTTTATACTCATTTCCTATATTCATTTTATTCACTGATTCATCTAAAAATTATTAAACACAAAAGAAAATGTGTTCACTAAAAGAAACTTATACATGATCATATGGTTCAAAGATCTTGAACAGTAACAATTCAGTAATTACATTAGTTGTAAAGTATTTACTTTTACTTAATGTAATATCCATATAGGATGGCAGTAATGTAAATCGAGGCAATTTTATTGTTGATAAATTTTGATACTTATAGGCAATGATGAATTAACTTCAAGGAGCATGTGACATAACAACTAGGTAGTCTCCTACATAGTCAAAACAGAAAACAAGATCATTCTATTTAAGATGAAATATTTTTGCATTAAATGATAAGAAATTTTAATAAACATGATTTTATAAGTAATATTTTATTTGGGAATAAAATAATTTTAAAAGGTATTATTACCATCTACAATATAGACAAGGTACTTTGACATACAATACCCAATTGTAAACTAAAAATAGATATTGTCATACCCACTTTATATATGAAAAAACTGAGAGGGTAAGTAAGTGACTTGCACAAGGCTAAATAATTAAATACCAAAACTGAAATTCACATCTCGGTCTGCCTAGTTCCAAAGTCTACCCTCTTGCATTATCCTAGGTTCCTCTCTCATACCTACATATTGGGCAAGGCTTTTGTATAAGTTCAAATCTCATTCAAAAAGATCATACACCAAAAGTCTTGGTCCTCCATTACACAGTTAGGAGTTGGGTAGTTGTAAAGCTATGCAGAAAAAGATTTACAAGGCGATTAACTTCTCTCTGTGAACAAGATCAAACAGTGATCTTCATTTTTAATTCTTTTTTTAAAAGATTATTTATTTATTTACTTTTAGGCAGAGGGGTAGGGAGAGAGAGAGGGAGAGAAACATCCATGTATGGTTGTCTCTTGCATGCCCCACACCAGGGACCCGACCTGCAACCCAGGCGCATGTCCCGCTGTGAACCAGCGACCCTCTGATTCACAGGCCTGTGCTCAAACCACTGAGCCGCATCAGCCATTCCAACACTAAAAGAATTTTTAACTCTTTTCTCTCCTCTCTTACACTTTTTTTTTAAGCTCCAGAGAGCCTACTGATGTACCCTACAGACTTGGAAGGGAAGAATCAGGCTCAAGAACTGAGACAATAAAAACCTAAAACAAACCAACCAAGCTAACAACAACAACAACAACAACAACAACAAACAACTAAATGATACAGAATAAATTACAAGGGGAAAATAAAAATAATAGTTTTTCAACTGTGCCATGGAATCTTCCAGTTTGATGGATATGTTCTGGAAAGGTCAAGAGGAAGACAAGAAGTCTAGGAATTCTGATTATTTCTTCTGATCTGAACCCCAAAGGGCCTGTTTTTATTCATTTAATTTTTAAAAATGTATTTGGGTTCTACATAAGGGTTTATTTGAAGAAAGGGTTTTCTACTAAAATATAAGTTGGATAGCCACTTATATTTATATATTGTAATATATGGTTTACATATAGTATGTAATAGAATCAAGTAGTTAAAAGCATATATTTTGAAACTGGAATACCTGAGTATAAATCATGATTGTGCCATGTACCAGTTGTATGACCTTCGACAAGTTACTTAACTTCTTTGTGTCTATTTCCACATTCTAAAATGAAAATAACGATAGAACCTATTGATAGGATTGTTGTGACTAAATGAGTTAATGTCTGTAAGAGTGTAGGGCACACAGTAACTGCTATATAAAAATTATGTATTATCATCTAGGCTTACATACCTGCCTCATCCTTGACAGGTCATGGTGAAGAGTTCTTATTTGAGTCTCTACTTTCCTAACTCTTATATTTCCTATGGATAGTTGACATCCAAGATCCCTCTTTCTGAACAGTTTAATTCCTCCACCCAAGAAAAGAGGCTGACCCATATCCTCATTTTCACAGTTCTGGCTTCTCACCTCTTCCCTGGGTGATTGATACTGATAATAATTTCCTCCTTCATGGCAGATGCTGCTATGCAGTACTTTACCCATGCAGTTTTCAACAGATAATCATATGTCAATGCTCATTCATTTATATAACAAACATTTATTGAGTTTTTAGTATGTGTAGTAAAAAATCTAAGTCCCTACCCTCATAAAGTCTATATTCTAAAACAATAAGTACAATACTTTCATAGCACGCATGCATAGAATAATGGGAGATCATTACCATGAATAATCATGACTTTGAGACTTAGCACAGTGCTTGGAACATAGCAGGTCCTAATATCTTTTTAAATACATGTTGTGCCCTGGCTGGCGTAGCTCAGTGGATTGAGCGCGGGCTGGGAACCAAAGTGTCCCAGGTTCGATTCCCAGCCAGGGTACATTCCTGGGTTGCAGGCCATAAACCCCAGCAACCGCACATTGATGTTTCTCTCTCTCCCTCTCTCTATCGCCCTCCCTTCCCTCTCTAAAAATAAATAAATAAAATATTAAAAAAAATACATGTTGTATGACTAAATGAATAATTGCCACATAGCTACATGTGACTCTTTAAAATACTTGAGTAAGATATCCTGTCATTCTTAAGCTGCAGCAGTCCCCCTTATCTGTGGGAGACATGTTGCAGTGGACATCTGAAAGTGCAGATAGTACCAAACTCTATACAGGGTCTGGCACAAAGTAACACCCATTTTGTTTTATAAAATTTTTTATTGCAAAATCATAAGCCTGTAATTCTGTAACATAACAATATCACACTCAAGCACACCATATGACATTTTAGGTGAAATGTTCAAATTAAAATTATAAATTATTACACCCATATATATTATTACCCTACCAACCACACTCAAGCAGGCCTTACTTCTGCCAGAACCCATATATACTGTTTTTTTCTATACATACATACATATGATGAAATTTAATTTATAAATTATTCACATTAAGAGATGAATAACAATAAGTAATAATAAACCAGAACAATTATAACAATATATATAAAAGAAGTGAATGTGGCATGATTATGTAAAAAACATTACTTAAACACAAGCACTGCAATCCTTGACAGTTGATATGAGAATCTAGATGGCTAGTAAGTAGCAAATAACAAAAGCAGGGAATGTGTACAACATGGAGATGCTGGACAAAGGATGATTCACTTCCCAGGATATTTCATCACACTACTCAGAATGGCATGTAATTTAAAACTTATAAATTGTTTACTTCTGGACTTTTTCATTTAATGTTTTCAGACCATGGTGTACCATGGTAACTGAAACCATGGAAAGTGAAACTATGGATAAAGGGGAACTACTGTATAATATAAAAGCATAACTAAGTCAATTACATATTTTATATATTTTACAGCAATTTGCTTTTAGTTCAAACAAAACTTACCTCTTAGAAAAATTGTAAGAGATTGAAACCTAAATGGCTGGTTGTTAGAATATCCTTGAAAAGCATGAAGTGCCTTTGTAGTAATTATTTCAACTATCTGTTTATCTTAAGGCAAAGAGCAAAAAAGAATGTTATTAGAATACATATTCAATTTAATTTCCATATTAAAATATCAGACACTACTTTTAAAATTGAAATACGTAAATGCATTTTTACCACCAAGTACTCTAAATTTTCTGTCTTCCTGAAGTGGAGATGAACACAGATTACACAAAAAGTCATTTCTTACTGTTGCAGATTCTGTAGCACCAGGCACATGCACCCTTATATACTGAAATCCTGAAAAAAACAAAACAAAATTGTTGGGAACCACCCTGCCTGGTTTTAGAAGCTGTAGCCCCCCATGGCTAAAGCTGAGTGAGAGTGAGCTAAGATGTCCAAGCATTCTTGCCTGCTTCAAATTGGGACCCTAAGACACTAAGAAGACAAAGCTTATCTCCCTGGCAGGGGCACCACCTCTGCTCCCTTTACTTCACCCTGCCTGGCCCCCAATGGATGACCAGTTAGCCAATGACGAGTAAGATTCCTCAAGGGAGGGACAACTTAAGACAGGCACGGTCACAAGGGGGCCCTCAGGGAAGGACTTGGGGGGGATATAGAAAAAGGGGGTGATGGACCTTTGCCCCTCAGCTTTGACATACCCTGAGTCCTCATTCTGTCTGCAAAAAGTCTCCTAATCTCTTGGCTGTTTTACTTTCCCTGCCCGACTTAAGCCTGAAATATTTGGGGGAGGTGTGTGTGGCCCTGTGCTGGAAAGGGAGGGTTCCCTGGGGCAATCAGGCCTAAAAAAGAATACATAAAATCTTGTGAAACCTGCTTTGCTAATACCCTCAATTTAAATGATAAGGGTTCAAGCATGAAATGAATTTGTTTCCCCCAAAGTTTTATGACCCTCTAGTTATCTGACCCTGACTCAAAATAAGCCCTCATAGTTCTTTGAATGTTATCTATTGTTTGACCATTACTACCTGGCAATGATTGATTAGCTTTACTTATATGCCCTGTATTCCTATGTAAATGAACCCAATAAAAGCCCACTGAGGAAAAGGCTCCTGGCCCTTCTTCTTTGAGAGTTCTGCTACCTTTCCTTCCCAAGAAGATCATGTCTTGGTAGATTTATTTTCATCCATGGCAGATGGGGGACTCTGTGGACAAAGATCCCCCACACAAAACAAAATAGATGTAAGCTAAGTTTGCTTTTGGGTTTAGCTATCTATTTTTAGTTCTTTAAAATTAATCAAATTTAAAGTATAATTAATTCAGTTTTGTGTGTGGGTTCAGAGCAGTTCAATGAACATTTATTGCATGGCTATTTCTTGCCAAACACTGTGCTAAGGCACTGGTAATATGGATACTTAAACACACAATTTCAATAGGCAGCAGTAAGGAAACAGATAATTTCAGTATGCAGTATTTATTTACAGAGTATTCAGAGAGAAGAGAGGAGGAGCATCCAACTCAATGAGAGGTGGAGATGAATGGAGATGTTCTGGAGAAAGACCAAACTGAAGTTAAGCCAAAGGACTGAGAGAGGATATGTTCATGCTGTCCCCACATGGAGTAGGAACAAACAATCTGAGAAAAACAAGTACGTCAGCGATAGAAGAGTATCTGTCACATTGGTGGGAGAAGAGAGGAAAAAATGCATTTAAGTTACAAACATTAGAAGACACCAAGTTTTCTAACATTCTTTTTGCTCTCTAAATATTTTATAACTAATTGTAAACATGATTTAGGATTAGACAATACATTGCTTAATGTTCTGATTTTATATTTTAATATTTACCTTTTGAAAGAAGGCATGCTTCATCTGAACAAAGAAATCTTGCACCTTGTGTATACTTGGTTACAGTTGTCATTGCAATCACAATTCCTTGCATCATATAAAATCTTTGAGATGTATAATCAAATGGAAACTCACAAAAATTAAGACTATAACTTGGCAGAGGAGGTAAATGTGTTAACTTCAGCACTATATTAATCTAATAAGAACATAAACATGGTATTAATAAAAACTGCAGATCCAATTGGACTTGTATTACAATATATATTTGTAGGGTAAATCAAGTAAATGATTTGTTAATGTTATTAGGAAACAAAATTTTAAGCAAAAAAGAGATTTAAATATACAATTAAAGGTTCAAAACCCTTATAATCTTACATTTTAATTGAAAAGATCATTATTTTTCTTAAAAATACACATTTCCTGAAAAGATATAAAACAATGACAACCCAATAGCAAGGAACACTTCCATTGCTCAGACTGTGATTGCTAACTAGAATTTTCCAATAAAAGGAAACAAGTCTCCTTAAGGGAAATGGTTCATTCCAGGTCTGAGGCAGAAAATATACCAGATGGGCCTGGTACATCTCCTTGTGTCAGAAACCAAAGGAGCTATAGAAAACCAATGGGATGGGTCCAAATGAGACAGGAGCAAACTTGAAAGGGACTCCCAATGACCAAAGGTAGGATAATAAAAGCATCAAAAAGAATGAAAAATTCATTAAAATGCATCAGATATATTTAAACATTCATGAGTTCCTCATAGTTTTTTAAAGAAAAAACAAAAACATAAAACAATTGGTTATCACTAGAAGCTAGATTTCAACTCATTACTCTTTGAAAATTTATAAATGGAAATAATCAAACATTTATTCTTCCCTTCTTAGAAAAACTCCATTTCAGGGTAATCAAATAGTTGATGAAGGAAACTTCTCTTATAGAATAATTTCAGCTAGTAAATTCTGAAAGGATGCCAAAGTTTAAAGAAAAACACAATTTTGCAACTCCTAATGAAATAATCAAGTATAGGCAATGATCATCAATGGCTGCAAAAACCATTAGGTGAAAGTTAGTAGGAGACTGTATATTGGAGAGATTTGAAGACATCACCTGAACCCACTAATCCATTGTGGCATTGCTACAATTAGGACAACAGATCATATAGTTCTCATACTGTAGTGCAATATGAAATATGCGAAAGTATCAGGCATTGTTGTCAAAATGAGTTGAATCTGGGTCTAAGCAAATCTTTAGAGCCAACTTCTATTTTATAGAAATATGGGGTGTAGAGGAATAAATTAAATACCATAAGAACATAATCAGAAAAATCCAGATTGAGATATTTTATGGAACAATTAACTAGTTTACTAGTTTCTTCAAAAAATCAATAGTATAAAAAGGGATGGGGAGGAAAATGGCTCTAGATTAAAAGGGTGTTAGTGAGATATAAGAATCAATTATAGCGTATAAACCTTGTTTTGACCCTGATTTGAACAAATTCACCTCAAGACATTCTTGAGGCCCCAAATGGGGAAATTTAAATATTGACTAGATATTATAATGATACCAAAGAATTATTATTATTGTAAGGGGTGATAAAGGCATTGTGATTATATAAGAAAAATGTCCACAATTTTTAGAGTTGACACTGAAGTATGTAAGGGTGAAATAACAGAATATCTAGGTTTGTTTTAAAATATTTCAGAAAAATATTGATAATGCAGGCATGGCAAAATATTGTAAACTGTTAACTCAGTGATAGATATATGGAGGTTTGTTGTATTAGTCTCTTTATTTTGGCATATATTTAAAATGGTTTATTTTCAGAATGTTTAATGTTATAAGTGATAATACAGGAAGCAAAGAAGCATATGTAAGATAATCCATTGAACTTTGAAAAATGTACTTTTTTAAAAAAGATTTTATCCATTTTATTTTTAGAAAGGGAAGGGAGGGAGATAGAGAGAGAGAGAAACATCAATGTGCGGTTGCTGGGGATCATGGCCTGCAACCCAGGCATGTGCCCCGACTGGGAATCGAACCTGCGACACTTTGGTTCGCAGCCCGCACTCAATCCACTGAGCTACGCCAGCCAGGGCTGAAAAATGTACTTTTTTAATTAAAAAAGAATATAAAAATATTTATTTGAGTCAGCTTAAAAGTATTATATATTAGTTTTCTTTGTTAAACTATAACTTACTTGAGTTTCAGTCTGTAATTGTCCAATTAATGAGAGAGTCTTAACAGCAATAAAACAGACCTGTGATTTCAAATAAACACAAAAGTTACCCAAAATGTCATGGGGCAAAAAATTATTTCTTTCTTTAACTTACTGATTGAAAAACTTGAGCAGCTTTTAAAGGCTGATGTAAAATGTGATTTCCAAGTTCAGCATCTAATTCAACAACATCAGAGGGATTTATTAAAATATTGAATCGATAGACAGCATAACTTTGTTTGGAATCTGTAAAAATACACAAATATACAATGAGGATAGTTATATGTGGGTATTTATTTTAAAGTTTCTAAAATAAAGTTGCCTTTGCTGAACATACCATTGTAGGACTTGCAATCATCTATAAACTTTTGGAGCCCTCCACTTCTGTCAAGATAGATAAGTGCTGCCTCTTTCATTTTTAGATTTGACATTTTCTTCTAGTTCATGATTCTTCTTTGTTATTAATTGATTAAACCACAGTAGCTGGTAAAGACTACAGATGATGAAACTCACAGAAAGATGAGAACACCTAGAAATAAAATAAATTAAAATGTATGTTTGAAGATCTCTAGTGAAACTTTACAAGCTACGAGTAAAATGATTAAGATTGGATCCTGTTCTGAAGAAGTTGTCAATTTATTGGGCATTTACTATTTAACGCATACTCAGCACTCAGGATACAGATGAATAAAATATAGTCCCTATTGTTCAGAAAGAGTACAGTGAGAGAAGACAGTTATGTAAAAAGTATAATACTAGGGAACACAAAAGGAACAACATATATTAAACAGTTCACAAAATTTGGGGTGATCCTTGTGTAGGGGGTCATAATATTTTCTACAACATGGTGGGTTTATAGAGAAAAACCAATGAATTCTACTTTTAAATGTGACATTTGGTAGATGAGTCAGATTTTACTGATTGAAGTAGAGGTCAAGAAGAGAGGAGAAAGTTTTCCAAAGACAGGGGTAACCTGCCCATTCCCCGTTTTCATATCTGCACTTTTGAATCCACACCCCCACCCACTACTTGGAGTCCGGGCCTAGTTGAGACTTCCGAGTTCATTTCTCTGTGGCCATAAGTTCGTACAATAATCAGAGCGTACACTGTGTTCAGGACTTTACATCTGTGTTCCATTAGGACATTTCCAGGGCTGAATGAAGGGAGGCTGTTGATAATGAAGTGAGTGGGTGAGGCTCAACCAGATTATGGAAGTTTACAGGCAAACACAAAGAGAAGCCATGAACGTCTTCAACAGGGCAGTAATGTGATACGGTCAGATTTTTATTTTGGAAACCAGTGGCTGCCGACAGTGTGGAAAACGGGTTGCAACAGAGAAAGAGCTGTCAATCAGTTTCTAGCTATCGAAACAGTCCAGAGATGGACGGTCCAAACTGGGGCACTAGGAATGGAATGGGACGGAACGGAGGAGATGGATTCTAGACTTTCTAAAGAGCTCGTTCGCACTGCGCCTGGTGGCCAGCTCGAAAGTGAATTTTCTACACGGGTGTGGGTGGCTGCTGCTGCTGTAATGGAAATTCTGAAGCTCGGGAAGAGTGGGAAAACGCTAAGGGAAAGTTCTTTGAGATATTCTGACTTTGACGGGCCCTTGGGACGCTCAGATATAGGGAGGCATGAATCAGAGTCTGATTCAGTAGCCTAAACAAAGGCTAGAGATAAAGCTCCGGGTAATACCTGAGTAACACAGGGACCCTGGGCATGGATGGGGAAGCGGGGGAAAGCCCGCGGAACGCAATAAATAAGCGAACGTGGTTAAAATTCTATCCGTCTCCTCACAGTCTAAAGAACACAAGTGTTTGTTCACTTGGAAGAGGAGCTGGTCGTGTCTTCTCTCCTTGCGGCGTCAGCAGGAAAACACCTCTCGACCAAAGCGGCGCAAAGAGAATCCAGCCTCACACCCTGGGGTCCGAAACGTCTCCCACCGGCAGCACCAACCACCAGCAGTACAGGCCCCGGACTAGCAGTGCGCTACCCGGGTTCTTGGACCTATCGAGCTACGCCACAGTCGCGCCGCCGCGAGCCTGACACCCAGGTAGCCCCTAGAGCGCATGCGCGCACCTTGCAGCCGTTGAGGGTGGCGCGGGGGCTGTCGGGCCGCGCCTCCCTGTCAGCGGGGCGACGAGGCCCAGCGGCGCTGCACCCTCTGGGATCACTCCCGCTCCCTCCCTGCGAAGCAAAGCAGGGATTAAAAGAGAGAAAGAAACCATCGATTGTCGTGGTTGTCACAGACCAATCGTGCCCAAGTTTGTTAAAAAAACTTAAGGTCCTGGCCGGTTGTCCAGTAGGTTGGAGCGTCCTTGAGACACCAGAAGTTGCGGTTCAATCCTCAGTCCGGCTCTGTATGGGAGGCAACGGCTCCATTTTTCTCTATCACCCGATGTCCGTCTGTCTGTCTCTCTCCAATCAGTAGACGTACTCAAATGACGAAATACTTTTCTGGTGGGAGTGGAAATGCTGCAGTTAATTTGGAAACCAGTCTGGGACTACCTTAAATGACTAAACAGAGTTACTGTATGACCCAACAAATCCAAGCCACATATTACACAGTATACATAGAATTTGAAACACATGTTCACACGAAAATTTATACATGAATGTTCATCGTGTTATTATCAGCCAAAAAGTGGATGAGATGTGGTATATCCACACACCGGAGTTAGTTGACCATAAAAAGGGCTGAGGCACTAACACACGCTACAAAACGGATGAGCCCTGAAAACACTATGCAAAGCAAAAGAAGCCAGACACAAAAGGCCAAATATTGTATGATGATGTTTATATGAAGTGCTGAGAATAGGCAAATCTGTAGAGAGAAGGTATTTTTCCTCATATAGATCTTGCATATTTTGTTAGGACTTCAACCTGTTTATTTGGGGGTGTGTGGCTAATGTTAATGGTGTTTTTAATTTCAAATTTCATTTTATTGCTGGTATATAAAAAAGTTATTTTTTTGTGCATTAATCTCATAACATGTAATCTTTCTCTAATCACTTATTAGTTCCAGAAATTTTTTAAGTTCTAGTGGATTTTCTACAAAGATATCCATGTCATTTGTAAACAAGAACAGTTTATTTAGATTTGGTACCTAACTAAAGCATCTGCTAGGGGATATCTTACTAAAGTAAATTTAGTTTAGAATCTAACATGAATGTATCATTAACAAAGTAAATTGTTACTGTTGCATTATTACTATCATTGAGGCATAAGAAAAAAATTCAACACAGCAAGGCTATATTAACTACTGTCTGGGAAGAACTGAAACAAAAATCCAACATGGGATCAAATTTGACCATTTGAATAGGCATTTCCCTGTGTATAAGCCTCTGGATTCCATGAATTAATAAAACATAAAAACACTTAAATACTGACGACACATTGTAGACTTTCTCACAGAGATGAAACTAATATTGGAGTAGAAATGTGTTCCCTACTAAAGTGAAAATGATAAGAATGTATTAGAAAAATGATGAATCTATGACATATTTTCCTGCAAAAAAGAATTTACAGCAAAAACTCCCAAGTCATGTTTGCGTGCAAGGTTTCTAAAATCACTGTATCTGGTTCTTCCAGTAAGTGGGGTTATGTAGTGATGTTATTCTTTGTTTTACACTATTCCCTCAATATTCACATGTGATCTATCATTTTCAGGTCATTATATAAAAACAACTTTTTAGTACAGGACCCTTTGATTGGCTACTTATTGCTCTAAATATCATGCTGAACTTATGCTTTTCTATTGGCTTTTTCTTTGTGCAACATTACTTTAAATTATTCTCCACTATGTTGACTTTGAATAACTAAAAAGTTACATTTTCAGACAGCTATATTTCTTTCTGACAATTACATCTGTAAAAATGGGTATAATGTAAAGAAATAGTAAAATAAGAAATACTTTTTATGTAGGAAATCTTTTACTCACTAAGGAATATGTTTAAAGGATTATAAATAGGTGATTATACAATATTGGTAAAACACCAAAAATGCCAAATAAATTAAATAATTCTGCAAATGGCCCTAGCTTGGTGGCTCAATTGGTTAGAGAGTTGCCCTGAACACTAAAAAGTTACAGTTCAATCTCCTGTTGTGGCATGTACCGGAGGCAACCAATTGAGGTTTCTCTCTCACATTGATGTTACTCTCTCCTTTCTCTCTTTCTAGAAATGATACAACATATCTTTGAGTGGGGATTAAAAAAAACCTCCAGTTGAAATGGTCTCAGGGATGTTAGAGCAATTTCTCTTAGTATTAGGTGAGTACAGGAGAACAAAGTGGACGTGAAGAAAACCATTCTCACCTATGTATACTTTAGGGTTTCATATAAATGAACAAGTTACCTTAGGATATGGAATAATCTAGTAGTTTTTACATATGTTCAAATATTTAGTTAAAATTTTATTTGTCTTCTTCACATATACACATATATACATATAAAATTCATTTTGTAATGACTGCTGTAACCATCACCAATTTTAATTTAAAATAATGACAGGCATTAGAAGATAATATTTCTGCTACTTTTATTATACTATGTAATATTTGTATTTTTTGAGATAAAAACATCAACATTCTATTTTAAATTTGTTCTTAAAAATATACAATATTGCACTTTAATTTTTGGCAGTTTAAGGAGTGGCTGAGTAAAAAAAAACATACAAGAAACTAGCTTTTATTTGCTTTATATTAAGCAAAGAGCTTTTTGTAAAAGCAGAACTTACAGTAGTGCCAAATAAACTAAATATTTATAGTGTCACTATTCAAGCCTCACCTCTACAGGAAGATTCAGTTTACTGAATGCAAATATTATAAATCAAAGAAGAACACACCTCTTGCTCCATTCTGCTGAACATTTTTAAGCCAAAGGGTATTGGTGTGAAATGCTTTTTAATTTCTTTCTGAAGAGAAAATACATGGAAAGAATGCTCGTTTCTGAAGTATCTAACCTGGGTCACTAAACTCTTTTACAGTGTTTCCCTACATGACTTGAAAAATCTCTGAACTAAAAATCAGAATTCCAAGATAAGCATTCTTTTTTTGTTTTGTTTTTCTGTAGGTATTTTCTTTTACAAGTACACAAGTTAGTTGGTTTTCAGTATGATTTCACAGTCAATATTAGTATATTTTCTAATATACATAGGACTGGCCAGGTGTCTGTCTGAATTATTTTTAACTTCTGTTACACTGTAGCGAAACTGTATACATTTATATTGATCTAGCATTTGCTATTCTACTTTTTAATTCCCAATTAGGTAAATACTCTAGAAAGCTCAGTATTTTTCATTTATCAAGCAATTAGGGAGACAGCTTTGAAAAGCTACTTGAAAAACTAAATACCAAGATTTAGACCTGCTTAACAGTATGTTAACCATTCAAAAGACCAAAAAAGAACATAAATAGAATGTATTTGTGATATAAATACATGACACAGAGACATTCATTTTGGCACCACCTTACAAAAAGCCCCAGCAGTAGTTTATTACCCGTCAGATCTTTGGGAATATTTAAAATGTCAACTATTAAACATTTACTTTTACTCCAGAGGAAAAATAATTCACAAATTTAAATTGGTATTTCAAAAGCAAAGGATTTCCTTTTGTTATTTTGTAATTTGATCTGTAGAATGAACAGTTATTCAAAGTGTTAATTAGCAGCCAGTGTGTTAACTTTGCTCCTACATTGTAATCCCACCAAGAACTGATTATGGCAAGCAGTGATTTATTAGAGACAAATATGGTTTCTTCTTAAGCAACCATAAGCAATTGCATAGTTCTGTTCAGAGGACAAAGGTCAAAGTAGAGTTATAAAGGCATTAAAATATGTTAACTGAACTGAAATAGACTGTTGAAAAATCTATCTTGGGTAGATGTTAGTGTAAACTTAGAGGGAAAAAACAGTCATCAGCAAAAAGGTTTTCTTTAAAAATAGGTTAATGCTAAGAACAATAGCTTTTTAAAATTTCTGTTTAAAAATAAGCTTAATAAACAAGAATACAAATTTTAATTCAAAGCTTAGCTCTTTGAAATGCCCTATTCTCTTGCATACAGCAGAAAATACATTTTTCATAGTTGTTAATATTACATGTAAAAATGAGGCACTAGTTATACATATTTGAAGATATTCACACAAACAGGAGTTTCAGTTCCATCTGTACATAGGCTGAAATTTGCTCAATGGGTTTTCGGTGGCAAAATATTCATGAAAATAAGTCTTCTGAAGGAGGTGCATAAGAGAAACCAACGAATGCATCATCAGCCTCCAGTACGCTGGCGTTCACTATAGAATAGTCAGAAGACACACACACAGAATATGGAACCGTTTCTTCTGTAAATGCAGCATCGAAGTTCCGAATGTCATCTGGTCCTGCCTAAAATATAAAAAAAAAATGCTATTATTCATCTTCACTTTTTTCATTAATTTAGCTCTTCATTAGAAACCCTTTATGAGTTTGTATATTTATTCCTGGCAAGTTCAGATGTATTGTTACTTCATCATGCTTTGAAACATTTTCTGCTTTTATTAGGTGAGGTCTTTCTAACAGGTAAGGTTCTTGTTGGCTGAGGAGAGGAGACAGAATGGTGACGAAGGCTGGCTTAATAGAGCCCTCACCCATGTTAATTTGCATCTCAGTCCCTGCAACTACCTCCTTTCTCTCTACCCATCACCTCTAAGTTTAGAAAAGGGGTTAAGGTAGATTTCCACAGTAGTATTTTGCATTTGAACTTCCATTAAATACCTTCTCAATTCTGGGTAGATGAAGCCTTCTAATGAAGGAATGAATGGACTGTAAGTAAAACCGTGAAAGGTAACTCTTGTGCCCCAGAGGTCATTAAACATTCAGCTATGACACCACCTTACTTAGCTTTAAAGGCCTAAGGGGACCAGGAAACTGGGGAATGGAGCATGGTCTGCTTAGGTTCAAAGGCCATGGTTCTTAATCTTTTACAAATCTGATACAAGCAAATGGCCTATGCCTTTCCAATGTACTTACAGATAAAAATTGGTTTACAAATTCAGGCGACTCATGGTTAAAGCCCGTCCCTGAAGCTCTAGTTTGCTCTACTCGAAGAGAAAGGGAAGCTTTAAAATGTTCAAGTCACTGAGCCTAATCAAGGTGAACGGAGAGGGATTTGGAGAAGATAGTATAAGCTAAGGATATAGTTAGCCTGGCAGTCTACAAACAGCAGAGCAGAGACCAGGGAAACCCAGAATGGCTCTATCCTTCTCTTTGAGAAATTCCCCCCTCTGAGAGGAAAATGAATACTAGAAATTATACATAAAATGTCATCAAATTCTTACATATAACCCTAGAAAGCATGGGTTATGGAATAAGACTAAGTTTTGAATTCTGGCTGTTAAATTTGCTAGCTATAACTCTTTATACAAACTACCCTATCTTTGTGACCTTATCTCCTCTTCTATAAAATAAGAATACTGACACCTACCTGTTAAAGTTGTGATGATTTGGTGCATTAACACATAAAATTCCCAGAACCTGACATGTACAAGGTACTCAAAAAAGGATGACAAATGTTTTTTGTTACCTGACTTTATAAATATTTTGAGAACACCCTTATGGCTTATGGCTAGTACTGAGAGGGATACTACTATAATTCTTATGTTAAGAGTGGGCAAAGACTCTGTCTTCCAAGTGGTCAAACTCTAGTTCTGCAGCTTTAACTAAACTGTGGGCAAGTTGCTTCATCTTTTCTGTGCTTAAGTTCACTCATCAGGATTATGTGTAAAATTACAGTACTATTTCACAGGGTTAAGTAAAAGGATGTAAGTACTGAGAACAGTGAGTGAGAATATCTACTTTATCCTACTATAGCTAACATTTTGATCTTTGTTAATTTCTTAGGTGAAAAATAGTAACTTGTTAGGGTTTTATTTTGCATTTCTTCAATTGTCAGTTAGTTTGAACATTTTTTCATATATTTGAAAGCCACCTGTATTTATTTTACTATAAGTTTGTGTCTTTTGTCCATGTTTCTACTGGTTGTTGGTCTTTTTTTCTCATTGACTTATAAAAATGCTTTATGTACTAAGGGAATTTTCCTCAGTTTGTTCTTTGTAGTCTTTTTTTGTTCATGCAGACATTTCTAAATTGTATATGGTCAAATTTACCAATTTTTCCTCTTATGGCTTTTCAGTGGTGGGTCTTGCTTTAAAAAGCTTAATTAATTAGTCATAGAAGGGCGGGAATCCAAAGCTGGAGGTGTCTGACTCTGAAGTCAACACTGTTTCCATTTCCAGTGTTGCTCAGGAGGAGTCCCTAACTCTTTAGTGTGCCTGATGACACATCTATTTGAGAATAATTAAACTCAGTAGGACTCTGGATATAAAGAGAGAAAGACTGATACTGTACCTAATGGAGTCACTCCTGGATGAGCTACATGAAATCAGTCAATCTACAAATACCATTACATTTATAGGTGTACAATATCACACCTATTAATACTAGAGATGAGCTATGCACTGAAGCTGACTTTTCACAAAATATGAGTAGAAACAGAAAAATCAGTAGACTAAATAATATTTTCCTGCTCTAATTTACTAAAAAAAAAGTATTTCAAGAGTTTCACAGGAACACCTAAAAACTTTAAATGAAAGTAAAGCAAATTCACCTATGATCCTACAACCCCAAATTGATCTTGGTTTATATTCTTTTCCAGTCCTTATATGTTATTGTTACTGCTGTAATCATAAATCACAAAAATGGTCATTCTCATGTTTTCATTTAACATTATAAGGATTTTCCAAGTGTCTACTTATTTTTATACTTATTATCATTATTGTAATTTACTTAACATGAAATGGCAATAGACCATACAAAAGCATGGAAAGAATGATAATTTTGGAATCAGGCAGAGATTTGAATCCTTGCTCTGCTACTTTTTACTCCAGCTATGTGACATCTTTGAATTTCCAATGATAAAATAAGTATATATAATAAGAATAGTAATCATAGTAACTTGGTAGCTTATTTGAGGAATAAGTTACATACTATAATGCATAAAAGTATATATGCTTATATATGAAGCTATGAACAGTAACATCATTATTGATCTAATGATTAATAAAAATTTCCCTATTGTTATATATTTATTTCACAAAATTTTCCATATCATTAATATTGTAAATAGGTCTTTGATACAGCTTTTCAGTTTTACAATAAAAATTATTTTTAGGAATGATGCATCTCAGTCCCACTATATTTAACAAGTCATAACATAAACATTTTTACAACACTGTCTTACTATTTTCCAAAAACAATATAACAATTTACATTACCATTAATAATATTTGCCTGTACCTGGTTTTATATTAATCTAGAAAAAACTGCATTGGTGTTTATTTAAAATATTTGTTGATTTATATGTATGAAAATAATATCTGATAGTTACTTTAATTGTCATCTTTTTTTAAAACCTATTGAGCTCATCTCTTTCTTATTCATGCTCAAACACTTCACAAATATTGTACTGGAAGTTATTTTTATCAGTCTAATATAACCATAATCTTTCTGGTCATCTTGAATTTATCAGTTGTACTTGACAACCCTGAGTAACATATTTCACAAATATTTACATACTGATTCAATCTCATTCAGGTTAGGTTTTGAGATCTTTGAGGTTAGATTATGATGAACTATAGTTCTACGTTTCACTGCTTTAGAAGGAAGGATTTGGACGTATACTTACCACATTAGGATTAAAGGGTGGTGGAATCTTCTTTTGTACAAGGTCAGTCCAACTGAGTGATTCAAAAAAGGGATGATTCTGAATTTCAAGCTAGATTAAAGAAATATATGTTTTTTTTAACTAAGGCTTAAGAATATACATTAAGTACTCACCGAAGTATCTTATGAATCCAAACCACTAACACTTGGTCCCTCAATAATTCTTTTCAGATACATGTTTATGTTATTCACGTGGTAAAATGGTAGAGCAGAAGGACTAACTAAGCAGGCACGAAAGACTCATATCCTCTTCACTATCACAGTTTTTCCATAAGTAAAATGAAGTTAACATTTCTGCCTTAGATACTTAATGTGTTATTTTAAGGATAAATGAAGAATATAAAAATAAGAGTGGTATAAAAAGATGAAAGTACTACATAAATACAAAGAATCATTATTATCTGAACGGGGGAGGCAAAGAAGAAGTTAGGCAAGAGAGGTTTACACTGTGAGGCAGAGGTAAAGCCAAGATGATGAGCCCTACTCCCCGAGAATATTTCACTTTGGGTTGCTACTATCAAAATTGGCACAGAACTGATTCCAGCTCCTCCCCCCCAAAAGATGCTATGAAAGTGTATAAATAGGAACCATCCTAGTTTGGTGGCTTTAAAAGGTTGCCTTAGAGAAAGTGATGTCCGACCAGAATTCTGAAACATGAGTAAAAATTAGCCAGACAAAAGAATTTGGTATGTGGGACACAAAACAAAAAGCAACAAACAAACAAAACAAACTCATGGTCACAGAAAATGGAAGGGGGTGGGGGAGAATGAAGAGGATAAAGGGAGACTAGACTTTGGGTGGTAAGCACACAATGTAATACACAAATGATGCATTACAGAACTGTACAATATTTGAATCTTATATAATCTTATTAACCAATGTCACCCCAATAAATTTAATAAGAATATTTTAAAGCAGTGTAAAGAAATAATTACCTAATATATTAAATTTATAGTCATATAAGAGAATATTGATATAGAAAGATAGATCTCCAGGAAAAATGATAAAAACAGGTATAGAACAGAGTATATTGTGCTCTCATTTGTGTAAAAAGAAACCAGCTGAAGGGGATGGGAATTTGCTGAGAGGATTAAAAAATAGAAAAAGTATTGATAGTGATGACTTCCGGAGAATGAGCTAGGGATATGGGATAGGAGGTTACATTTTTCAGGTGCATTCTGAAAAATTATTTGAATTGTTACATGTGTTTTCTTTAAAAAATACCAATAAATACATAAATGTAAAAAACAAACAAAATAAAAAAGAATGATTCTCGGATTTCTGTCCTGGGGATCACAGAATGAAGATAGCACAAGTTCAATTTTGAGCATGCTGTGTTTGAGGTATTCTTAAGAAACCCAAGGTGTGGTGATGAATAGGCAGATGCAATATGAATCCAGAGTTCAGAAGAGAGGTCTAGACTGAAGATAAAAATGTGTGAGACAAAGACAAGTAGGCAAAGCCACAGGGAACACTGAGAGTGTTCAGGAAGACAGCACGGTAGAAGAAAAGAGGGGTTCAGGACAACCACAAGGAACTGCAACACTTAACAGTCAGGTTGAAGAGGAGGTGCTCACACTGGAGATTATGGAGCAGGGCCTAGAAATACAGAAAGGATAGTAAAAGATGAGTGTGTGCTCTTGCAGAACCTAGGGAACAAAAGAGTGTTGGAAGTTTAAATGCTGCTGAGGAATAAAAGTATTCAGTAATTGTAGTAGCTATTTCATGGTAAATTGAGAAATGAGACAAGTCTGGGAAAGGAAGAATTCATACAAAAAGTTCCAACACAGTTGGCTATGAAGGGAAAAAAGAATATTACTCTGCAGTATCAACTCTACTGGGTCTAGGGTTTTTGGTTTGTTTTAAGAAGCAGGAGACTTGATAATGTTTAACTATTGACTGGAAGGAACTAGAACAAAAGGGAGCAATTATCTGTGCAGAAAAAAAGCTTGCACAGGATTCCCTACAAGGGGTTGGGACCCAGCACAGGCAGAAACTGATCTTGTTCACTATAATAGGAAGAAGGAAAGGACCAGAGCAAGGTGCATGTAGGTCTGCAAATTTGGTAGCAGGAAGCTTAGTTCTGCTCTGCCAATTCTACTTTCCCTATAAAATGAAAGGCAAAACCATCTGCTAAAAGTGAAAGAAAAGGAATCTGAAAATCTGGAGAGAAGGTCTGAAAGATTTAATATAGAAAGCAGGACAGTAAGCTGGAGACAGAAGGACAGGAGCACTACCAGGCAGTGGTGAAGCACAGAGACATTAAAGACTACAACTTCACAGCGTTTCCAACATGCCTGTGTGATATTGTGATTTATAATATAAAATACATCCAGTTTCTGGCACAGAGCTCTGGAATATCTTAAGTGATGAGAATGACACTGGTGTCTCTTCTTAAGTTAATGAGGTAACTTTTGGACCCCACACAAAGATAGGGGTTGACAAGAGAGCCAATCAAGTGCTTAGAAAGTTAAATCTTGAAGTTCCAACCCTCCCCTTCAAACTTTTGGGGAGGGGAAAGAGGTTGAAAGTTGAATCAATAGTCAAAGGCCAATAACTTGTTCAATTATGACTATGTAATGAAGCTTCCATAAAAAGCCAAAAGGACATTGTATTGGTCTTTTATCAGAGAGCTTCCACATTGGCACACAAGAATGCTTCACTGTGACACCTCACCAGGCCCTAAGCTCCATGAGGACAGAAACTCTTTTGTTTGGGGCCTTGCCTTATGCATCTCTTTACCTGGCTGTTGATTTATATCACTTGTAATAAATTGGTAATCTAGTCAGTAAATGGGTTTTCTTGAATTTTTTGAGCTGTTCCAACACATTAATCAAACCCAAGGAGGGGGTCATGGGAAGTGCTGGTTTATAGTCAGTCTGTCAGAAGCAAGGGTAACAGCCTGCGCTTGTAACTGGTATGTGAAACGGAGGGCAGTCTGGTGGGGCTGAGCCCTTTACTTGTGGAATCTGCTTCTATCTTTGAGTAGTGTCGGAGTTCACACTATCAACTCTGGTGTCTGAGAACTGCTTGTTGGAGTGGGAAAACCTCCACATATACACACATTGAAACTGGTACCAGAACCTCTTTAGTGTTAATGCTGGTTTCCAGTGGCAAATGCTTTGAAGTAAAAAAATTTAACTGAGGTATATTTACCAAGTTTCCCACCATTGTATTTAGTTTTAATTTGTGTGACAAGTTTCACTTCATAAAGTATTTCCTTCTATTTGATTCTTTTTAAACACTGCAATCTGTTTATGTATTAATTTCTGCTAGAATCATAGACATCTCCTCCTCCGTGACTCCTCCCCAAAGGACCAAAAAGGCCTCTTGAGTGGCTATAAACATCTCATATAAACACTTAATTAAAAACTATCATTTTACTGGTGTGTCCAAAGATTGCTAGTTAGTGTAGACACACAGACACACAAACGCACTGGAAGTGGGTCCAGGAACCGTTTTTAGCTGAGCTGTGGAACTTCTTCAGCAATGTACAGCAGCTCAGAGATGACAGTTTGATTCATCCATGATTATGATTTCTAAATTCAATAAAAGGATGGGTGCAAGGAGGTGTGAAGTATTAGAAAGACTGACTGAAAGAAAAGACTGCAGAATCCAAGCTAGATAAAGAACTGTTGACAGAGTCACCTGCTGAATGGGGAGTGTGGGAGGGGAAAATCAGGAATAGACAAGTTTTTTATTCACATCTCAAGTTCAAGATTGATAAACAGCTCCCACGAATTTTTGAGAAATTTAAATGAACTTAAAAGTTCATGTTCCTCAACAGTTTATGAATACTGACACACTAATATAGCACTGGTAACAATGCTAGCAATTTACCCTGCTGTTTAAAAGAAAACCTGCAGATTCCACAATTATCTCAAGGAGGTATCTCCAAATTCTCATAAAAAAAGTGATTTAATGTTCAAGGAAAAATGCATTGCCTCACGCAGTCACGTAGCACTTAAATTCTTGTTAAACCAAGACATAGAAGTTCAGGTAATCAAAAAATGCATGCCTGGGATGGGAGTAAAAGACAGAAAACTGTACTTGAACAACACGTAAAATTTTAAAAAGTGTTTTAAAAAATTTAAAAAATAAATGTATGCCATAACTTCTTTAAAAGAAAGAAGAAGAAAAAAATGCTGATAAATAAAAATCAAATAAATAATAGAGTGTGAAAGTTGGATGTGAGAGGTGGAGAGGAGAGGATCAAATTGTTGCAGAGATCAAATAAGAAGATGCTTGTGCAACTGCTTAAATTCTGTGCAGTTCTACATAAATAAACACTGGTGAAAACTGTTGCAACAAGTTACGCATTTTCTTGGTCTCTTCCCTGAGAACTGTATTCATCCCATTGCATAACACATAAAACAAGGCTTTGTCTTCAAATTATAAATAAGCTTAAATAAAGTGGGAAAGATATACATACAAAGTCTTCTTTGGCACCAAGCCGATTTTGCCTGTCTTTTTCTAGGAGTTCTTCCAGAATGGACCAAGCTGTGAGGCTCACTCCTGGCCTTAGATTTAGGGGCTTGTGAAGAATGTTGTCATACATTTCAGCAACATCTCGGCAATAAAAAGGAGGCTGAAAAAATAAAAAGCAAAATAAAGTTGGTGTTAACCAAACTATGCCAAAATGTTTGGGTTAAAACAGTTGGATTTAGCCTTGATCTACAGGGAGCAAACTGGGTCTGGACAACTGCAGAAAGGCACAGCCCTCTTTGGGTGAGCACATCTGCAGGGCACCTCCTGATATGAAGGGATTCTAAAACCCAGCCAACTAGAGAGCTTACACATGTTCACAGAATAATTTAGGGCCTGTCTGTTCAGTAACACCTTGTGGATAAGTGTCAATTATATAAAACTTGTAACCGTATCTGTTTTAAAGAAGACAACCATGAGCCTCATCATAGGCTTATGATAGAATTTTTGGAAATAGAGATCCAATATGAAATAATTTCTTGGGAATACACTAATTAAAACAGAGATTTCCAGCTAAGATGGAGACCTGAAGTTTGTGCTCCTTCCTCAGTACTGTGGCAGTGATAGCATTCTGGGAGTACTCTGCAGGAAGAAAAACTTTAATTTTTACTTTTTAGAATCTAGCTTGATTTTAATATAGTGAATATAAATCTCATTACGGAAGTATATTTTTCAAATGTTCCCTTTTGAATCAAATGCTTTTTATACACAATGATAACATTTTATACTTTCAAAGTTGTCAAAAGGAATTTAAAGGATTCAGAAATATCAGGATGGCAAATACCCAGCACTTAAACAAAGGTAAGGTATAAAGTGGTTATCAGGTGTCCTAAGTCACTGGCATCACCAGGAAACTAGATCTATTAACAAGTGGACCTTGGTCAAGGGCAAAGAGAGTGCTGGAGGTCAGGAGAATCTGTCATTCAAAGTTAGCAACATGAGACAAATGCTCCTAAATGTACCTACTGTGTTGAATTTCACAAAGAGCTCCCCAGTTTCCAGGGAGGGGGGAAAAACCCCAAAAAGCAAAACAAAATAACAAGCCCCAGCTCAGTTGATGGTGGTATTTAGTTTAGTAGGGGCAGCATGGCGGGGCTGGTGGGGAGAGGGAGGGAATGGTTGGGGATGATTGGAGGGTCCCAGCTTGAGCCTGTTGGGCACTCATGGGACCACAAAGAGAGCCTAGACAAGATTCTAAACATTTCAAAAAGTCTAAATAAAAGCATATATTATTCCTATTAGGATATGCAAGCCAACTCTAAATGCCCAAACTGTTTGCTTTTGGTTGGCGTATTAACTCAAAGCTCAGTGTAGTAAGACAAATGTACTCAAGTTAATCTGAAGCTCTGGCTGGTCTTAAATGTCTTTAATTAATAAAAACTGAGGAAACATTACTCAGTAAGCATCACTTTTTTTAATGAAATTTTAAGACATGTATATATGATGAATGGAAGACAGGGTTGGTTCCCAGTGATGGAAAAAATGGAGCACCAGTGTATTAATCAAATCCTATAAAAACAAAATACCAGGCAAAACTCAAAAGGCATTATCTTCTAATAAACACAAAAATCTTTTTCCTTTCTGTCTTTTTGAAATTAGGCAGAATGATGATTGGGATAAACTGAATGAAAAGTGGATAATTTTAATGTTACCGCTATGTGCCCATTTCTGAAGGAAATGCAAGAGGGATGAGAATACCTGAAGTAGTAATTAGTATGACAGAGAAAAATTACATTTAAAAATTGGAGCAGAATGAAAAGTTTTTCTTTTTATGCATACATGGTTTTGGGTTTGTTTTTTCACCAGATTACTACTGCTCTGTTAGTGTTATCTAAGTGTCCATAAGACTATTAAAAGAGAAAGAGAAAAGTGAAAATGTAAGTCAATTATAAATATATTGGAAAAATAATGAAAGAGTAGAAATACATACCAATCCGTACAGCATTTCATACAGAACAGCACCGAGGCACCACCAATCTACTGTATTGTCATAGGGCTGTTTTCTGATTACTTCAGGCGCTAGATACTAAAGAAAAGATTAAATATTGGAGCAACTCAATAAACAAAACAAAATAATTGAGAAACTTAACAAATTTTAGGTGTTACTATCACACTAAAAGCATATCTAGATTTTCAATTGATTGGGTATTTTCATTTTATATTAGAGGTTATTCAAAATCCACTGGGATATTCTTCAAAATACACCTATTCAAACACTTCCCCCAGAAAATGAGATGCAGTTAGGACAAACAGAAGAGGGCAGCAGATGTAGAATCTGTAGTACAAAGTCATAAAGTAGGTATTATATTATGTGGGGGGAGAGTCTTTTAGAAGATTAATTTATCTTAAAAATTCCTGTGGAAATTACCAATAATTGTTTCTCCTGAAGAAAGAATTCCTAATGTGGCAATTATAATTCATTTTTTCTTTTCAATGAAAGAAAAAAATAAATTGCATTCTTCATAGAAAATTACAGTTGTCATTCTCTGACATATTATTTAGAAATGAGAAGTTATTAGATAGCTATTGACATTTTAACTTGTAAAATACTTAAACTAGTCACCATTTCATACATTAAGATGGTAAATTTGAATTATAGATTTAAAAAAAAATATTTTTCTCTCCCCATATGAAGGAAAGAATTCGTTCTTAAGCCTTGTTTTGTGCTAAAAAAATGGCAATATAAATTAAAAGGGTTTAATAATTTCTGATCACATTTAGATTTACATGACAAAAAACCCAAATTGTGTTTCCTTTCTAAAAACTTACAGGACTTAAAGATTTTGTTAACTATGAAATGAATACAGTCACAAAAAAATGTTTCTTCAGACATAAACCAAAGTAGAATGGTTACAAGTATAAATAAGAACTGGAGTTAGAAATTAAAAAATACATTTTAAGATACTTTTTAAAAAATATTTTATTTATTTCTTTTTAGACAGAGGTGAAGGGAGGGAGAAAGAGAGGGAAAAAAACATCAACATTTGGTTGCCTCTCACATGTCTCCCCACCAGGGACCTGGTCTACAACCCAGGCATGTGCCCTGACTGGGAATCAAACTGGTGACCCTTTGGTTCACAGGCCAGCACTCAATCCACTAAGCCACACCAGCTAGCGTTTAAGGTTCTTTTAATTAGGTTTATGATTTTCATTACAAGTCTTATGTGAGCCATTTTATCACACATTTTCAATAATATTTGCCATTACTCTACAATAATGATAAAATACTACCTGGTACCTAAGATCACTATAACTACATTAAAATTTTAATTTAAAATAAACTAAATGTGTGTGCGTGTATGTGAGAGGGAATAAAAAGTGTTTAACATAAATTGTAAGGATTATTATTATTGTCTCCAACAGAAAGGTGATACTTTTCTGCTAGCTAATGTGATCAGAGAATGGGATGTTTGGGTTAATAAATTCTGATTTGGAAGTTTTTCCCCATCTCCACTGTCATACTTTCCTCTGTTAATAAACACTTAATTTTATTATGAAATATTTAACTATACAGAAAAATAATAAAATATAATAGAAACCAGTAAGGCTGCCACCTAAATATAGGCAACGTCAATCTTTTGCCATATTTGCTTTAACTTATTTTTTAAAAGAGGTTTGTTAAGATAGTCACAAACCATGCAATCCACCCATTTAAAGTACACAACTCAATGGCTTTTAATATACTTAGAGTTGTGCAAATATTACTACAATTTTAGGACATTTTTATCACCGATTTGTGATTTTATTTTTAAGCATTAGAAATATAATCAAATGCTTAAAAAATCTAAGGTAAGCATTTAACATTAAAGATAAGTATAATTTATACCTTTGTTGGGTAATCTGGTAATATCTCACAATTACAGTTAAAAATACCAACTATAAATAAACTTTAAATGTTCAAAGGGATGATTATCAGATATTTTCAATTGGTGGAAGCTGAAATGATAATTTTTATTCTACTTTTCTGATACCAAATTTTGCATAAGCAATTTGTGATTCATTTCTTCATTTTATTTGTGATTATGTGAATGACAAATGAGACATACTTCTTACCTCTGGTGTCCCACAAAATGTTGTGGTGGTGTCAGAAATAGCAATTCCTTCTTTACAAAGCCCAAAATCTGTTAAGACAACATGTCCCTGAGAAATACAGGGGGAGTAAGACAAAACAATGTATGAACATAAACTGACAATTTTAAAAACCGCTTTATTTAGAAATAATTATAGACCCAAAGGCAAACTGCAAAAACAGTAAATCAAGTTCCCTGTATCGCTCACCCAGCTTCCCCCAATGCTGACTGACATCTTATACAACTGTAGTATGATATCAAAACTGGGAAACTGACATCGGTACACATTATTACCCAGACTGCCAACCTTATTAAGTTCTCAGGCCTGCATTTGTACAGGCCTGCATTTGTGTGTGGAAGTACGTGTAGTTCTATGCAACAGAGATGTGCAGATTCATGAACCTACTACCACAATCAAGACAGAACTGTCCATCATCCCAAAGGAGCAAACCTTGGTGGTACCCCTTTATCTTTGCACTCCCCTATTCCCTCAGTTCCACTTAGTGCCCTTACAACCACTAATCCAATCTCTAACTCTATAGTTTTGTCATTTCAAGAATGTTACACAAAATGGAATCACACACTGTGGAACCTTTGAGGATGACTTTTTTCCAGTAAGCATAACAACAACAAAAATTGACAACTAGACTTTTAAAAGACAATACTTACTATTGAATCCAAAAGAATATTTTCTGGTTTCAAGTCTCTATCAAATTAAAAAAAAAAAAAGAAAAGCAAGCCTGAGTATTAGCTGAAATAAAATAATAAAAAGGCATTTTTACAAATAATATTTTTAAAACTTACCTATACACAATTTTGATGGAGTGCAAGTAACCCAATGCACTGGCAATTTCAGCAGCATAAAACCTTGCTCTGTGTTCAGGAAAGGACCGTTCTCTTTGTAAGTGAAAAAACAGCTATAAAATGAAAAAAAAAGGAATATTAAGATAATTAACACATAGAGTGATACAGATTCTATAAATATGAAAACAGGATTGTTACTTTGAACGTGAGATAAAAATGCACCAAAGCACAGAACTGTGACTCTCCCTTGCCTGCGTCCCCAACCTAGCAATCACTGTCTCTCTTCAACCAGATATCTTTCTAACCCTTGCTAATCTATTCATCTCCCATCCACCCCTCAGTCCTCAGTGTGTCTATGTCTTCACCACTCCAAGCAACCTCTCTGGATAAGATCATCAGTACACACCAGTGATCTTGACATTGCTATGTAGTTACAATATCTTACTGGACCTATTTTCACTGTTCTTTCCTTTGGAAAAACATCACACACCATTAGTGGCTGGCCAACCAAATATAACCCACAGATACAATTTGTTTGAGTTAAGTACCATTTTTAGAAATATTTAATTAATTGGTAACATAAAAACTAGAAAAAGTTTTTGGTAAAAATTAATAGCTTGGTTTCTTCTGGAAAAAAAAAAGGTGGGGAGTGGTGAGCTCTGTACCATGGAGTATAAATTCCAATGTGGTAGCAAATGGCTAGAGTTATGTGGCAGCTGGACTCTTCAGTTCATTTCTTATACTTCCTAATTCTGAATTTATTTCTTATAACTTATCCATCCTTTATTCATTAGGTTACCTGCCTGGGCAAAGTTTGCTTGACCTACTTAAGTTTCTTGGCATCAAAGACAATGATCTCTCCCTAGACCTCCTTCTACCGTTGGAATTCCATTTCCTCTCCTTTCTGGCTCCTTATGCAGTAGGGATTAACAAGGTTTCTACACTGGATTTCTCCGTTACTCTTTCTATGTATACCCTGTCCAGATAACCTAATCCATTCCAAAGACTTTAATCACCACCTCTATGTTGATGTCTTTCACATGGACATCTCCAGCCCAGACCTCTGCTCACTGCAAAGTCCTGATACACTTTTTGGAATAGTTCATAAGCCAACTTTCGAAATTCAGCTTTTCTTTTCTTACAAACCATTGCTGTTGCCGTGTCTCCTCTTTAATGATATCACTTTGTGTTCAGCCCTTTAAGTCATGGGAGGCAACAAGATACAGGGGAACAAGTCAGATTTTACAGCAGATCAAATTTGGGCTCTTCCCTTTGTGCATGCAATTTATTTAGCTTCTCTGGCTTTCAATGATTTTTCAAAACTTTTTTCTTAACCTCCCCTGAAGGGTGAGGGTAAAAATCTGTTACACCAGATCCTGACAGAGTAGGTAAACGGGGGCTGACCTGGGATTTGTTCACACTGCTCCTTTACTCTTAGCCCCTGCATCTAACCCAGGAATAAATTCTTCAGTTTTTAATCTTTTAATTATTTCTGAAATATCTCCTCCTTTTTATTCCTACCACTGTTTTTATTAGCTGTAACATATACCACTATAATATTATATTTAACAATCTCCTGATCACATCTCTTCAATATAATACTAATGAAAATTACCCCTTATGAAAATCTGACCATTCACTAATAATAGCTAACAATGACTGCCTACTAACTCAAAAGCACTATGCTAAGGACTTTGTATGTTCATATTACTTAATCCACCTGACTACTTTGAGGTAAGAAATGAATACGGAAGCTGAGGCTCAGAAGGGCTTGTTTATATGCCCAGTGTCATAAAACTTGTTTATATTTCACCTAGCTCCAAAATGGTATACAATAATAAATATCACATGTCAAGGTTAAAATGTCAGTATGTATATTGGGAGGAAATAACAGTAATAATAATAGGAAACACATAATTAAATTATATTCCTTTCACCTCTATCTTTCTCCTTGTCTTTATTCCTCTTCTACTTAGTGCCCCATTCAACTGCTCCTCCATCCACCCCAACATTCTATTTCTTTCCCTCCCTTTATCTCAGCCAGGCGTATCTTTTAGAAAACAATCCCACCTCTTTCCTCCTTTGTTACTCAGTTAATGAGCAGGTCACTGTGTAAAAAGAACTCAGAAGCAAAGTCTTAAAGCAGCACTAAGAAACCACAGACAAAGCAGGGAAACTGAGATGCCTTGCATGACATTTCAAAGACACAGAGTGGTACTCACATCTTGGTTAATCCTGGGCCTAACACTTACTAGAACACTGTGACATTGAGAAAATTACCTAGCCTTTCTGAGCCTTAATTTCCTTATCTACAATATGGGTAGAAGAGTGTTTATCTCAAAGAACTGTGATGATGAATTAAAATAATGCATGTGAAATAATTACAAAGTACCAGGCCTTCAATAAATTCTCATTATATGTCAGCACTCACACACACACAAAATAAAATGACAACTTTCTAGGTGGGAATAATGTGCGATCACTTCTCTCTTTGAACCAGGGTGCCTGGGGGATTACTGCCACACTGAGTAGTTACAAGGCATTTTTGTTATAGATGCAGGGGGTTGAATAATAATTTTTTTATGATCTTTCCCCCCAAATGATCTAGGTGTGTCTGATCACCTTTCATGTTTGCAGAATAGAAATTAGTTTTCCTTCTAGTTCCTTTATTCTGCAGTTAGGTGTACTATAGTAAGATTGAAAAATGCTTTTCTTCTCTCTCTGCTTTGGGACTAGGGGATGGAAGATCCCTTTGTAAAGATATGAAAATACCTGTCAGTTAAAATATTTTTAGAGACATTCACAGGTCAGAGGTTGAACAATTAGAGTTGTGAGAATTGAGAAGCAGAGGAAGGAACAAGGGATGGTCAGCTGCCTGGGTCCCAGAATCAGATTGCCTGACTTCAATTCCTGGCTCCAGTACTTACTAACCATATGACTTGAACAAGTTACCTAACTTCTCTGGGCTCAGTTTGTTTTATATAATAAAACTGTTGTGAAGACAGAATGATACACACAAACAGCCAGAGTGCTGGGCCTGTAAGTATATATTCAATACATGTTAACTGCAATAACTACAACTGTAATTATTATCATAATGGCATTTTCCAAAATGTATTTCAAGATCCTTTGGATTCACAGTTTTGGGGAATATTATTAACAAATTTGGTTCAAACAAAGAAAGAGGACTATGTAGTAAAAAAAAAATTTAAAGAAATCCTGGCATTCTTTAAAGTCAAACTGCTCAAAGACTTTAACATGCTGAAACGTATTGTGAATCACCAAGAAACACATCATTAATTGCCAATGGGATATAACATGAAACATTTTCAAAACTGACTTCACCACAGAACCCTTTATTAGAAAATCATCTCATCTGGCTAATAATTTATGCATTTTAGAAAATTATGAAATGATAATTATCTAAATTACAAATCATGTTGTAGTAAATTATTCTTGCTATATAGCAAAGTGACAAAACTACCCATGAAGTCTGTAGCTTCATACGAAGGTTCTTTATAAACCTTCCCACCAACACCATAGCTGATTTAAGATGACCTTTGTGTTACACATTTCACATCTTGCATTGTGCTTATTAGCAAGCACCTTAAATAGTGTTGCTACTCAACAAATAGCTGTTGATGCTGAACCTGGGACTCTCCTTCCAAAAATGTATAAGAAAAGAAAAACTCTGACTTTATTCCATTTTTTCTAAACAGTGTCAATTTTATAAAGTTAAATATAAAACTCACCTCCCCTCCATTAACAAAATCCAGAACAAAATAAAGCTTTTCAGTTGTTTGGAAAGAATAATGTAATCCAACCAAAAATGGATGTTTCACATTTTTCAAGAGCACATTACGTTCAGCCATGATATGTTTTTGCTGTAAAAAAAAAAGGGTAAAGGATCAACTTGTATTATACACCACAAAACAATTCTGTTAATTGAGAAAAGGAGCTTAGGAGAAACAAAGCTCTTTTATTTCACCTCTCTTCTGTTGAGAACTATTTTTTTCTGTAACACTTTGACAGCATAAAATTTTCCATCCAGTTTCCGTTTTGCAAGAAGAACCTGTTGTAATTAAAGATTGTACATAGTATTAGAAATTTCAGTATTTTAATAGGAATAATTCACTTGTCAATACATTTTATAAAAAGAAAGTTCCCAAAAGATCTAGATAATACAATGTGTCTTTTGTTTTAAAAGTTGAAAACCACTAAATTCATTTCTATAAATCCATTTTTCCTTAAGTATTTTAATAAAACAAAAAAGGATGCTGATCATTTGAACAGCCAAGCACCGTTTCTTTGTGTGCTGATGTTTGAGATTTTTATCTAATTTAAATACCAAAATCTATACTGCTTGAGATCTTTGTGCCTATGTGTGTGCGCATGTGCCAGCCGGGAGTCCTGAAGGTTGTCCTTAGGAAACACTGAGCCTATATTTCATGGCTACATAAAAAAGAAGAAACTGGTTTTTAAGTAATCAAAATGAATTTCTGCTTTAACTAACTTATAGGTTTCTCTTATAGGTTTCAAATTCAGAACAGTTCAGAGGAAGAAGTACCATGGATAGCTGACTTTTTAAAATGGGCTTGGATGCATGCACTTTCAAGGATCTGAAGACATTTACAAGGATTTTGCCTTGGTAAAAAGGCTCAAGGTTTTGCATTTTTTTCCTATTAGATTGGTAAATTTGGGGAACAGATATGCAAATAGAAAGTGAAACCAAGACCACTCATTGGAGACAAGTTTAGAATAAATGTTAGATTGCTATTACTTATTTTAGTTTTTATATATATTTTTCTATTCTTCAAACACATTGTGAATTTGCATTTGTCTGCTTTTCCTTTGCTTTTGTGTATTCTGCTTTTGTTTTGCTGCAGTTTGTTGGTTTCTAATCATCTTTTGCAAGATTTTAAATTTTTATTAAACATAACATATAAGTAAAATAACTCACAAATCACTATAGTTCAGTCAATTATAACAAAATGAACACATGATTTAACTGCTATCCAGGTCAAAAGATAAAAACATTTTGGGGAGCCGGAAGCCCCTCTTTGCCCCCATTCCAGAAACTACTCATCCCTGTCTTCCTCAAAAGTAACCACCATCTCAACTTGCAATAACACAAGAAATTTTTATCATTTTTTTAACTTCATATAGGTAGAATCATATAGATGAAGTTGTGTCTGCTTGACTGCTTGACTTCTTTCACCCTAAATTATATAATATGCATCCAAGCTGTGGCATATTGTATATAGTTTTAGTATTTTTATTGCTGCGTAGACTACTGCATTACACACCTTAATCCACTCTTTTGTTGACAGACACTTAGACTGTTTATCAATAACAGTGCCGTGAATATTCCAGCACATGACTTTCCTAGTGCATATGTGCATGCACCCTTGTTGGATATATAGCTAGGAGCAGAACCAATGTGTCATCAGTAATGAATGTATACATTCAGCTTCAATAAATAACAACCATTTCCAATAGCATAAAAAAATGAAACACATAGGAATAAGTCTAGTTAAAGATGTGTAAAAATTCTATACAGAACACTACAGCCCTGCCTGCTGTGGCTCAGTAGATTGAGTGCTGGCCTGCAAATCAAAAGGTAGCCAGTTTGAGTCCCCAGTAGGGGGCAAGTGCTTGGGCTGTGGGCCAGGTCCTCAGTAGGAGGCAACCACACATTGATGTCTCTCTCCCTCTTTCTCGCTTCCCTTCTCTAAAAATAAATAAATAAAATCTTTTTTAAAAGAACACCACAAAACAGTACTGAGAAAAATTAAAGATGAACTAAATCAGCAAAGGGATATACCATGGTCATAGATTGGAAGACTCAATCATGTAAAGATGACAATTCCCCCCAAACTGACCTACAGATTCAGTGCAATCCCAATCAAAATCCAACAGAATCTTGTAGAAATTGGCATGCTAATTCTAAATTGATGTAACTATGCAAAAGGCTTAGAATAACCTCATGAAGAAAAACAAGGAGGGGAGACTTGTCCTACTGGATATCAAGCTACATTTGTCAAGGCAATGTGATACTGGTACAAAGACACACAGACTACTGGAACACAATATAAAATCTACAAATGAATATAAAACACAAAATCTAGAAGTAGATCCATGCAATATGGACACTGGATATATAATGAAGGTTACCCTGCATTCAGTGGGGAAGAATAGTCTTTGCAATAAATTATATGGGATCAGTTGGATATCCACAGGGAAGAAAATGAACTGAGACCCTACACCTCATATTATATGCAAGAACCAAATCCCAATAAAGTCTAGATCTAAACATGAAGTTTACAAAAGATGACACTTTTTGTTATTAATGACAGATTATCTCTAACATCTTGGGGGACTACAAGCATTTTGAGAACAGATCTATGTCTATATTTCTATTGCCCAGCATGCAGCAGGCGGTCAATATATGTTTGCTGGATTAAAAAACACACATGGGTTTAACTGCATGGTCACAGTTTCTGGTACACAGAAAGCTCAGAAAACAAGCCAGAGATACAGGAAGCTATGAATAAAGCAAGCTATAATTAAATATATACATATTTATTTTTACTACAGATTGAAGTACACTGCAAAAAAGCACTTAAATAGAACCACAGGCATGGAAACATGGAACAGACTGAAAGTGACCAGAGGGGAGTGGGAAGGGGGATAATGCTGAAAAGAAGGGGAAGGGACTGGACAAAGAAGATGTATGAATGATGCATGGACATGGACAGTAGTGTGGGTGGGAACTGACTGCAGGAACCAGAAGAGGGGGTGTGGGAGAGTGGAGGAGGGCAAAGGGCAAAAAATTGGGACAACTGTAATAGAATAACAAAAAAAGTTATTTAATGAAAAAGCACTTAAATACCATATTTCACCATGTATAATATGCACTTTTTGGCCCAAATTGTTGAGGGAAAAATAAGGATGTACTTTATACATGGGTATGATGATTATATACCATAGGTATAATAATGGGCATAATAACCCATGTATAATGTGCACAAAAATGTAGTGTGCATTATACACAGCAAAATGTTAGTTGATGATTCTGATACCACCATCTATGACACTTGTGGCCTTAAGTGATTCTCCTTCCCTGGTATGGCCACACTGTCAAGTTAAGCGATTCAGTTGACACTCACTTTTGAGCAGAAGCAGGTTCTTCACAGAACCCTTTCTTCCCCCAACTATTACTTACACAGCTGCTCACTTGTGTCTTTCAGCCTCAGTTTAAATAGCCCGTCTTCAAAGCAGTGATCACTCAATGGTAACCCACCTAAGCAGGGATTCCACACTCCCCGCACTGCCTACAGTTTTCTGTCACTTCACCCTATTCTTCAATTCCCTCACAGCCCCATTACTATTTACAATTATTTATTGGGCTGCATGTTTTAATTGACTTTTAATTTCCATTAGTTTGTAAGCATCACAAAGGCAGTAGCCATGTCAGTTTTGTTCAGTATTATCTAAATAGGGCCCAGAACCGTGCTTGGCATGTAGCAGGGGCTCAACAAATACTTTTTGAACAAATGAATCTTATGTTAGAATTTAATTAGGGAGAATTTAATTATTTCCCTAATTACTTTGTCAGTACTTCAAAAGTAGAGAAGGGATCTTAACTCCACATACTGTACCCCAACAAGTTTTGTGCCTTGGTATGTATAAAGCATGCATTCCGTAAATACTTTTTTACTGAGTGAGAAAATAAAAATACTCTTACCTTGCCAAAGCTGCCTTTTCCAATAACTTTCAAGAAATCAAAGTCTGTTGGTTTAGCACTGAAAGAAATGAATGACAAGAATTAGCCTCCTAGAAATTGGACACATGTTAACTTTTAAACATTTCTTGGCACACTCTGATAATTAAATGTTGGGTACAAAACACTTTAGCATGATGACTCCAGCTGTCACACTGGTAGTAATTCACTTTTAATATAAAGTAGGTAAGGATAAGTAGTAACAATATCTACTTTCTGAGTAGATATTTTATAACTTTAAGTCTTGTTTAGTCCTGCTTAAAAGAAACTTAAATAATAGTCTTGTTGGAAGAAAATGATATCTATCTATCTATCTATCTATCTATCTATATTGAGTTTTGAACTCAGTATAGCTTCTATCTAAATCAATTTTATTACTACAAGTCTTGCTAATGTTGTTAACAAAGACTGAATAATTATATAAATTAGTAATATATTCCAAAGACTCTCTAGTCTGGTAATTTTTCTGGAAAATTAGTTATTCCTGTATTGTGAGACTTTCTCCACCTGATAGTGTGAGACTACAATCCTTGTTAATAGCTGAAACACCTAGTAAAGTCACTAAGAAAAATTTCTGATGGAGAAAAAAGTCATCACAGTGTTTTGCACAGATATCATTTATTATACATTACAGATAAGGACCTCTCTGCTTATTCTCACAGATGGTAATGTAGGAAAGCCAAGCATAGAGAAGCTAAAGGGAATACTAAGATTGCCCTTTTATTCCTAGTCTCTTGTCAGGTAAAATCAGCATTGGCTGCATGCAGGCAAAAGTACAGGATAGCAGAAAGTTTAGCATAAGCAGCCAGAAGAGCTATTTTCTTAACCCATTCTGAATACCCAAGTTGTACTAAGGAGAAGGGAATGACTCCATTTAGATTCTAAATTTCCTTCAATTCATTATCGAAAGAAATAGTCAATTCAAACAGGAGAGTAATGTCAAGTCTAGGTTAAATAGTAACAGGTAAAGGTTAGGGAGATAAATACTTAACTAAGCTTAGATGTTTTTCTTCTTCAAGAATGTGCTCTTTGGACTAGTTATTTTATTCTTTAATAATATGCGTAGATACTGTAATAATTTTTAAAACAAATATCATAGTGAAAAAATACACAAATCCCTCATGGTAAACACACTAACTGAAGCTCCACTGTTAACTGCTGGTGATAAACCCTAATTGAAAGCCAATTTCTGCTTTTGTGCTGCCCGACCAACTTGATGCTATGATGACAGAAAAAATGCTCAAAACCAAACTTCCTCTTCCAGTTACCATCCTATTTCTTTGCTTTCCTTTGCTGAACTCCTCAAGTAAGCGCTCTAAATTCTTTGTCTACACCTGCTGTATTCTCCTCCAGTTCTTTTTTAACCCTTTCCTGTCAGGGGAACTGGTAACCGTTACCAGTGACTTATCAGAGCCGTTGGTCAGTTCTCAAACTTCATCTTACATACCTACTGGCAAAGTGAACAGAGTTAATTACTCCCTCCTCAAGAAACTTTCTTTTCCTGATTGTGTGACACTACATTCCTCGTTTTCCTCCTATCTTACCATCTACTCTTTTTTAGTCTCCTTTACTGGTGTCTCCCTGACCTCATTAGAATGCTGAAGTGTCCCATGACCCATTCCTTGGACCACGCCTCTTATCTGTCTATACTCACTGTTTAAGTGGACCAAAAGGGTGAGGGAAGCGTAGTATCCTGGGATAAAAGATAGAATACTTTAGAATTAGTCCAAAAAGGCTGTAAAAATAATTATAAGTAAGAATAGCAACACTCCTTCTCTGACCCAGGCAGACATCACCACTCTGTCAGGGCACTCCTCACTGTGAGCCAAGAAGTGGCCTTGGAATCCCTCGTACTCAGTGATCTAGGCATTCACTCCCAATATCTACTGATGGCATTCAAGGTAAAGTCTATATTTACCACTCCTGGTGTTCTTCAACATATTTCCCCTGGGGTCAGTTAAACACAGGACTAGGGGAGAGAGTGTATGAAACCATTTAGACTACTTTGGAACAAGTTGGCTAACGACTAGGGTTGCACCACTGACGCTGAGCACCAGGAGAATGCCAATGAGGCCTGCACAGATGCTTGGCCAGAGGACCTCCCCAGGACCTCCCAGGACCTACAGTTCCTGGGAAATACAAGCTACTGATTTTACATACACACCCACAGACAGAGAGAGAGATAGAGACAGAGAGAAAAGTGACAAAGGTCAAACAGCAGTACCTGATCAATAATTTGTGGATTAAAAACATCTCAGAGCTCTACTAAAGCAATGCAAAGCTAGATAAGTAAATTAGGCAAGCATAGGACAGTATTATAGTCAGTATAAGTATGGTTATATTTCATAGGCTTCCAGATAAACTGGTAAAATTTTATCTGTATATTCACACAAAAAATCTTCCTAAAATTGGAAAAATTATTTGAAACAAACCAAACCTACTGAGGATTTGCAGATGGTCCCAGGTTGATATTCTGTGAGGTAGAGTGTAGCTGTGGAAGTGGGGAAAAAAAATAAACATTTATATTGGAGCTTCAATGGTCAATGTTTTTCAAGTAAATACACATAACTGTAGCAGATATTTGATGTAGCACCATGTTAGAGAAACCTAAAGTGTTCATTCTTAATAAAAACATATAGACATATTTAGAAATATCCATATCAGCTTTATGATAAATTTCAAGAGCAGATGTAAGGAAAAGGGTAAGGCAGAAATTGGGCTCAAAGTGGCAAGTCAATGAAGTAAATGGGGGGAAGCTCCTTTGAAGAGGTGAGTGAGCACTGAAACCACAGTTTAAGAGGGATTATTTTTACATTAAAAAACCTGGTTAAAAACAGCTTCTTCTGTTCACATTTTCCAATAAAGATGGATATTTTTACTAGAGGCTTATCTAGTTGTAGACATGATAAGCTGTAGACACGAAATAAGCTTTTAAAAACTTCTATTTAAGTTAATAGGAGCAAGTTTATCTAAGCAACTTCTTATTAGAGACAAATATCTTTTATATTTCCACTTAAACTTATTGAAAACTTGTAGACAACCTCCAGAATACAAGCTGCTTTTAAAAATAAAGGACAAAAGTTCTGATGTATAATAATATTTCTTATGAAACAACAATACTGGCACCAGTTTTTAGTTACAAATCAAATTTATTTCCTAACAATGCCTTACAGGAAAAACCTTTCTGTAATAAATTTTTCAATCCCCAGAACACAGAAATATAAGGACCATAACAGTCTAGCAAAAGATGAAAAAAAGTTCATTAAATGAGAATTGTCCTATAGTGGCATAAGTGTAAAATAATCTTTTCCCCCTACTTTTACTGAGATATAATTGTCATATGGTACTGCATAAATTTAGATTAAGGTGTATAGCATAATAATTTCACTTAAGTATATTGTGATTATTTTAAATATTACAGTGCTCCACAGAATATGATAATGTAATGCAAACTAAACTGAAATTTCAACACACTTATTGTTGTAATAAATGTGCAGAGAACTGGGTCACATTTCCATTCAATAAAGTTTTCTTATATAGATGAGGAAAATAAAATTGAATAAGCATGGATTAAACAATAACATGGACAACTTGTCCCATGAATTATATTAATATATAGTAAGATTTTATTACTTGGCAATAATTTTTCCAATGGAGCACATTTCTAAAATAATAATGAAAATTACTGGGGTATATGACTAGATAGCTTTTAATTCTACCTAGTATTTTAAAAAATTATTTCTAATCACTAAACTGAGGGTGAGGTATAAATAATTAACAGTGTGAACACTAATCAAGAACATAAGTTTCTTGACTTCTCTTGACCTCTATCTTTCTCTCTATAAACAAGGGGTGGGCCCATATGCCTTCTAAGATATTTTCTGGCTGTTAACTTCATTTAGTTATCCACTTAAAAGTCTTCAATAAATAGTTACAAGTATAAGTATAGCTCTTTCCCTTTTTTGAAGAGATTCTTTTAATCTATATTTCAAAACAGCAAGAGATGCTAGTCTAAGTTTCAGATTTTGCAGTGAGGGGTATAAATGGTAATAAAAAATAATACAATCAATAAAAACAAAAAAGTTTCAGATTTTATGGATACAAAAGTAAAAAAGAAACAATATAAATCTGAAGCCAATAGTGACAGAACAGGAGCCAGGGATCTCTCAGTTTGGTTCTTTCAAAGCCAGCTGTCTCCTACAGTAAGGCAAGGCATTCTCTAAATGACCTAAACCCACATACTCTCAACATGATTAGCAAGCACAACATGGAAAATCAGGGTTACATGGATTTTGTCCTCTAAAATATTTTTGAATAGTTTCATTTTTTTCAATTAAAAGTATATACTGATAGTTGGAAAATAGGAAAAGTACTAGGAACACTATTTAAAAAAAAAAACAACCCATAACTTTATTGAAAGATAATTTTCTAAATACTTAACAGTAATTTCATAGTCTTTGCATAACTTTTAAAAATTGTAATCACACTGTGAATATGCATATAAAATGTTATACCCTGATTTCATTGAGTACTATGTCAAAACTTAAAATATATCATCTTCAAAAATAATTTTCCAATGTCCCTGGCTGCTGTGGCTCAGTGGATTGAGCACCTCCCCGTGAACCAAACAGCTGCCAGTTTGATTTCTAGTCAGGGCACATGCCTGGGCTGTGGGCCAGGTCCCCAGTAGTGGGCGCTCAAGAGGCAACCACACATTGATGTTTCTCTCCCTCTCTTTCTCCCTCCCTTCCCCTCTGTCTAAAAATAAATAAAATTTTTAAAAAAACAAATAACTGGGTCTGGTTGGTGATAATAGGGGTAATACTGCCCTTCTTACTATTTTCAAAACTTTAATTAACATGTATTAATGTTTACTATAAAAAGTACTAATTTATAAATTTTATAAGAGTGATCAGTAAGAGGTATACACATTTTATAATGTATTCTCCAGAATAGAAAATTTACAATGGATAAAGTGACTTCATTTTAACTAAATGTTCTAAAGTTGCCAATAATTTCATCTGTAAATACACAATCCCTCTTGAGCAAAAAGGAAAAAGGACTCATGGACATGGACAATAGTGTAGTGATTGCTAGGAGGAGGCAGGTATAAAGATATTAAATTAAAAAGAAATAAATATATAAAGTCAATTGGAAAAAACAAAAAAATACTATCCCTCTTACTACCTTCTGAGTACTTCTTTCATCTTCATCTTCAGATGGATCTGACTGATGTTTTGGACTGTCCATTTGAAGGAATGCTCTGACATCTGGACTAAAAACAAAAATTAACTTTATTATGATTTTGAAAGTATTTCTACAGCCTTTCTTCCTTTAGAAATTGAAAATAAAAATAATTGTAATAGCATTTACTGTAAGAAAGCCAAATGAAATCCATTAATATTCTGTATTATAAAAGAAATAAGCAAATTAATTTAAAAAATAGATAATCCAACCTGGGCAAAGGGAGAAACAGTTGAGAAAATTTATCAAGATGCTTAACATCACTAGTAATCCTAGAAATACTAATGAAAATAATAATGATACCACTTTATGTCCATTAAACTGCAAAAGTTAGATCGATAACATCAAAAGTTGGTAGGAATACAGTGAAAGGTAGATAACATCAAAAAGTTGGTATGAATTCTCATGTATTACTGGTGAGAATGTAAAATGAGAAAGCTTTTCTGAAAAGCAATCTGGCAATATTTGGTGAAAATGTGTATGCATTTTGCCTAGATACAGATATTCCAGTTTTAGGAATAAACCACACAAAAATTTACATCCAGGTTCAGTGAAAGATGTGACTAGGATACTCAGGGCAACATTCCTCAGGGTAGTGAATCAGAAGCCAACAGCCATCTGCCACTAGAGAAATGAGTAATCACCTATGGCAGGCAGAAACAAAGAACTAGAGCACAGTACCATTTATGTGTATATTAAATACTCATGAGCACAAAGCAAGAATCAATAAACAGATATCCAAAGACATATATTGAAGTGGGATTCAACAGTGGGAATGAAGAATTGGGAGTGAAGATCAAAGATGAAGAGAAAAAATGAACTAAAATAAACGAGGGACCTTGTGTGGACTGATGACAATCCCAAGCAATGACTGAATCTCTGTAACATAGGTACTTCCTACCAAATTGTTCTTTTTTTCTTTGTAAGGTATAATTGACATTTGTATATATTATGAAATGATCACAAGAAGTCTAGTTAACATCCATCACCACACTTAGTTACATTTTATTTCCTTGTGATGAAATGAAATACTAATGAAAACCTTTAAGATCTACTCTCTCAGCAAATTTAAAAAACAAGGTAGGACAAAAGCAGGTTTACAATTGTGAGTATGCAAAACACAGTTTATTCTTATGTTATTAATTATTATATTATTTTCCATATGAACTGTAAATTTGCTCTACCCTGTACACAACACTGTATTGTTAACTATAGTCACCATGCTGTACATCATATCCTCATAACTTATTTATTTTATAACTGGAAGTTTGTACTTTTTGACACCTTCACACTTTGCCCAACCCCCCAACACCTGCCTCTGGCAACCACCAGTCTGTTCTCTGTATCTACGAGTTTGGTTTTGTTTTTTTTTTTTAAAGACTCCACATATAAGTAAAATCATACAGTGTTTGTCTTTCTCTGTTTGACTTACTTCACTTAGTATAATACCCTCAGGGTCCATCCATGTCATCACAAAAGGCAAGATTTCCCAAACTGCTTATAATAATTAAATATAAAACATATACTCATTGTAAGAAATTCAGAAAGATGAAAATAATTTTTTCAAAGTGGAGGGGCTCCTGGGAATGTAAAATGGTGCAGCCACTGTGGAAAACAGTTTGATGGTTCCTTGAAAAGTTAAACATAGAGTTACCATATGATGTAGCAACTTCATCCTAGAAATAACATATGCCCACACAAAAAATTCATACACAAATGCTCACAGCACCATTATTCATAATAGCCAAAAAGTAGAAACAACCTAAATGTCCATCAAATAGCGAATAAACAAACAAAATGTGGTATATGCACACAAGGGAATATTCTTCATCCATGAAAAGGAGTAAAGTACTGATATGTGTTATAATTACATGGATGAAACTCAACATTATGCTAAATGAACAAAGGAAGATAAAAAGGTCACATATTGTATGATTCTATTTATATAAAATGACCAGAACAGGTAAATTCGTAGAGATAAAAAGTAGATTAGTAGTTGCCAAAGGTTAGAGAAAACAGGAAATTTGAAGAGTGCAGCTTCTTTTTGGGGTGATATTAATGTTAGATTGGACTTGGGGTGACAGAATAAGATAGTAATGATGGCCATACAGTATTAGAGCTCTGCTAAAAACACTGAATTGTACATGCTAAAAATTGTTAAAATAAAGTGAATTTTATCTCAAAAATTGTTTTAAAGGTGGAGATCTTCATTCTTAACACAGACAGGAAAATACTATTAACATTTTAGCATATTTTATTGCAGTCTTTCTTTCTGCAGAGTTAAGATCCTATTCCATTTAAAATATTTTATTTTACTGTTTTTCACCTACAAATTACATCATAAGCATTTTGCCATGTTAAAAACTCTCTATAAATAAACACTTCAACAGATATATGATGTTGCACAATATAAGTACACTAAGTTATTCAATGATTTGCTCACCCTAGAATACATAGCTTCCGATATTTTACCATCACTACTATAACTAATGTTGCAACTGACCCTCTATGAGCATAACAGAACTGCATATATGACTTTTCATAATAAAATTTATTTGGTCTGAATTATAAACCATTTCAGACTTGATGTAGTTTGTTATCTAATTTCCAGAGAGACTGTACCAATTTATTATACCCTCCTAACAGTATATGAATATCTAGAAGACTCTCTCTAGTCTTTGTTAGCTTTAAATGTTACAGTTTATATTACCATCTTTGACAATTTCATAAGCGAAAAATAGTATTTGAAAAAGAAGGTATGTAGTTTTATTAGTAATTAGTGAAATGCAAACTAAAGCAACAAGAAACCACTACCCACTCACCAGAATGGCTAAAATTGAAAAGACTAACAAGACTAAGTGTTGATAAGTAAGCAATATGATCTCATACATTGATGGTGGAAATATAAATTGATACAATCTCTTTGGAAAATTACTCTGCATTATCCACTGAGGTTAAACAAATACAGGGTGGGACAAAAGGAGGTTTACAGTTGTATGTGGAACACAGAGTTTATTCCTATATATTATTTATTAATTATTGTATTATTTTCCATACAAACAACTGTAAACCTACATTTACTCCACCCTATATATTCTTTACAATGCAGAATTTCTACACCAAGATACATTAGAAAAGCTTGCACATGTGCACCAAAAGATGTGTTAATGACAATATTATTCATTACAGCCAGAAAATGAAAACAATGCAAATGTCCATCAGCAGTAGAATGAATAAACTGGTCTATTCACACAAGGAGATATATACGGTTATGGAAATGGAACAAACTACAGCTATATGTGACTCTCACACTGTGGAAAATAAGCCAGACAGAGAATATATATTATATGATTCCAATTGTATTAAATTAAAAAAACAGGACATGTTAATCTATGCTGCTAAAAAATCAGGAGAATAACTACCTTTGGCAAGGAAGGAAAGAATAGAGGTGGGGAGGAGCTCCTGTATATGAGAGACTTCAAGGATGCTGGTAATGTGCTATTGCTTGGCCTGCAGGTGGCAACTCAGATGCGCTCACTTGCACATAACTTATTAGGCTGAGTGGTCATGATCGGAGCTTTTGTCTGTGTGTGCTACAACTACAAGAAAGCTAAAATAAGGTATCTTTGCTTCCATTTGTATTTCTTAATAAGGAAGAAAATACTCAGTTATTTGGTGTAATCATTCATTTGTAGTTCCTCTTTTGTAAATCAATGTGCTTTGTCCATTTTTCTTTTGATGTCTTAAGTGTGTATTACTTGCATGAGCTCTTTCCATATTAACTGTATTGATCTATTGTCCTTCATCAAGGGAAACTTCTATAAGAAACTTTTTGGTTTTTAATTTCCCTTGTGATTCTGAGGGTTCAAATGTTTTTGTTGGTTGAACTTGTCAGTTTTACTCTGTGACACCTCATGTGCTGCCAATGTGCTCAGAAGCCCCCCTTCTACCCAGACATCAGAGAAACACTAACACATCTTAATCCAGCTTTTTAGGGATTTTCAAAATCAATTTTAATAAAATTATTTTAAAAATAAACTTTTATCTGTTGAAGTAAAGCAATTTTTAAAGTTCATTTCCCTAACAGTAATGATAGTCACACAGGTGTACAAGATGCACTGGCTGACTGGTTTCTCTTCTTGCTTCCATAAATCTGTACTATTTTATAAATAGTTTGATGCTCAAATGAAGAGTGTGAAAATTAACAAAGTTCCATTAAGAACAGATAAGATCCAGAAAATATGAAATGTCACTTCTTATTACAAAGAAAATGTCAGATAAAATTAAGTTTAAAAAACCTTTTGGGGTGCTGGATAGGACCTATACCCTAAAAGGAATGATGGTAGTTACAGGGTGCATATATCTGTAAAAATCCATTGGGTTGTATACTTAAGCATTGTTGCCCTGGCTGGTGTGGCTCAGTGGACTAAGTGCTGGCTTGTGAACCAAAAGGCTGCTGGTTCAATACCCAGCCAGGGCACATGTCTGGGTTTTGCAGGCCAGGTCCCCAAGTGGAGGCATGTGAGAGGGAACTCATCAATGTATCTCTAGCATGTTGATGTTTCTCTATCTCTCTCTCTCCCTCCCCTTCTCCCTAAAAAATAAATAAATAAAATCTTGAAAAGAAAAAGAAAATAAAAGAATTATGTATCATTTAATATAATGTTAAATTAAAATAATCAAATTGCCTTCAGTTTATTTTTAATACCAAATATATCTTATAATACTATTCTTCTAGATCTAATGTTAGAAGTTCTGAGTTAACACTTCAAAATGCCAGCAGAAATAATCACCACCACCACCATTTTTCCCATACTTAGTCCATGTGAGGCTCTCTGTCAAAGGAGGAAACAAATTCAAGACCTCAGTGTATGAACTGTATATCAAACAAATCAGCAATATGCCAATTCAAAGTAATCTCAAGTTCATACAGCAAAATTAAAGGTTAGAAGGACATATAGAAGCTAAAGATAACACAGAATTTGTCCTAGGGAAAAGGCATAATGTTTAAAAAATAATTATAGAAAGAGCCAACTAGTAAAAGGCCCTTTGCTGAGGAATATACTAGATGTAAAAATCCTGAGTTCAAGGTTCCTCCACAACTTTGTGCCCCTCCATCACTCGCTGGAGGCCCTGAATGAAAAGGCACCTAGCTGGTCTTCAGAGCATTGGCTATTCCCAGGGCTACCGCAGCTGCTGGACCTCCCCTGACTTGTCCCTTGGATCAGGGGAAATCCAGAGCACTGGGCAGAAGACTGTGGTTGGAGGAAGTTCTGTTCTATTATTTTTCTGATTTAGTAAATTACATTAAGTGAGTCAAAAAAGGAGGTCAGAGGATGTGCTCTCAGAATGGTAGGAGCCTACTGTAAACTGTAAAGAACTATATAAATGATAATGTAAAGACCTATATAAAAAATCATCGTTTTTAGAACAATTGCTAAAAATATAGTCCTTCAGTGCCATGATTCTGAAAAGACTGTAAAAGTGTATCGTGTTTGCATCACTGCCCATAACACAAACCCTTACTTACATCTACGTAAATAGGTGGGCTGTGAAAAAGCTCCCCAGATATTTTACTTTACCCTCTTTGTTTTTAGAATATAATGCTTTATACATATAAAACAATACAAGTAACATATACATAAATTACAAATCACAATAAATATGAAGAATATCCATGAACCAATTAATTACCAAACTCAAAAATGAAAACATATCTCAAATCATGTTCCTAGGTATTTCTGAAAAGATGCACCATTTCTACCTTCATCAGCAGCATCTGATCTACAAGAGGAGTTTAAACTCATGAGCATGAGACATGCACATAGGGCTGGGAAAGCGCCTTCATGGTCAGTGGCTGCCTGGAATGCTGCGTTAAGTAGAATAGGAGGCCTTCTCGGTAGACGAAAACACGAGTGGTAGCACGTGTGCCTGACCCTTGCCAATTTCGTCAAAGGCTGTACTTACCTCCTTTCTGAAAATCTACTCTGTGTTCCAGTCATACATGAGTGTCCTGCACGTGTCAGGTTTTTTGTAGATTCTTACACAGACTTTTCCTGGAATGCTCCCCCTGCCTTTTTTTCTCAAATGACTGCCCTTCCTTTAAGTCCCAGGAAGCCTTCTTTGACTTCCCCAATAACACCTGGCCATATTTTTCTGTTGTCTTCTAGCATTTCTGCCATAAAGCTTTCCTAGCTTTAATTGCTTGTTCCTATATCTGTCTGTCCCACTAGACTGGAAGCCTATGCCTCTGGAATGTAGGAATAACACTCATTCCTCTTTATGTTCCCAACATACACAGCAAGTACTTAACAAATGCTGTTTGAATGAATAAGTATCACAAAGAACAATTAGCAAAATGCTGTATACTATACAAATTCCTTCTAAGTTTAATCTACAAAACCAATTAAGTAGAGAAGGAAGAAAGAAAATAACTAGAACCTTGAGCTGATGGTCAAAAAAGGAGTTAAAAATACCAGGGGAAAATGCCTGAGGAAGATTTTATATATATACACACATTATATATAGCACAGTGACATTCTACAGAACATATAAAATCTGTATCAGTAACTTATTCAATATTGTTAGGTTTGGTTTCAGTGCATCTTCGGAACACTATGAAAATTACTTACTGGTTGTAAAGTTCTGGGTGCCTAACTAAGTTCTGAATGAATTCATTTAGTCCTGCTCTTCTTTGTTTGATAAAATCTGTGAAAAGAGACATATGCCATTAGGATTATTTATGTCAGACTAGGTAATTATCAATACAGTTATATAAGAATAGATAAGAGTAAATTCTGATTAGGAGCTATTTCTTAATCCATGTTTCTTTATATACAATAAAAATACTTACAAATACTTAGAAATTTTAAAATCCATAAACACAATGATTATAAAACTAAAATAAAGCAGACAACATGTCTTACAAAAGGAAATTCTCCAAAAAAAATGCCTACTTCAGATTCTAAATAGACTCACTACAAAAACCAGTTGGTTGCCTTCTGTACTTGCCCTGACTGCACTGAACCCACAACCTAGGCATGTGCTTTGATGGGGAATCAAACCGGCAACCTTTCGCTTTGTGGGACAATGCCCAAATAGCTGAGTCAAACTGGACAGGGCTCAAGTATGAATTTTTTGAAAAATTTCAGGAAGGTATCTTGTAACTCTTCCAAGGGCATTCTTTATGTCACTGGACAGTAGAGACTATGTGAGGTTCACATTAAAAACTATGCTTGAAAGACAGTCCGTTTTCAGAAATGACTTAGTATCATAGAAGAAGAAGAACTAAAATGAATGACTACATTTGAGATATTTAAAGAAAATCTAACAATTATATGGAAGCAGTTTTAAATTCTTCTGTGGATATTTACTGATGGTACCTTCGACACTGGGAAATGGGTCGTGAAAAAAGAGATTTGCTTTCTTCTGTGAGTACAGCCATGCTGCACTAAGTGCTACTAGACTCTCCACTTCCTTACTGACTTGAAACAGTTTTGAAAGCCCTATATCAGAAGATAAATAAAAGAAGTCAGTCATGAAAAAAGAAAAGCAGCAGTAGTAAGAATTAGGGCAATTCCAAGTTTAATTTTTAGATCAACATTAAGCATGCAAATATCTAAAACATTCCAGATGAGACTGAAATGCATACCAGCCCCCTTACAGGATAAGTTCCCAGAACATAAAAGGCTGACATAATATCTTTAAGAATTATAGTTGGAGATTTTTATTTTTAAAAATCTCTCCAATTAAGAATCTATGTAAATGTATCGATTGTTATGCAAAAGAGGTTTGCATTAGAGATTCAAAAGAACTTAATGCTTAGATAATAAAATGAAAGCTTTAGTCTCCAAAATATGTACTAAACTGACCTATAAAGATTTCTTTGTCATTTCAGTGCTTCTAGAAAAATCATCAAAGACAAGACAATCTCCATCGCTGTGGGGCAGGGGGCAAAATCAAACTTTGACTGAAGGAGACCTTGAGTTTTTGTTGTAATACTACTACTGGCGGCCAGAGCAACATGATTATATTCAAAATCAAAGGATATTTAGGGCCTGCAGGGATCATAGAGGTCCTTTATCTTTAACCCACACCTTTCAGATCAGGAAATGGTAAGAGCTTTGTAATGTTCCAAACAAATAATTTTAAAATAAAATGCACACAAAAGTTTGTGGCCCTGGATGGTGTGGCTCAGTGGACTGAACACAGGCCTGAAAACCAAACGGTGGATGGTTGGATTCCCTGTCAGGGCACATGCATGGGTTGCAGGCCAGGTCCCCAGTAGGGGGTGCATGAGAGGCACCCACACATTGATGTTTCTCTCCTCCTCTCTCCTCTCTTTCTCCTTCCCCTCCCTTCTGTCTAAAAATGAATGAATGAATGAATGAGTAAAATCTTTTTTTAAAAGTTTGTGAATTTTGTTTTTAAAGGTACCATGTATTGATCAGACAGTACAGTAAGGGAATAATAGAAATAAATAAACCTGGATGAGTTTAATTTTCCATATATTAGCTGTGTGGCTTAGGAGAGAGGCTTAGTCTTACTATTGTTCTAGTTCCCTGTGAACGATGCAGTTACAAATGCAAATAAAAATTCTACATATAATAGAAATGAGAATCCTCACCAATCATGAGGTTCATAAAGTATCAAAGTATAAAGAGCCCCGAGGTGAGAAGGTTACAGGGGTTCATCTTGCAGCCTCAGGGGCAAAACTAAGTTTTAACTAAAGCAAGAGTGTGAAAAAAATATGAAAATGAAGAAGGATAAAAGAGATGGTTGTTCATCGTGGGCAGAATTCCACAGAGCACAGTAAAACAGTTTGAGAAGGAAATAATGGGAGGGGGGGGAGGGAAGCAGTCAAGGTAAGTGACTTGAAAGCTATTTGGTAAAGAGAGAGTTGACCAAGAAAGCAGACATGTAAGAAGTCATAGGTTCAATGGGTTATAGGGTTACAAGCAAATTAATTGAGGAAGTAAGTTGGTGTGGAGGGAGGGCACTCTGGCTTATCAGGATCCACCTGCTGCATAGATAGATGACTCTTCTGATAGAATTTTTGGTAGCTAAGGAGGCTTCTGTCTTTTCTGTAAGTAGCTATTTGTGACCTTGAATCTGTTTCCTCAGATTCAAGTGGAAAGTTCCAGGCTTGAGCCTTCAGACAAATAGGCTCCAGATTCCTAAGATCTGTGGCATTATGCTCACCAAGGGTGACCAATAGGATATTTTGGTAGTATGCCATTCAGAGGCCTGCAGTATGCTATGCACAGACCATACTTTTAATAATATTTCTTGGTATAACAAAGAATGTCCTCCATGGTTACAAAAGTACCCCCAAATATCAGTAAGTTTATCTGAAGCCAGGCTGCTTAAATTTAACTTCCAAATTTGACATTTACTAGCTGTATGCGACCCTATCTGTGTCTCAGTTTCCATATCTATAAAATAGTGATGATAATAATAATACCCAACTCAAAGGGTTGTTGTGAGTACTGAATGAATTATAACATGTAACATGTTTAAAACAATGCCTGGTACACAGTAGGCATCTTCCTGAGGCATTATTTTCATAGAGCATGAGATCAATTAGCTTTATAAATTCTTGTATTACTGTACAATAAATATGTTCACTGTTTTCAAACTTCAGCCATCACTTATGGCTGGTCTATGAAGTTATTGCTTACCAGGATCAAAATTGTCACCAAATATTCGCTTGGCAGGAATCTTCAGGGCCATAGCAGGAAATTGTTTTTTTAACTAGAATTTTTAAAAATAACATTATATGAACTTAATTTTATAAGTCTTCTAGTTATACATGCACCAAAATAAAATACAATCTGATTTGTAAGAAAATCCATTGTAAGACATACTTTTTTAAATATATAATGATCAAATATTAAATTACACCAATAAAATACCATAGACTGTCTAATCACCCTATTTTGTGCCAATGAAATACTTAGTGGCTTTGTGACCTTGAATAAGTTACTTAACATCTCTGGGCCTCAATTATCTTGCCTGTAAACTAGTGATAATTTTAGCACTTACCTTACAGATTTGTCATGAGGCTTAAAGGAAATCATTTATGTTAAGTGCTTAGACTAGAATATGGTGCATAAGTTTGAATACATTACTCACCATTTATTATCTCAGGGAAAGATGTGATCTTTGTGTTTTCTCTGTATGAATAGGTTGACAATTGTTTTCTAAGAAAGGTGATAAATTTAGCTTTCAACATCCTCTACTTCAGTCTCCCCCCTCTAACTATTCTAATACATTTATCCTATTTGCTTATCCCCAGAAAAAAAACCAACTTGGCCCTAAAGAACTTAAATTTGGGGCAATAGAGTCATAAATATGGGTTAATGCTTATTTTTATTAGAGGCTTCAGGTAAGACCCCTCCCCCTCCCACACACAGAAACTACATATCTAACTACCAGCTGACAGGAAATAGAAAGAACAGAGGAATGTATTAATCACTCTACATCACAGGCATGCTATGAACACAATCCAGTTTGTAGACAAATGACACTGCTTTTTCAACAAAAAGCTGTAAAGGAAAGATAAGAGAGGTGGAGAGGAAATTTTAGCAACTAAAAGACACTTAACAGACTTATCAGCCAGTCACATAAATACTGACTGATTATTTGATATTAAGATAGTATCATTAATTTAGTTTTATATGTGATAATCATTATCATGTGTGTGTATTTTAAGGACCTTTATCTTTTTTAGAGCTGATACTAAAATATTTATAGATGAAATGATATGATAAATGAAATTTGCTTCAAAATACAGCAGGCTGGCTAGGGCCAGAGATGCAACAAAAGTGGCCATGTGGTTGTTGAAGCTGGATGGTACCTTACATTATTTTCTGCATTTGTACTAGTCTCTCTACCTTGTAGGTTCTGAATAATTTCTACAGTGAAAAATTTAAAAATATAAACAACAGTCATAAAAACACATTAAACTGATAATTAAAATGCTTACAGATTGGAAATTACACTTTTTATCTTTTATTCTAGAAGAAACATAAGAATTTGTATTTTTACACTTAGGGAAATCCAAGTCAGGTTTAACCTCATTTCTGTAGTTTAAAAGAACACAACTGATACCATTCCCCTGTTTTGTTTTCTTTGCCCCTCATCACAAGAGGCAGAATTGACAGGGGTTATGTAAGAAGAGAGGCAGACACAGAAAATGAGGAAAGGAGAAAAAAACAGAGAAATAGAAGAAAAATAAAAATGGATAATAAAACTCATTTTACATGTGAAGAAAAATTGTCTGCAAAAAGCTTCGGATGGCATGTTTGATGGAAAGAGAGAATGAAAGTGGTCATGGCAGGGGAACTGCCCAAGCAAACATTCCAACTTCACCTTTGTGCTTAGAGACACACACATTTTAACACTCTGCTTGTATAATCACCACCTATTTAAACTGAAACCATCACAAGGACTATAAGCTTTTCACTCACCCAGACCTCCACACTGCTCAGTTTTTAGATGACATCCCTATACTCCTCCCTCTTATAAACAGTTCTATAAAAGGAAACCTGTTTAGAAGGTGAATCTAGCCTATGTAATCTTTTTAGCAAAATATATAAAGAAATCTCAAATGTTTAGTTACTAGTAGTTCACTGAACAAAACCTGATCTCATCTCTCTAGGTTCATGTAAACCCTCTGTGTGAGTATATGTGTGTGTTATGTTACTATCACGTTATTTTTAACTGATTATAAGCCAGGTATCATGATAGGTACTGTCCAACTTGTACAATCATCATAAAATGCTAATCACATACATAATGGTATCCAAGAATTTCAATTCAAGCTAGCAATTCAACCCTCACCCAGCATCCAAGAGAAACCTTTTTTAAAAAAATTAATGAAAAATTGCAGAAGATATTTTCATGTACAAATTCCTATTGGCTATTATTTTGTTTCAAAAGTGTGACTTCCCTTACAGTCAAAAAAGATTATCTCAATCAATATCTTAAATATTGTGTTCAATAAGTTTCAATTGCATAAGCATTAAAGAAAAACTAAAGAACACAAGAAAACACAACAGAACTAAGAACTGGGCAGTTTAACCAGAAGTAATATGATGATGAACCATTTTTAGAACAGTAAATATAAAGGACTTTTGTCTAATATTCTATAATATTAAAATACATTTTAAGCAGTACATCTAATTTTCATACTTTCAATACTTTATTTGGAACTTCTCAATGGTCCCCTCTCCACCCTTTTTTGTAAGAATTCCAAGGTTAGAATACTTTAGAAGAATCTATGACCCTTTTCTACTGGTCTGATATATGAATTCTAGATGTCTAGAAGGCATCCAGCCATGTAATATGAAAAATAGAAACATTTATTGAAGAAGATACAAGATACATTGTACCTAGGACAATGATGCCTCAGTCCCCTTCAAAGTAGGCATCTTGGGACCTCACACAGCTCTCCCAATTGCCATCAGCTGCCCCATCATATTTTCCTGAATCTCATCTATGGTCTGAAATCTCTTCCCTTTCAAAGGTGATTTTAGTTTTGAGAAAAGCCAGAAGTCTCAGGGTACCAGATCTGGACTGTAGGGGGCGTGAGTCACCTGGGTGATTTGATGTTCTGTCAAAAAACTGCACAAGATGTGATTCATGAGTGGGCATGTTGTTGTGATGAAGCTGCCAGTCATGAGTTGCCTATAGCTGTGGCCTTCTGAATTATCTGAATAGTTTCCACTGAGGAATGTTCCAGCTTAACGGAAAATTTGACGCAGATTTGTTGCTTTACATGCTCAGTCATTTTAAATGTGACGTCCGCAAAATACACATGCTCACTCAATGGCATCTACTGCCCCTATTGACTCAGAAAGTTATCATTGTTCACATATGCACATTCCAGTCCACTCTCCTTGGCTGCCAGGTTACAATGCTGTCATGCAAATTGTTCTCGTTATGTTAACAATGACTGGACTTCTTCTGGACAGACCTTGTATTATAGCAGATTTATTTCAGAAAATAATGCTGTGGCAAAAATAAATTAAATCAATTATCAATAGTTACTGGAAGAAAAGAAATAAAGCTGCATTAGCTTGTTTTAAATTAAATGTTTGAGATTGTATCTGCATGAAGACAGAAACAATTCACAATGTTAATGAGTATTATTTAATCATTCAAATAAAATCTCTTCTATTTTCGAGCTTTCTCAGGTATTTGTTTTAAATAGAAATCTTGCAAACTATTACTTACAGTATTGTAAAGCTTATCAAATTCTGCATATCTCCTGAAGACAAACCACTCACTCGTGCCCACTGAGACCAGAACTTTATAAACCTGTGAAAACAAAAATAATAAAATAACACAATAAAATTTGATTACAAAAAAATCATTAGCTATTTCAATATATGAATCTTTCTTTCATAACCATGAAACTGGTATTAGACATTAATGTTTATATATGTTTCACCAAGATAAAGACTATACCAACTAAAACACTTTATCTTGTTGAGAAGTGATATTTTATTTTTAAAATGTTATGAAACATTTCGGTAATTTTTAGAGAATAATATAGTGAACACGTATATAGTCATTATTTAGATAATTCTAACATTTTGCCATTCTTGTTTCTGATTTTTTTCTCCAAGAATAAAACATTATAGAGTAATTGATGATATTCTCTTCTATTCTTCCCCCATAATAATACCACTACCCAGAAATTATAAAGTATTTTCAAAAATACTTTAAAAGTGACACCTGGCACATAGTAAACACTTAATTATTAGTTTTTCCAGATCATCTTTTACAGACTATATTTCAAACTAAGAATTTATCCTCAGATTTCCTACTACTACCTAATGTGTGTTTAATATTTTCATATACACATAATTGCATATAACTGTAGTCAAAAACCCTATGAAGTCAGCAGAACAAACATTACACCCCCCACACTATGCATATGAGGAAATGATGGCCTAAAAAAGTTAGGTAGCTTGCTCAACTACACAGACTTGTCAGACTGAGATCTAAATCTTCTAACTCTCCATGCACCAGAACCAGTATCGACAGTTATAATATAGAATCAACTCTCACGGCTGATTCCACAGATACTCTCAGATTATAATTTAACATACCAATGTAGATAAAACTGTTTCAGACCCCAAAAATCTCGTATCATTTCTAAAAGAAAAAAATAACAAGAATCCAGATTCACAAGAAAGGGCTCACTGATGTATGGCTTGGGTTATTGATCTCATCATATTACAGTATAAGATGAGGGGAAAGAGATAGGAGTTGTTTTGGGGTTTTCTTCAAATTAAAAGAAATACTTTTATTTGCACAAATTATCACATGATTTCACAGAAAGCAATATAATGTTTATTATAATATGAAATCATCTTACTGAGTTTTTAAAATACTTCCTTACTGCCTGCCTTGCCCAGCAGAAAATAGGTTCCTTGAGAGGAGGGGCAATGTCATTCTTACTATCCACTGTATTCCCACTGCCCAAAACAGTGTCCAGCATAACAAAGAAACTCAGTGACAATTTGTTGAGCAGATACATGAAAGTACAATTCAGATTTGGTTTAAGTCAAGATGTCCTAGGATGCAAAGCAGTTCTGTTAGAAGCCTCACAGTATAGAGCTATACACAAAACATATGAGAACTATCTCTGTCATGGAAAATAGAGGATATCTGAGATGACTCGCTGTCAATATTTGCTACGTATGAACTTCAAACATGGCAGGAGGTTATGCCCTTGAAGGAGAGAATGCCCCAAAGGTAAAAATAAGAACAGAGAAGGAAGGAAACCTTTCACACACTCCACTATTTTATCCAAGGCACACTAACCTTCTGTTTACCATAAAAGTGATGTTTCTAAAATTTGCTTATATGAATGTGGAATAAATGCACAATGTTTGTACAGATATTACTACAACACAGAGACTAAGGGGAAGCAAATCGCTAGATATTACAATGGCTCTGCTCTGGGTTCGGTGCAGGGTGTGGAGGTATTAAGGAAGGGAGAACAGAGGAACAGAGAACAGAAGGGCTATTTCCGGCTCCTGGCCTGGGACTTTAGGGGAAAACCACCATAACCCCAGTTAACAAGGCAGGCTGGAGTGGTCAGACACAGAGTTTAACTCCTCAGTTTTCTTCCACTTCCATGTGAAATGGACTCTGAGTTGAAAGTCACTTGTCATGGGGCACCATTGGCAGGGGCCAGGTGACCCCCTGGTCTGAGGCTACAGTAAACCACTTGATTCAGAAGCAGGCAAAGGGTGGGCTCTACAGCCTTAGAGAGCCAAGGGGAAGCAGTGAGTCATCACCACCCTGGCCAACACAACCAAAGAACAGACAACAAGTCAGTTGGTCAACTGAAGGCACCAGCAGTGGAATGCCAGCAAAATGCCCAGGGCTGGGCCAGGTCAGGCATAGCTGGGTGTTTACCAAACGAGTCACTCCATACCTGGAATGGCAAAGACAGATGTAGAGGGATGACAAAAATGCAAGGGCCTTCACCAGGCTGCTGGTACTGTGAGGTCAGTCAAATACAATGAAAGGACACTGCGCTCCTCCCATAAACCACGATGCCAAGTGGGAATATGTGTTCATTAAGAGAAAGAGCAGAATGGAGACAGCCTGGGCATTTTTACTTTAAAAAATTATTTAAATTTTAGCTCAAACTGATTATGTTTCGCTCAAACAGAACTGGGTTAAATGGATTCTTTCATGTCATTCAGTGGGTGGAGGTTTATAAGGAAGACCAGGTCAGTTACAGACAAGATAAATGACATTTTTTCAGTGAGAGGAGGGCAGAAGACCTCTGTATATACTAACAGAACTAATGGAACTAAATACAGTATTATATGTGTCACTACACTAACTAGAAAAGTGACTCTTCTCCAATAATAGTCGCTGATACACTGATTCAGCAAATATCTTTTGGGTTTATTCTTTATAAAGCCCTACAGTAGATCCTCTGGTGATAAAAAGTAAAATTAGAAATGGGCTTTGCCTTTAGGGTGAAGAAAGAGATAAAAGACTGAATTACATATTTTTAAATTGAGGTAGAAAATTAATAAACATCATAAGAAAGATACTACATACATTTCAAGAAAGATACTATGGCAATTTCAAGATAGTGGTTCTTAACATGTGATCATTGACTTTGGGTCCATTAACCAACCCCCTGGCAGCACACATAAAATTATGGGCATGTGTCACAGATCCATGTTCCTGAACATTTTCCGCTGAGAAAGTACCATACTCTTCTCCAAGTGCAAAACTCTGCACTGAAAAAGAAACTGACTTCCATTATAGTACACAGGGAAGAGGGTGGAGGAGGTAGCATTTGAAAGATACCTAAAATCTGGATATGTGAAGATAGGGAGAGGATGCTCTAGGTTAAGGAAGAAGAAAAGCAGAGTTGAAAATATCCTCTATATTCCATTTTTCCCCATATACTTTACACTGCATACTTACAGTAAACCTCTTCTTTTTTTCTCTGTGTTCATCGGAGCTGGGAATGCTTACACTCGGGCAGCTTTCCTTGTGGTCCATGGTATAACCCCTTTGGGTGTATGGCCTCGAAAGGACACCAAAAAAATGAGTCCGAAGAAACAGTCAGCAGCGGACAAACCCAATCAGCTAATCCAAAACATAAAACTTCTTGAGGTAATGTTCAGATTCCATCATGCAACCTTGACCAATAGAAAAGAAAAATGATTAGCAAAGCAATTTTAAAATACCTCAATCCATGATTCCTTGTTCACAGGACCGATTTTGTCTTTACTTTTGATCGTAAGTCTCAGGGGGTGGTAGGTCCTGCTGGTACTGAATTATGTACGAGTTTGAATGTGTTTGTGCCCTATTGTGCACGGCCCATAGGAGCACAACTACAGGAGAATATCACGTCTCAGGGCTCCCCTTTGGAGGGGACAAGAAGATATGATATTATGTGGCATCAGAAATAGAGAAGGAAAGAGCTGGGGGGCAGGAGAAAGTGTTTCATACAAGGTGCCCAGGGGACCTGTGAGTGTGCATGTACAACAGCAGGCAGTTAGGTATAGAAATCCAGCCTGTAAATCTGGGCCAGAGATCTGTTTGCAAACTGTGCTAGACATCCTCCATTTGCCCTTCCATATCTAGTACCGTTCTTTTTCCACACCCTGCCACATGCCAGAAGGCTGACCCCAGTGGACCTCAACCAGAGGCAGCCCACCTACCACTCTGCCTGGTTTGGTGCACCAAATGGACACTAGCTGGAGATGGAAAGGCAGGGAGAATGAGCTGCTAAAGTATTTATCCCCCCTGCTCCCTTCCTAACAGGCAGTGGTTTCTCTATCTAACGCCACAGTTCCTACCTGATGGCCCCTCTTTCACAGCTACAGTAGAAGGCCTAGGGGCAGTAAGAGCTTCCAAACAGTTAGTAGAAGGGGTGCTTCCCCATGCCCTGCTGGTTCTTACCCCTGCCCAGGATAGCTCAGTAAATAGCCCTTTAGTTAGATTCCCTTCCATTACTTTTGAGTATCATGTGACTGATGCAGTAATTAGCATCAGGAATGACCCCAGGAAACAGACCCTCAAAAATAAGATGCACATTTGATGAATGCCCTGATTGCCTTCCTGTGGAGGGTGGGGATAAGGAACTGATCACCTGGTATACAGTGATATCACAATCACTCAAATTCCTTCCCACATCACAGGACAGAGTATAGGTGGTAGGCAAGATGCTAAAAGGCCAAGGGGGTGATGAAAGTGCTGATTTCAAAGACTGTGACCTGGGCTAGGGCTGGGTTTGGTTGTCTCTGAGAATGTACACACAGATGACAAATTGAAAGTAATGAATTCCCAAGTAGATGGATAAAAACTATATGGCAGTTAGATTGTTTTTCACATATGGCTGCTAAGCTGACAGGACTAAGGGTCAAGTCCAGAGTTTGACGGTAAAGTTTGCAGAGCCAATTAAACATGCAACCCTGAAGAGTCTCCTATGTTAACACTAGGGCATTGGCTGCAAAGGAAAATGATCTTGAATCGTAGATGCAGGCACTTGGACAAACACAATGAGGCTAAGAATGCTGAACTCCATATTTAGCTGAACATCCCTGCTGAAACAACTTACACCCCTGAGTAATCATCAGCCTCCCAACCCCTGTCCCCCTTAAAGCCTTTCAAGTTGTTTCACAAGGGCATGCCTTGCTCACAAGGGGAATTCTGCTCACTGCCTACTCCCACCACCCCTCATTGCTCCATAACAGTAGTTAGACCCCAAAAGAACTCAGAAGGAAGTTCTATTCTGGAAGCCTATTCTGGAGGGAGAATGCCTTTATACTAAAACATTTTCATAATCTCAACAATTTTTACCAACAGGAGTCTGTGAAGCACATATGAGAGTAAATTCAAAGAATGTTAGACTAAATATAAAGCTACTGTGACCTATACATGACCACAGTGTACCCCATCAGTCTTTCTCCAGACGTCCCCCAAGAGGGATCTGCAGCCATTCACAAGGGTGACCATCCACTGAAGAATGGGAAATGTGTGTCCTCCCAAGGGTTACTGGGCATTAGCTCTGAACTGATGCTAATCCCTGGAAACCCAAAACATGGTCCACCAGTCAGCAAAATGCAGAGATACAAAATCACTTGTCTAAGCCAGGATCCAGCTAAGATAGAGCTAGGATTCAAATTCAAATCTGTCTGACTCCAAAACCAATGTGGACTTGTTTGCTATATTGCACTGTCTCTCCTTCAAGTAAGGTTTCTTTCCTTCAAGCTAAATCAAACTGACAACCTAATAATATTTGATACTTAGTGGCTAAGCTTATTACAAGCCAGACTGTGTTCTGTGTGCATTAATCTGGTTGCTGCTCACAAAAGCCCTATCTACGAAGAGGAAACTGAGGAAAAACTGAAGCATAAAAAGGTGGAGGTGGAGTCAAGATTTGAACCCCAGTGGTCTGCCCTCGGACCTTTACCCACTGCGCCGCACTGCCTCTACAACATATAGGTACTCTAAAGAGTCCTCTGGGGAGCAATGAAGAAGGTTCATAAACTTATTTTTAAGTAATTACAACTAAAATTATGAAAAAGCAACCCTGATATTACTGTAAATTTAATGTATGATTGTTCTATAAAACTGAGGCAATTTAAATTCTGCAAAATCATCTTATGGCCAAGCAGCCAAATAAAACAGAATGAAAAGAGGGCTGATATATGAACCCCCACAACTACAAAAAAACCCAGAAAGCTATGTCATTCACATGGAAATAAATGTTGGTGATTTTGGGGGGGTGGCTCACAGGTAGGTTAGGCCTTTTCAGGGAGAATCGCAGAAAGAATCTGCATACTGCTGGGGAATCACAAGATAATCTTGCAGGTTGGCTCCCAGGGCAGCTGGCTTGCCTAGGAGGAGGTCCCTGGGAGACTAAGTTCAGCTACTAACCCAGAATGGAAGAACTAACTAACATCCAGCTAGTGAATCAACTCAGACAAGCTCAAGAAGACAAAAAGAAGGCCTGGATAGGTTGCTTAGATCATTGCCCCAATATGCCAAGGCTGTGGGTTCAATCTCTGGTCAGGGCACATACAAGATTCAATCAATGAATGCACAAATAAGTGGAACAAGAAATCTATGTCTCTCTTTCTCTTCCTTCCTCTCTCTAAAAATCAATAAAAAAATTTTTTTAAATAAGAAAAAAAAGAAGCAGATCAGATGGGAAGAGAACTTTCAGATGGCAGCCAGATCTTAGAAGGGGCAGTGATTTGCAAGGGTAATATAATAGCTGGGAAATATACTTACAGCCGATCCTATCAGGGGTTGAGACACTTTTCGTTGTCATAACTTGGAGGATTGCCATTAGGTACATACCACAGAGGATGCTAAACATCCTGCAATGCACAGGACAGCCCCTACAATAGAAAATTATCTTGCCCAAAATGTCAATAGTGTTGTAGCTGAGAAACTAACATTTATTGAGCGCTAATGCCTGGCATTGTTCTAAGAACTTACATCTAACACATCAGTTAATCTTCACAGGAACTCGTGAAGTATCATCATCCTGGTTTTACACATGAAGAAACCTAGGCTATGTGGAGTACTTTCGCATGGTCACAGAGCTTTGGATGGCAGCACTGTGATGTGAACAGAGCTCGAGCTCCGATCTGAGAGCCTGGCTTGGACACGTTGTCCCTCGATTTCTTATGGTACTGCTGCACACATCCCTTCTTCTAAATCAACTGTGGAGACAGAGTTGAAGAAAAGGGGGCACACCAAGTGTCCATTAGCAATTCGGTAGCAGAAAGACAACCATGCACAAGAAAAATGGCGTTCCAATTCTGCCGCTGGGGGGTTGGGACAGATTTGTGCAGCACTATGTCAGAATGGCCCATCTTTCTCTCTTAAAACATCACAAGTCAACATCTAACCAAGAGCTTGGCACAGAGTGGTGTCTGAGTTGTCAGTCCCATCACATGGACAACCAAGGGCTACATCGTGAAATAAAAAGGACACAAGAGAGGATGCTATCTCAGGATATGGTCTTTTAAAAAAGGAGGGGAAGGTAGTCTTTTTTAAAAAAGCATTCATAGATGTAAAATATTTTATTGGAGGGGGGCAACTATAAAAAGTAGAAATATGGCCCTGGCTGGCTTAGCTCAGTGGATTGGGCACAGGCTGCGAACCAAAGCATCGCAGGTTCGATTACTAGTCAGGGCACATGCCTGGGTTGCAGGCCATGACCCCCAGCAACTGCACATTGATGTTTCTCTCTCTCTCTCTATCTTCCTCCCTTCCCTCTCTAAAAAAAAATAAATAAATAAAATCTTTTAAAAAAGTAAAAATATGGGTGAAGCTCAATGATAGAAAACTTTCCAAATTCATGTTAGGTTAAATTTTTATTGAAAAATAATCTTTAAAATAGATGGACATTAGTTAAGGCCTTTTTGAGAAAGCACTTTTTTCTTCATCATTGTGCCCATCTTTTCGTCCATTGTATGCAATTATGATCCTGAATCTTACCCACCTTTCTTTCAGGAAGCACCCAACCAACCAATCAATCAGTCAAAAGATTCTTCTGCTTTTACTTCTAAAATATAAGCAGAGAGGTTCTGAATTCCATGACCTTCCCCTATCATGAAGACTGCTTGGTCCTGATTAGTGGACCCTACCCAAATTACAAAGCAGATAAATTCCTAAGCATCAGTATGTACTCTGATCTCATATGGCAGAGAGACAGGTATTAGGTGATTCACACTAATACATAAAGGAAAAGTAGAAACAAGCCTGCTACAAAAGGAAGGAGACAGGCTGGGAAGAGCTATGAGTTTTCTTCAGCAGGGGGACAGGACTGGGTGCTGGGTGTTTAGGAGCAAGAGTCCCAAAGGAGAGAGGTGACAGGGCCAGTCAAGGAAAAGACAAAAGAAAACCCATGTAGTCCCTGGGCATGTCGAGAGGACTGGTATGAGACCAGGTTTGGGAACTGGGAACTGACCCAGAGAATAATAAAAGAATTGGGGATGTGGATGGGACAAGAATTATTCCTGAAGAAAGAACAGGCCAGGTGGGTGAGTTTCTTTTTAAATTATATTAAAAGTACCTTCCCAGGAAATTCTGACCACAAACAAACTGGTTATTTTATTAAAAGGCTACTGTTATAGTAAATAATCTGTATCTGTTTAGTTCTGCCTCTCAGAATACTAGCTCCACACACATCCAAAATGTTTCAGTGGAAACAAAGCACATCTTTGTTATATCTGTAAATTAAGTCCATTGCAGAAGAGATTAAAAATCTAACAGGACCTGCCAATGGAAGATACAGAGTAACCTTCTCCCCCCACATACATCACATGATGAATCAGTTATAATCCTTCCTGTTTTCCTTTCTTACTAATATATCCTTCCTCTAATTCCCACCCCACCCCACCCCCATTTGATTTTTCCCTCATTCTGTCATCACAAAGCAGTCCTAGTTTTTCCCAGATTTATCCATCTCTTATTTGAGATATCTTTTATGTGTCCTGATTCTTGATAAAGTGATATAAAAATTAAAAATAAAATATGTGCAAAATATACAATGCTGGGATACAATATAGATGAATAGACAGCACCCAACAATTCCACAGGAGTGTCCAAGAACCCCAACAAAGGTCTGTTGTTTCCCTGAAACTGGCTCCACTTTATTACATACATCTAAGGAACGGACTGAGTAAGGAGGTGGAAGTGTAAGTCCTGACAGTCCTTTGTTTTCCAATACTAGAATCAAAACTGCCAGGATAAGAAGGAATGGCTTAATTTTACTCCAACTGATAACATGCCCCACCCCCTGCTGTTTGCAGAACTGGCAGGGTAGGAGGGTAAGTGTGGCAGCAATACTCTGCTCTTTCCTCGACCTCCCGAGGTCACCACCCTGGGTTCCTGATCACCACAATGCCTGCCCTCTTCCTGGCTTCCCAAGCTTTTCCACTGGTAGTCGCACTCCCAGCTTAGTTTCCAGGCAGATGTGAACACAGAATACTCTCAAGGATGATTCCTGGAGGACTGTGAGCACTGGCAGAATGATGGGAGGACAGGTGATTATATGAGGCAAGAGGAAAAGCGAAGGGGGATTCACAGAAAAGTGGTAGTGGTAAAATCCTACAAGCCCAAGGAAGCCCAGGGGAAAGCTGGTTCTGACTGAGAAGGTTGGGAGAATTCAGGTTAAGGGGCACCAAAAACAAAAACAAACCACAGATGACAATCACCATCACATTACGGAGTCTCTTAGGAGAACCTCCAACCTGATATCTCTTCCATTCCAACCCTCTTCTAATCCATTTTTCTCACAGTACAGAGTGATTTTTTAATCACTATAAATCTGATAATTTCACTCCTTTGCTTAGATTCTTTCCATGGCTTCCCACTGTTATTAGAATAAAATCCAAACTCTGAATTGCTGCTAACAGACAAGCACCCACATGGCCTAACCCTTCCCTCCCTCTCCAGCTGCATCCCACCAGAGCCTCCTGCCCCTTTAGGCACTCACTGCTGTCACAGCAGCCCCTGCCCTGTCCTCTCACACACTGGGCCGTGTCCCCTCTCCACTCTCTTGCACCTGTGTCCCCTCTGTGTCAAATGCTTTTTTCTTCAGCTCTTCACATTGAGGCTTTTGTTCAAATGTCACTTCCTCTAACAAGGCTTCGTCATGACTGCCCTAACTAAAGTGCTCCTTCTCTATATTAATCTTCTGTCATCATCCTCTGTGTTTTCATTTCAGCATTTATTACCATCTTGGATTGCATATTGCTTATTTATTGAGGATCTCCTTGACTAGAGTGTAGAAACTGACTTACTCATTGTCTTGCACTTAGTAGGCCCCAATACACATTTGTTTAACTTATTCATTCACAAACAGGTAGAGAAAGACACTTGGAAATTCCAATTTGTCCAAGTATGTAACTGAGATCTTCAAAGTTACCTCTGGTTCATCATTCTTTTATCAATCTCCTGAATCATCAATTTTCCCTATATACTAGGTCAATTCCATTATTACACATATGATTATGTTGTAGTATCTTAGTAAAATTCTCCTTAACATATGATTATGTTGTAGTATCTTAGTAAAATTCTCCTTAAGAATATAAATATATTTAACAGACACTTAAACCATGCTTATCATGTGCTAGAGATACATAATTACTTTGTGTTCCAACATTAGTTATTTGTGTGAATAATCCTATCTGATAACACCCTTAACCAAAGGCTTTTTCAAAACAAAGAGAACTCAAGGTAAACACAGATGCTTATACCATGTGATAAAGAAAACTTTACTTCGAAGCAAATATTTGCTTTCAAAATTCTTCTTCTGATAGTGAAATTTTACTGGGTAGCAAAATAGAAGAAATTTCCTAAAGGAGAAAAATTGTAAACAATTACATATTTAAATTATAGTAGAATTTTACCTTAAAGTTCTGACATTCTGAAAATTACAATCTTTATATATATTTTTCCTACCAACTCTTTCCTATCAATAGAAATGGCAGCTTCATCCCAGGAATGGTAAAATACATTTAGATAATATGTGTAAGTACTCAAAATTAAGTACAAAAAAAGTAAGTTAAGCTAATGTGGGCCCTCAATTGGGAAAACCCCAGCTGAGGTTTGAAAATCAATAGGAAAAAGAAACAATAAAATTAAATTACAGAAGTGTCTACATAAGTTTTAAAAACAAGTTTTAATCTATCAGGGAAAGTAAAATAAAAACATTCACTCAACTGGAATATGTACAAGGACATGTTTGTAATAAAAAATGAAACAAAGTATACTAAACCAAATGCTGGTATCAAACTTAATAAAACAAGAAGCTTCAACAGTAGCCCAATTCGAGTATTTTATATCTATTACCTTCTGGCATATGTCCTCTCCATATATTGAGGAAAATAAATGAAGAAAGGAGTATGAACATTGTATTATTTTAAACGATGAAGGGAAAGAAGGCGAACTACTTCCGCCTCCCAGAAAGAGAACATTCAGTCCTATCCAGCTCAGAAAACAAAGTAGGGAGACAGGATTATTTGTGCCAAGGGATGCAAAAACGAAATAAACCTTCGGAATGATACCCCACAGGAAAATCCAAAGTGGCGTGCTGGAAGTCTGTCTTGCCCTATTGGTTTCCTGAGTTAGTTTATTGTGTGTATTTTTAAACTTCCACCTGCCCACCTTTATGGATGTTGGGTATGTTACTCTCCCTACACCTTCTGTAAATTCAGTCTCAGTACCTTTATTTGTGTCTTTTTATTTAGTACTGAATTTCCCTGCCTTCTTCCTTAATTGTCTATGTTGTAGAAATGATTGTAGAAGCTCAATATTTAATTATAAAGGCCTATCAAATAGAACTTTAAATCCACTTGTATTTAAAAAAAACAGTTAAGCAGGGTGGGGCGATGTGTCTTATATTTCTTTAAAAAAGTAACTGGAATTTGTATGTACATGCTTTTTGTCCTCCAGAAGCTTATATGTAGCAAAAACAAAAGACAAAGGCCCAAAGAATTACAATTCAAAATAGATTGTGATAATTCTCTAAGAAAGCTATGAAAAACCAGGAAAATCACATCCAGCTGAAATTATCTAGATGTTTGGAATGGTGGAGACATGTGAGGAAGGTTTTGAAGGCTGGGCACACAAAACAGAAAGGACAGCATAGTTCTTGGTACAAACAGGGAAGAGCCATTTGTCCAGTTTGTCTGAATTCCTGACCACTTAG